AATTAGTGTACCTACCTAAACCACCCACATCAAGGCACGTATATTATAAAAACACGAAGACATTACATATACTTATTTGTTTTTAATGTTATACCTATATTATTCATTTTTTAGCGTAGTTGCAGGTAGTCAGGTACTCCTACCTACTGTCGCTTGTCATGATAGCTGTAGGTATATAAAACAATAAAAGACATTCGGTGAGTTGCTTATTATTATTATTTATTTATTAAGATAGGAAACATTTTCATAATGAATGAGAAGCTCCGATACCGAACCAGCCGATAAATGACTAATCAAAACAGTATTCTTATCTAACTATCAGCTGGTAAACTTACACAGAATCCATAAAAATGCACAAAACGCATAGTCACGCACAAAAACAGTGTCATGTATCGCACAGTCGTATCGAAATTCCATAGATCGATACATAGACAATCTTGTCTACAGACAATGGTATTATTACAAAAAGCTTGGCTACTATCCCGAGGTCCGATTGAAATTAAAAAAAAGTTCCTCATAGACAACAAGGCGCGTTCAGTTTTTGAATTAAAAGTAGAGCGTTTCTAGGGTTGTCTAGGATGATAGGATAACAACAATATTTATTGTTTTGGTCTTAAGTGTAATAACAGCTTATCCCTCTATTTCCTTTTGATGTCTTTGTTTATTTTTTTTCGCGTGTAGTTTCCCAACCGTTTACTTGAAACTGGCATAAAGTTGAAGCTGTTGCCATAATATAAAAAAAAAGTGTAATAACTCTTTAATGCTAATTTAATGAGGTAATGCACTTAACTGCAATAATACCGACTTACTTTAAAAGATACGATAATATACTTTTAAAAGAAAGCCATAGGACAGTTTTGCATACATTTTACATAAATGTTAAAATTATAAACAAATACGTACGTACTACGTATCGAAAATACTATATTATTTATCAATTTGCAATATGTCCATCTTCAAAGCTTTATAGTGGTAGGTGTTTGTTGTGCTAGACATAGTTTTATATATGAACAATCGTATCTTTAGCAACAGGTTACGGTTTAACTATGTATTTAATTTAAGTTACTATTGACCAGCCCTGCATTAGACAATGCTTCGATATCACAAAAAGCCCGCGTAAAATATTTTGATATTTGACAACTGTCACGCGGCACTGATCGATATCTATTTATTCAAATATGTGACTATAATTTTATTACCTACGGTGTTTTAGTAAATATTTTTGTTATATTTTAGAGACAGCTGGAGGTATAAACAGTGTTGATTTATTTTGTGATCTAAACTAGGACACAAAACTATGTTTATGCATTCTTTATCTTTGTGTTACACTTTGGATAATACATTTATAACATAAAAAGAAAATATTGAAGTTATACTTCTTTAGGCGCGTTATGAAAAATTTATGAGAATGAAATTTTACGATGCGCGCGCACCGTGACACAAAATTATCAGTATGGACTATGGGCATAAGACAATCTACAAGTAAAAAGAAATAGAATATGCGTGACGTTAGCAGCTATGCCAAGAATTTTGAGTGACCATAATGACATTTGTAGTACCTTTTAAACAAATAAAGGAGTTTTAATTATTTTTTCAAAGAAATTTAGCAATGCTTTTTCACAAAGACCTATTGTTACTTAGTTAAAAGGTTATGAAACATACCTAGTTATAAAATTGAATTAATAATATAATAAAATAATAAATAATAATTATTATTAATATTAATTAATAATTGAATAATATACTAAATATTAAATGTTGTAAAATTATTAACGCTAAATATTTATTATTAATTATTTAATATTTTAAAAAAATAAAGAAAGCCAAAGAAGTATAACTTCTTACGCGCGTACATAAGTACACGCACCATTTTTTTTTAAATTAGATTAATTAGGCGATTAATGGAGAATGACGTATATTATTTTTAATTTTACCATTATTAATTTAACCAATAGGTACGCCTTTATTTTAGGAGTCATATAATGTTCAATTTTACGTTTGTATGTTAAATTTACTGTTTTAAAAAAATCTAAGGTATATTTAACTTAACTTCATCCAGTAAAGACAAAACAAAATGTTCAAAACTCTATGATACGTGGCAATAATATGTATCTTTATATTTAGTTTAAACCTTGTAAACATTCGTTTTTCAAAATGAATGTTCGACGTATACTTTACATACGAGTGGGTACTATCGTACCTACGTAAATTAGTTCTGGAATTATCCAGTAACGATAATTGTCCTACTAATCCTGTATAGCGGGCCACGCGTTTTCACCAGCGTCATTCCTATGAATGGACTATTTAAAACCAGAATGACAGAAAAGAAGTAAGTAGTTGCGAGGATCTCTGTGAGCTTTACCCACATTTAACCAACCAAACTTTTTGTCTTTATACCTAATATTTAGTAAGTATAAAAACGCTTACACAGTTTACGGTTTCCTATAATCTATACATAAGAACTAGAACATTAATCAGGACTTGAAAAGAAGCTATCAAATTATTTTTCTGTATGAATTTTGATATTAGACGAGATTGTGAGATCAGAATTAGCTTTACCTTAACCTTAAGCGTCTTCTTGAGATCCGTATAATAAGTGGGTTGTCATTTGTCTAACAAATATTACTTAGGTGTCAAAAAGTGTTAAACAGCGTTGAAATGGTATTAAAAAATTAGCGATTGGATTGGGATTAGAACTCAAATAGATCACATCATTCTACCCACATAAGTGATGACCAAGCTCCTGTCAGTTAATATGTACCTATGTGATGCTGTCCCATAAACCTCGACGGGCAAACAGTTCTGTGTCTAGACGTTGAGTTATGGGTCAAAGACATCCCTGCTTCCTAGAGTTTTTTTAGGAAGAGCCGGGGCCTTGGTGTCTGGTGATCTCCTGAGGTGGGATCGTACCGTACCCTATATAAACCTACACATATATTACCGTACCAGCAGATGATCAAAATATGTTATAACGTCATCGAAGGCACTACTCATATTTGGTCGTAAAAACCGATAGTCGTAACAGCCGATGACGTTGTTATTAAGTACCTAATACATAGAATTCAGATCGGACCTTTGATTTTGGTCAATATAACCGGTATGTTGTTCTAAACGTTGTCGTCGTAAGCGGTTTTAACTGTAGTTAGAGTAGTTAAAAGAGTGGTATAATAATTTCATTAAAATAAAAGGGTTCTGTGTTTTTCTAACCGAAGCCTTTTTGTAATTTAAAGATTCACACTTTTTGATTGAGCTATTAATTAATATTTCATATTACCTTATTTAATATAAGACATAACTACGTTAGAGCTAGCTAAATCCCATTTAATAAGAGTTGTGTTGTGTTAAGGCACAAGAAGCCAATAACTTGTCTATGAAAAATAAGAATGAAAGGAATGCAGAAATTAGTCCGTCCGGGACTTCAAGTATAATATTTGTTCTAGTCAATTGCCTTGAACCACTTTTAATAAACTTGCTATATAGCTTATAAGATAAATAACGCCATCTATTAACAGTTCTCAATTTCATTGCCTTTTAAAAATCATTTTTTAAAACAGCTAGTACGAAAAGCTTAAAATTGGCGAGTAATAATATGTATTCTGGCAGGCATAAGTTCAGGGTCAAATTTTAAATAAATGTAAACAAATGAAAAACCCTCAGCAACAAAATTAAATGGTAATTTAAAATGTCACCAAAGGATCTCTAGAATAGCTATCGAGTGTTACATGTTGCGCTAGTGTGGCTTCCGTCCGCTCGCGGCTTCGTCTACGATCGATCCGAGCAATTTTGTCTATTTACGGCTTAATTGAATTAGCTTCTTTGTATATTTCTGTTGTTTAAATTTATTAACGTAGTCATTTTAATTAGAGTAAATAATTCTAATTCTTGCGTTAATATATGATACATAATATGATAAATGTAACAAATTTTTATATTTGAAATTTCAATCGAAAATTGAGCAGTAATTACACTTTTTGTCGTTAGTATATTTTTTAATATTGCGTAGGGACTGGTATGTAGCCCTGTTAATTATTTATTTATTTATGCTTTATTCACAAACATACACATAATAAAAATAAAAAAAACAGGTTAGTTAGGTTAAAAACAAGTTATAAGGCAACGGGCGGCCTTATCGCTAACAAGCGATTTCTTCCAGGCAACCCTAATCTGAAACAATGAAAAATAAACATCTACAGAGGGTAGAGTACAAGAAATGCAAAAATTATTAACAAAAAAAAACTCAAAATAACACGTTACTATAACTAAAATAAAATAAAGTAAAGTCTAAAGAAAAAATAACAATTATAATAAATAAAAATATGTATAAACAAAAATTTAAAATACAATCAAAAGGTTAACAAATATAAGCAGAGCTAATTACGAGGCAGAAAGAAAATGATCAAAAAGAAGCTTTTTGAATAAATTTAAGGACTGAGCTCGTCTAATAACAATTGGTAGGGAATTCTGTGAAATACTTTGCACAGTAAAGGAGGAGTGATAGAATTCAGTTTTATGAATTGAGTTTCAAGAATTAGATTGTCTAAGGAACGCAAGTCAAAACTACCGCCAGAGAGGAACATAAAATTTTGCTTTAAGGAACTAGGAGTTTTAGTTTGTTATTTATTAAAATATGGATGATTAATTAATACATAAAGAAATGCAGTAGCGGAACAACTCTGATATAAGACATCTATGAGTTTCCGTTTGAACTATTGTAAACTTGCACACTCTTCGACGCTGATAACTGCCCTCTGTCTTGTATAATATAAAAAAAAACATTGAAGGAAATGTTGCTCTGAAATACATCATACGCACATCTTATTATAAAATTAAATAATAATATAATTTTAAAAAATTTACACTTATTAAGACAAGTTTAGATTTCTAAATATTTTTTATTCCTCCTTCTAAATCGTTCAGTAGCTAATTTTTTAACTTGTAATATTTTTACCATTTCGTGTGATACGGCAATACCAGCATTAAATAAAAATTCAAAAGCAAACATGGCGCGTGTTGGAAGTGTTTCTTTTATGTTAAGTTTTTTCCTTTATTCTTCATTGTTATTATGTTTTTTCACAAGCAAGGCTAGTGCAAATATTGACCTAGACGAGGACAATTGGAGACAAATTCTAGAAGGTGAATGGATGGTTGAATTGTAAGTATTTGGTACCCGGCGCAATGCCGACTCTAACGTGTCAAAATTTTTGATTATTACTTTCTTACAGTACGTCAGTCTCTCGTCTTTAAATTTTTATGAAAATTGCATATAATATTAAAAGATTCAAATTATTTTGAAGGATTTTTTGTTTTTTTCAATAAGTAGTCTCAGGGTTCAATAAACTCAAGCAAGGTCAGACACGGGTCCGTTTATTTAACCGTGACGATTTAGTTTTTTTAAAATCTAGACGGAGCTTATTGCCTCCTTTTTTCAACAATTTTTACCTGATGAAACTTAGGTCCAAATAAGGCAGTCGAATTTGTTGTTTGAGTCATGAATTTTATGTGTGGGTTCTCTAGTGCAGCATGCATTATTTAAAAAAATCACCCACGTCAAAAATGTATAATTCGTAAGGCGTAAACTCTAAATGCGATGGGACTCTTACATCACATTCTTGCTTTATCATATCCTGAACTGGATCTTACGTGAATATTTTTGGCTTTACTTTCAGATGTGTTGAAAGTTTACAGATATCATAAAATACCAATTATGAATAACCATGTATCATTGGTAATTTGAAACATTGTTATTAATAGCTACCCATTTGTATACAGAGTAAAGTGTACAGTGTTGCTTAAACATATTTAAATTCTTATAAGCCTAGTTTAAAAGATAAAATAATGTTTATTTAAGGTGATTCTTTCTTCACTACTATTTATTTAATATAATTATTGAAATACACATTGATTAATTACATTATAGAAAGAACTGGGACATTGCTTAAGAACATAGCCTGATTTTGATGTAGTTACAGATGTAGAAAGTGTCTGTCCCATGCCCCATTAGGGTTTTGTGAGAATGTTTATTCATGAAATTATTCAAAATAACTAAAACAGTTAGTCCCAACTAACTAATAATGTATGACATCATAGATGAATAATTGATTCTATGAGGCAATGATTACTAATTCTGATTAAGTGATGCATGATTCTGTTATTGAAAGTGATGCTCCAGTTATTGTTAATACACATCAATGCACATGTGAAATTATAAATGGACATTCCTTTCTGAACTACACTAAAATTTTAACAAAAGCTTATGCTTAAGATATGCATACAAGACAAATTACTACCTTTCTACCATCTTAAATGGAATAGTGTAAGTGTAATTTTTTTATTATAACCATATTGTTTCTGTGATATATACATATACAATCTTAAAATAAACTGCCTTCATACTCTGTAGGGGTTTGTGTACTATGAGATCCCAAGTTTGCTGCAGATAGTAGCAGAACTACACCAAAATGTACTACCAGAGGTTTCAGAGTACCAGACATGTAATCTGGTATTGTACATCTAATTTTATACTTTTGTTTATAGTCATGCTCCATGGTGCCCAGCATGCAATGCGTTATCCTCAGCATGGAAGGAGCTGTCAAATAAGGCACAGAGCAAGAAATTTTCAATGAAAGCTGCTGCAGTGGATGTAACAAAGTCACCTGGCCTAAGTGGTAGATTTGTTGTAACTGCTCTGCCAACAATATTCCAGTAAGCATATTTAGTGTTGTCACATATAAATATTATTATAAAGTAATGTAAAAAAGTAGTTCATCTTATATTATTTAAAAAAAAGGGTGCGTGTAATTATGTACGCGCGTAAGAAGTTATACTTCTTTGGCATTATTAAAAATAGTTTTTGATTGCATACAAATAATTAATTACAATTAAATAATCAAAGACTGGAAAAGGAGTCATTATAGTCAATAAAGTTCAGTTTACATTTGAAAAATTAAATAAATAAATATTTATTATTATTATATTTATATATATTATTATTTTCTAATATTAATTAGTATTGATTTAAATATTCAATTTAAATCACTTCTGATTATAATTCAAACGCACATATAAAATTCGCACTTGTATTATGAAAATAACTAGGTATATAACCTTTTAATTTAACTTGAATATTTTATATATTATTATATTTATATATATTATTATTTTCTAATATTAATTAGATTGATTTAAATATTCAATTTAAACACTCCTTTTATTTCCACATTTTAAATTTCCCCTTTTTTTTTTTTTTTTTTTTGTATTAATTTTAAAAGGTAAATGTCATTATGGTCATTCAAAATTCTTGGCATAGCTGCTAACTTCACGCATATTCTATTTCTTTTTACTTGTAGATTGTCTTATTCCCATCTCGCTCGCGCCGGCTATAATCACACTGATAATGTTGTGTCTCAGGTGCGCGCGCATCGTAAAATTTCACTCTCATCAATTTTTCATAACGCGCCTAATGAAGTGTAACTTCAATAAAAATAAAATATGATAATAATAAAACATAATTAAGGGACTAAAAACATTTCATTTCCAGCGTAAAAGACGGTGAATTCCGTCAATACAAGGGTCCTCGTGACGCAAGCTCAATGTTAGAATATGTGGAGAAAGCTCGTTGGAAGCAAACAGAAGCTGTACCCTCCTGGAAGGCACCTGATTCAATTCAGATGGGTGTGGTCGCTCACTTCTTTAAACTCAGCCAGGCTTTGAGAGTAAGTGAATTAAGTTGTGAATATAATTATTAATATTACACAACATGAAACTAATTAAAAATATTTGCATTACAGAGTGTACACAATATGTTGATGGAAACATATGGTCTACCAACGTGGGGATCATATCTTATTTTTGCTATTGCCACAATATTTATTGGAGCGTTGCTGGGATTGGTAAGTTATAGGTTTTATTATAAAGTAAATTTCCTAATGACATGTGACATTTTGTTATGGAATACTTCTTGGGCATGAACATAATTTGCTTGCTTTCAACTACTGACTCATGAGAATTTTCATACAAATTGATGCAGACTTTTTGTTAGCGTTAATTTTTTTCTAACTCTTAGTAGAGCTTTTTATGTAAAACCTTGTGTTTATGCCAACATAATGTCCTGATGTGAATTTAACTCTTCATATTTGCAGATAAATATAAATTCATTTACTTAACAATTTTTTATACAAAAAAAAGTATTTTGAATAAAAAGTGTAAACCTTTAACTATCATAAACTTACAGATTCTCGTATGTGTCATCGACCTCTTATACCCCCCTCGTCGGGCTGACAAAGTGTTTATATCCCGAGCTGAAGCTGAAAAGAGAGGAGAAGAGAAAAAGTCGGATGATGTAAGTATTTTTTTAATATTTGCCGATATATAAATTAAAAGGCTCAAATCAATATTTTAAAGTTTAAAATTCCATTATTTAAAAAAAAGATCTTGCTGTTCCGAAAATATTTTTCTTACCGTAACTTTTATTAACAACAATAAAACACAAAGGCTGTGCATATTTTTTTTTTAAACAAAATCGGATTAAATAGTTTTTTTCGTTCAAAATTCTGATATTTGGCATTGGTTCTATATAAGTACAGGTTGTTTAACAGTGGCGTAACTATACCATCTGGGGCCCGTGGCAAATACTTTTGATGGGGGGGGCCCTATCAGTAATCATTGTTTAATAAACTTCGAGATTTTCAGCGTACTCGTTGTATATGTCCCACTAATGGCCATAGGCCTCCTTGCTTAGGCGAGAGGGAATGGTCTGTAGTCCCCACGCTAGCCCAATGCGTATTTGAGACTTCACATTCATCCATAGAACATAATATCTCTTGGGCAGGGGACCTGTGGCATTTTGCCAGCCCTGCCACCTTATTGTTACGCCATTGGGTTGCTAATGTTTCGCATTTAACTTTGTTCAACAAGTTCTACTTGTAGCAAACTTTAAAAGTCATCCAATGCGTTTTATTTCGTCTCAACTTTAAATTTTCGTTTCAGCTAAATTTGTAATGTCGCATCCAGTGTTTAGAATATTTGCCGTTTGTCATTTTCCCTCATAATTACATAGTACGTAATCTTTATTAAATTTTTCATCAGGACCTGATAAATGATGATATCGTGGATGAAGCTGAGAACGCAGATAGTGACGCCGAGAAAAATTCACCTAGTGATGTGAGTTTAACTTTTTTCGTATTTAATTTAAAAGGCCGGCGACGCACTAGCGAGCCCTCTGGCATTGAGAATGTCCATGGGACTCTTAACATCAGGCGAGCCTCCTGCCAATTTTCCCCTGTTCTTTATAAAAAAATATGAAGTTCCCAAATGTAGCATACATTGGTATAAAATAATGAGTCTTAATTAAACTCTATTTGGTAGCCTATGTCTATTTTACATAAAAATCTGATTAAAATAATTGCATTATTATTCAAAAATGTGTTTTAGTAAAATGGGAAATTAGGCGTCGGTTGCATTTTACCTGTTTTGGGTGATCAAATGTTAACAAGCAAAAAATAACACACCACCGTTTGCATTCTCAATTAATTTTGATTCATACATTAATTACCTTTAAAAAACCATTAACAGACGTCAGACGACGACAAAGACAAGGCAATGGGCGCGGGGGAAGGTCAGTCGGGGGAGGGGAAAGGGGACAAACAGGAGGTGCGCAAGCGCAGGTCACGGAAGGCTGACTAAATTACTTTTCAGTGAACAAATGGTTATTCATAAACATAGTATTCCAATGTTAAGTTGATTAAATATAATCATTGTTTAACTATTTGAAGGTATAATGTATGTTTATGAATATGACTAAGTATTATTGCCATTTTACATTATTTAATCATGAATTTTGGACCATTTTGTGAACCTTTTTGAAAGTGAAAAGATTTTTTTTTTCAAGGTTTGCAGGAATGGCATTTGAGATGGTGTAGGAATATTGGCCAGTTAGTTACACTTCTATTATATGGTCTGAACTTGTCACTCAAAAAGGATTTTGTTATTCTATTTCTAATTTTTTTAAGAAAACTTTTTACACAATGTTAAATGGCAATGTACACTTAAGGGTTAATATTCTAAGTAGAAACTTAGCGCTAAGTATGAAACTCGCATGTCAAAAATAAAAAGTTTTTGTCATACAGCAGTCATACTTTGCTAAGTCTCGACTCTGAATCCTCCGCTCAGATGATGTAGGCAACTCTTATATTTATGATCAATCTCAATAACTTGGCTTTTGTCACTTTTCTGTCTTAAGACTGATTTATAATTACTTTTTCATCTAGTTATATCTCCTGTCATTGTACATGTTTACAGATTGAGACAAAAATAAAATGTTTGTAATATTTATTGAGCGTTGAAAATTCTTTCATAAATAATTGCCTAAGAATCTAATCATATATATTTAAAATACTATGGACATACAGGTGATTTAATAGTCTGCCTTTTGAAGGAGGTCCTTGAAAGTAGAGCTAATGGCTATTTTAAAAAAAGTCTGATAAGCTTAGTTCCATAAAAATCCATGGAATACTTTCGTGGGACGGACGATTGTTTTTAGTATGATTTTCACATAATATCTGTCTGTTCTATGTAATGTTTTATTTTAAAACTACTTGTTACCCATAAATTTTAACATAGAATATATTTTATATTTGTATTCGATTTTTATAGATACGTTGCGCTCAACATTGCATTTAACCGTACGTAATGAAGTAATTTTCAGAATATTTGTAATTTGAAAATAACAGATTAACTTATCGTTAATTTTATTAAATTTGACTATTTGCAAGTTCCTGGTTTGCATTTGGATGTGTTTTTCACTTTAGCACCAAAACGTAGTGTAGGTTGTGCACTTAGTATTATTAATTTAGGTTTCTTTTCACTTTCGACTTGGTTTCTGAGATTAGGAGCTCAGAATTAAAATTCGGTGTTAATTTTATTAATGTATAATAGCACCTTAAATTTAAATGTTTTTTTACAACAAAGTGTTTCAAATAACTTAAATCACGTAAACCACTTGGAAACCCAAGTTCACGTTCTATTGCGTTATATCTTTTAATTTTCTAAAATTAATCTAATCTTTTAACTGACAAACATTCCTAAGTATAGCAACTGTACTTATTGTAAATTACAAATATCTGCTAACATAACTGGCTGGCTGCCCATATTTTTGACTCAGTAGGGCTGAACTATACGTAAATAACGCTAATGTAGAACGCATATTATATAACGAAAAGCAGAAATACGATTTTATTGTAACGTTTTAAATATAAATAGATGATTATTTTTGCTTCTCGTTAAAAATTGCCTTTTAAAAACTTTACGATTGCGTAAGTGTTGCAACTAACTTGTGACTTGCTAATAAATTGTATTTATAATCATTGTTTTATTTTTGTGTACAAAATAAAAACATCGTGTAAAAATCATTTATTTATTAATATAGCTAAAGCTTACATTACATTTTTACAATTTACTAAAATATAAACTTATAGATAGTAGGAGCATACATCATGTGCCTGAAACAAAGGAATCTTATTGAAAAACAAATTCTAAGGTATAGTGCTTTTCATGAAAAAGTCCCGATATTTTTGGAACTAAATTTGACAGGTCGGCAATGTTGTCATTCGTCGATGTTATCAAAGTTCGTTTGTTGTGGTAGATTTTTGTGAATTTTTAACTATCTTAGTGCATTTTAATTTGATTACAATGCCAAAAGTTGTAAAAAGTTCGGCTCGAGAATTGATATTAAAGGTGAAAGAGTTCTGTGAAGCGGAACAAAAGAATAAAGGTGTTTTAATCCACTAAACAATGTTCGGAAGAGAGTTGCCGCCATAACAGGTACTTTTAGAGTTGCCATTTAATAATTTTTTGCTGTATTGATGGGAGTTTTATGATAATATAAATTCGTTTTTACGACAAATTGAAAAATACATAACGTGATGAAACTAGGTAACTGAAATTAAAATTTTTAAGCATTATAAACTTAAAGTTACTATTATTTTTAATTGTTCATAATTTAATTGCAGGTGTGTCAAGAAAACTGTATCAAGAATTACAAACGAAGGTGTAACAGCGGCGTGTACTTCAAAAAAATTGTAACCCGGGAAGAGTCGCCCGCATCCGAAAAAGTTCGACTTAGACGGGTTCGATTTGTGCGCTATCCGGCAAAAAATTTACAGTTTTTACGTCGTACATAAAGAATTACCAACATTGGTTAAATTACGGGCAGCTCTGCAGAGGACATCAATTATCAGGGAACTCACAACATGCACAGGATATTAAATAGAATTGGTTTCAAGTAAAGCATGTCAATCAGACGAAAACTACTTATGGAACCCACAATTACCGCATGGCGTGCAAGATATTTGATAAAATACGAAAATCGCACTGTGGAAAACGACCAGTTGTATACTTAGATAGACTTATACCAATACTTATCATACAAAACTTGTTGGCAGAGTGAGGAGGAGCCAGGAATGTTCGTCTCAAATCATCAGAGTCGCTGATAATCGCTCATGCGGGAACAAAAGATGGATCATAAATGGTGCATTATTAATGTTCAAATCCCAATCAAAGTCCTCAGATACCACGATATAACTCAGAAATTTCTAAAATGGGTGACGAAAAATACCTAACTACCAAAGGTCGCTTGTGGTAAGGAACCTCCTAATACTAATAAAAAACTTCTATGTCAAATAAAAGTAGTATCAAAGTGGCTCCGGCAAAAGGGTATATATTTTGAAGAACCTGGACAAAAGTTGTGCTGTATGACATCAAACAAAATAAAGGTCCACCGAATGCGTGGATGAATTATTAACAGCTCAGGACACGAAGTATTAAGGTTGCCGCCTTACCATTGTGACTCAACGATTGAGAATATCTGGAGCCTTGTAAAAAGAAAGGTGGCGGATAAGAAGGGCCAACCAAAAAATATTAAAATTAATAAAGAGGCCTTTGAGTCTATTACGGCTGAAGATTGGACAGCTCAGTGCTCCATGTCGAAATAGAGGAGGAATTTAAAAAATGACGGCCTTATGGATGAAGTGATGGACGAATAATTATATCAATGCTAGTGATACTGAAACAGAATTGATTCTGTTTCAATACACTCTTCGGAAGTGATGTCCTATGGCCGTGATCACAATTATGCAATAAAACTCTGATAAACAATTGTATTGCTTTTCTTTACCCTATTTTCTTCTTTTCCTGTAAGTAGGTAGAACCGCAATATAAGTAAATAAAAATATACTTTACATAACAGATATATTGTTTCATCGAAGTACGCAGAAAATAGTATTATTTGATAAATTACATCTGCTAATGTAAATAAATAGGTAAATTTTACTCATAATGGCAATTACTATCATTGCAGCCCGTCGGGGATTCTTTCGTGAAAAGGACTATAAATACAGACTTTCCATAGATTATGAAGTTTTTTTTTTTCAAATTCAACATAAGCCATATTTGGGCCCTGTTTGGTATATAAACTAAAAAAATCTGGCCGTCACGGGACGCCTGGCAGATGTGAAACATCGAAATTATTTTGTAAAAGTAATATGCAGAAAAGAACAGATTGTGATAGGAACTAAAAATAAACTAAAAACTAAACATAATGATAAAATATTAAAATTAAATTTTCCAGATAACGATGACTATTTATTGAATAAACATTTATTTTCATTAAATACAAAAATTTACGAATGTATTTCAAATCGTGACTATTTAATTCGTTTAATCAGTGACTTCGAAATACACACTACTGTATATACGAGTATATACCATCATACAGCGTGGCGACGAGTCGCCGTGATGATGGAAATCGGTTTTACGTGCGGCTATAGATGTTTCACATCAAAAAATTCCTACAAGAAAAAACTTAACCAACCTAAAAAAAAACAAAGGCATGGCATCCAGCCTTACATTATCCAACCAATATGTTTTTTCTATTGATTGTACAAATTATATGTTGCTTATCTATAAATATTGTGTTAAAATAAATTATATTGATTTAAAATAAACTATATAATAATTTTAGTTCCATGACAAATACCTAGATGTCACTCGCGTCGTCTCTTGGCGTGAGGCTCATGATGACTCTTGCGTGAGCTTTTGTCTGCACGTTTCGCTTCACTCAAGAACCGGTCCAGACCGAACGGATCAAAGTCAGCCTCTGGTTGATTACTGCGACTCTACAATTATTAAATACAAAAATGATTATTCATTCTAAAATAAATACTAAGGAAACCAAAAATGATTTCTAAAAAACTTGCTACGAAGCTCAATTTTAAACTAGCAAATTAATCAAAAATACTGTTTAAATTAAAATGCCACGAGTTTTTATTATCGATGAAATAAATTTTAAAAAATTAAATTTATTATTTGTGCACTAATTGTTAATTTCTAACATCTTCCTTTTCCCCTCCCTCTAAGTCTCAAAAATCAAAAGTTTTAGATTTGTATCAATATGAACAAGACTTAAAAATTTGTTTGTCAAAGAAGTTTCACTATGTGTACTTTGTACGCACGCACTTTTTTTTTAATTATAAAAATACAAACCGGTGGTTCCGCTCGCGACGGATTCTTTTCAAACTGAACGGGGCCTGATCGAGTATTGCTACTGCTGGTGCCGGCGAATTCCTTGTCAGCTACGAAACTGTAAAAAAAATACATTCATATAAATTTTATATAATTCGACTTGAGGCTGCTAGTTAAGAGGCTAGACTGTCGATTGAATGGCTAATTAAGCTAGTTGGCTGCAACATATATATATCCAGTATCCTTCAAAGATAATAAATATAAATGAAATATTAATTATTCTTATAATTTGATTTGTTATCTTTGAAGTAATAATAATATAATAATAATAATCTTTATTGACATATTTGTAATTACAGAAATCCTATGAAGACTCTGACACCTAAACTAGGCTTTAGTGCCTGTATCTCAGGAGTCAGTGGCTTCTCCCAATATAATTCGTAACAAGTGTCAAGAGAGCTTATTCAAAATTTTACAAGACAATACTTTTTATAGACATTTGTAAATTCCAGATATTACATCTAATTATCTTCTTACACATAATATACTTAAACAAAAATAACATATATTGAAAAAAATGTTTCAGTATAAATTACAATGAATATAATAGGTAATAAAATAGGTACATACACATAAAATACTAAAATACATAAATATACATAATACATAAATATACATAATTATACATTTTACATATGGGTATATGTAACACTAGTATAAATATATAAATTATACACATAATTAATGAATCAAAATAACTAAAACATTATTGTAGCATGTTAGTTAAATAGATCTTCTGTTTCCTCATAATTTAAGGACAAAAGCCAAGTCTTAACAATTGATTTGCAGTCATGTAGTGAAAGAGGGTAGAAATTTAATTTTTTGTTTATTTTATTATATAGAAAGACTGAGAGATATGCTCGTTGTCGCCTTGCGAAGGTAGTACGGAATTTTGCTGTGGGGAGTACATTTGGTATACAGCGTTTGTTACTGCAAACCTCTGGGTTATAAGGGGTATGGACATGTTGTTTGGCTATTATATTAAAGACGAATAACTGTCTAACACTGAGGAGCTCACACTGTTTATATAAAAGTGTGGTTGAAAATCTGAAGGGTTTGAAAGTCATTACTTTTAGTAAAGATCTGTGGGCTCTTTCAAGCTGAATTAGATGTGACTTGCACGCTCCACCCCACACGCTCACGCAGTATCCAATAACCGATTTTACTAAGGCAAAGTAAACAGTGCGGAGTAGTTCAAAATCCGCGGCATAACGTAATTTTTTGAATGTCCAGATTAGTTTTCGCGTGCGTGCCGTTATAATCTCAATGTGAGGTAGCCAACTCAATTTATTATCTAATTCGATACCGAGGTATTTAATGGTATTGGATTTTGTTATATTAATGCAAGTACAATTTCGCTCAGAGACACATATGTGTATTTTAAGATTAATATCAGTCATATGGGAATTAATAGTTTGGAACTGAATATACGAAGTTTTAGAAATATTTAAAGTAAGTAAATTTTCCCTGAGCCATCTAGCCACCTTCTGCAGTCCGCTTTCGGCAATATTTTGTATCTCGGTCCAGGTGTCCCCATAAAAAACTATAGCCGTATCATCGGCATAGGTAAACAACCTGCAACTAGTTAGGGACAAATTACATAGGTCGTTTATGTAAATAAGAAAAAGACTTGGACCAAGAATACTGCCCTGCGGAACTCCAAAAGTTACATTTGCGTCGGAACTAATATAATTATTAATCTTAACCCTTTGCACCCGACCACTAAGGAAATCTTTAAAAATAAGCAGGGCTGAGTCTCTTATTCCAATTCGCTCCAATTTGTCCACAAGTATAGGTATTGAGACGGTATCAAATGCCTTGGCAAGATCGAGGAAGACACCAAGGCACTTTTTTTCCTGTCAAGTTTTCCTGTGACAAACTCAATCAAGCTACCCACAGCGTCTTCTGTTGACATACCCATTCTGAAACCAAATTGTGAGCTGGACAGAATATTGTACCGATTTAAAAACTGTATTAACCTCACGTTAAGCATCTTTTCTAGGATTTTTGATAGTGCTGTAAGCACAGAAATCGGTCTGTAGTTTGCAACACAATCCCGTGCCCCACCCTTGTGAACAGGAGTAATGAGAGACCTTTTAAAGACTTTTGGAAAGCAGCCTTCCCTAAAACATGTTTGAAACAAGATAGTAAGCGGCGATACAATGACATGTCTTACCATTTTTAGAAATCGAGCTGGTATAGAGTCCCAACCAGTGGCACAATCATTTTTTGAGCTTAAGATGAGAGATTCCACCTCAGCCTCATCTGGTGGCATTAGTACGAAGGAGTTAGTCAAGCAATTAGATCTTGTACATTTGTAGTTATACTTACACCCTGTAAGTTTTTCAGCTAGCTCTCTACCAACATTAGAAAAATAACTATTTATGTCCTCAACCGCATCCAATGCGTTACAATTCCTAATTAACTCATCGGCAGAAGATTTTTTACTTGAACTATCGGTGACATATTTTATTGCAGCCCAGGTTTCTTTATTTGATTTTGCACTTTTTAATAAGAATTTATCGTGTTCGCGCTTCAATTTTCTAAGTAATGAGCAACAAAAATTCCTGTACCTTTTATAGGTTATTTTAAGAATTTCATTTTGGGGGTCCCTTTTAAATTAAGATGCAGTTTATCCCGGTGACGGATACAGCGAAGTAGGCCCGGAGTCATCCAGGGCTTAAGAGATTTTTTGCGCCTGGGTACACGGACTTTTTCAGTGTTAGCTTTAATAGCAGATGACAGAATTTCAACAAATCGAGTCGCAGCAGACTCGGCGTCTTGCTTGTTAGTCATAAAAGTAAAATCAGCCAATTCAACATATTTTATAGCTTCACTAAAATTTACTCTTTCAACAATGGAAGGGCACTGAGTATTAGTCCGTTTACTGTTAAGGGATAGATTTATTAGAATAGAGTCGTGATCAGTTACGGTGGAATTTATAACTATAACACTAGTTTGTAAAACAGTTTTAACCATTACATGATCGAGACAATTGCTTAATCGTGTTGGATATGTGTGGCCTGGCAGAAAACCCAATTCGCTGGTTAAATTTAAGTAAGAGTTACTGTTTCTGTCACCGTTTCCAGGTTTTATATCGATATTTATATCACCTATTAAAAATATATTCTTAGATGATATAGATTTAACAATATCATTCAAAGCATTCAAAAAGCGCTCAGTGTAGTAAAAGGATGGTGATCTATAAATAGCTAAAAGTACAATATCTGGTACTATTTTAGCTAGCAGAAAGTTAGCATCTTTAGGATTAGGTTCTTCAATTTCGCAATTTATATTTTGTTTAGCATAAATTATAATACCGTCATTTTGATTTAAGCATTTTTTTGTGAAATAAGAATTATAATCCTTGAGACTGGGTATGGGTTTATTATCGTTTAACCAGCATTCAGTTAAAATTATTATATCTGGCTCAAAGTACAGACGAGCTATATGGGCCAAGAATGCATCAATATTTTTGTAAACGCTACGGATATTTTGTGTTATAATTTTTAGGGAGTTTCCTGATTTTTTTACTAAATCATTACAATTTTTTATATCACAACTGTAGGCAGTTGCCACTGTTATATTATCAATATCATTATTTATATTATCAATAAATCTAGCCATTTGTAAAATATTAAGCTTTTTGTCGCAGCTACTCGTGTCTGAGAAATGCTGACATTTTTACAAAGATAAGATCTCGATTTCAACATGATCACTAGACTAAGAATGTATAATTTTTTAGTTATGTAAAATACAATACAATGAACAGAGTATAAGTATGTATATAAAGAAAAACAATAATATAATATATAAAAAAATAAAATAATATCTATAAAAACAATACTTAAGTGCCGGATTTTCACAAACAGGAAAGTTATCGTAGGCCGGCGGACTTTCCTGGGGGCCTCAAAAAGTCATTGTTTTAGACGAAGTTTATTTAAATCACCCTCACTATCAATTCTAATATGCCGTTTACCTTCATCTTGTCTCAGGTAGGTTCTTCCAAATGAGGTCCAGCAGAATTTATATCCATTTTCCTGAGCAAATGCACGAGCCAGATAATTTAATCGTTTTCCGCAGGGTGATAGACATTCTGAAATAAAAAATGGCTTTGCTGGTCCTTCCAAACTTAAGTGTGCCGTGTTCAATTTGTTAGCAGAATTCATTTTGTTAAATTTGCGTGCCTTTTCAATAATACCATCTTTCAATATAACGCTGCCCAATTCCACAATAATTGCTCCATGTCCAGTTTTACTTTTTGTACGATAAATATCCTTAATATCCTGTTTCTGTATGGGAAAATCAATAACATCTGCAGCTTTTGAAGCAATGTTACATAAACTATCCTTATTTTCACCGGTAATCTTAGGAATATTTCTTAGTTCAAGTTTAGTTGAGGCAGACGTTCGTTCCAGCGACTCGATTTTCTTTTCAAGCTGATCAATATACAGACGATCTTCATTCCTCTGTTTTTCCAATTTCTCGTATTTATCTTTCATATCTTCGTACTGCTTAGAGACAAAAGCAATGGAGTCTTTTATTTCTGTATTTTGTGTCAAGATTTCTCTCATGGAGGATTGCAAGGAGGTGAATTTACTTTCATTTTGAGAGTTTGCTTTAGCAAGCATATCCTTAATTTCGGTTATGAATTTTTTAATATAGGACTCATCCTGCTTGCGCCTCATAGTTACATTGCTTCGCTCCTCATCTCCGCTACCCGCTATCGCTTATGAATTACGGCAACTTACAAAGCTTGCGTATCAATGATGCGCGCAGACGGAGCGTACAACTTAAGCTGTCTCACAAGTGTTGTCCCGTTCGCACAGATGCACTTACTGCAACGCAACTCATGCGCTCCTGGTACACACCTTAATTTATTCGCACGGAATTTATTTTTAATTTGAATTTTAAGTTATAAAACAAATAGAATGCACACGTCTAAACGCTTCCGCGGTCCAGGAGGGAGAGGAATATTTAGACAAAAACTGTGATGTAAAAATTATAAGTCACTTTGGGGAAACCCCAGTCACTTCAAGATATTTTTTTGTTTTGACATTTTACCACAAATAACACACTATTTTAAGTTAGGTTCATTTCATTAATTGTATACTTTATGAAACATGTTTATTATGGAACATAAGATACATGTATCACTTTTTGAAAAATAGTATTGGGAGGAGAAGCTGCTTGCCGACTCTAAAGCGGGTCATAGACGGACCGCATGTAGCAGTCAAGGTCGACTGCAACATGCGGTCGCCGCAACATGCGGTCGCCGCACGGCGATCTGCAGTTTCCATACTAAATTCATATTCGCAATACACGGACCGCTCGAGCAGTTCCTGAGCAAACCGCATATTGCAGTCGGTCTTGACTGCAACATGCGGTCCGTTTATGGCCCGCTCAACGCTAGAAAATTCGCGTTCTGCAAAACTATATAGAGTTTGAAAGAATAACAACACAGTGTTACACTGTTGTTGTGCGACTCACCGTCTAGTGTTAGCGATCGTTTCTAAGTCGCCTCCATAGTTGTCGCTGTCGGCATTTCTCGAAGGCCGATAAATGTGAGAGGCGACGGCGTCACCAGATCGCCACGCTTTGTCGTACACGTTGTACGCTTCGTCATCACCGTAACCTGCAAAATATTTTTTTAATAAGTCATAAATTATAAAATATTACTATTATTAATAATAAAAAGGTCATTTAGAATAAAATTACCGCCTTCAACCTTCAATATTTGCCAACATTTTTTGGGGGGATAGCCTTATATCAAGAAATACAAAATATATACATTGTAACTATTGTCTTTCTTAATCTACGATAACTGATTCTGTGTGCCTATGGCCAAAGGCCTCCCCCATTGTCCTCCATTTTTCCTGATTGTATACCAATCTCGTCCAGGTCTTAGTCTTTCCAGCCATTTCCATGATTTCATCGGCCCACCTTTTAAATTGCCTACCTCTGTTTCTTTTATGGCCATTTGGAAATTAACCGAATTTGGGGATTATGTTATACATCAAATACTCAATTTAAATCATCTCGATATATAACTTAGTTTTCGAGAAACTTTAGAACATACATACACCTTGTAATTAATCACACATTGCTTAAAAGTATATAGATCAGCATACTGAATTATTGTACAATTCCAATATTTATACAGGTCAAACTGATACCCAAATTAAAAAAAAGGTCTCAGTAAAATAAAACAGTTGCAATGAAATTTTGTTAATCAAGAATATTGGCAAAATAAAATAAAAAAAGGAGCAATAACACATCTTCTACCCTAAAGACATTCTTTTTTTAATTTGTTTTAACCTGAAATCTAGAAGAGCTGTCAAAACATTGCCTTATTATGAAGTTCGGCAATTCTTAGAGTGGAGTAGTATGTTGCGACAATTCTATTTATGTTCATTCAAGATTATTTGACGCTTGTTTAAATTTCACAAAAATATTTTGAACACAAAGACAGGTAGACTTACCACTGTCCATCCCTTTGGAGTTGTTAAACAGCCGCTGATCGAACATCGCCTCACCACCTTGGCTCGCTTTAGCCGGAAGACCGAGCGCAATCTGCTCAGAAATATCTCGTTCCCGCTCCTTTACAAGTTTAGAACTGAAAAAGGTTAAAATGACATTAGCCATTACGTAAAGCAGGAACATTTTTAAATAACTTTTAGAATACGAATGACGAATTCGTACACTTAAAATGTTAATTTAATTATTTATTCTTAACCATATTCCACTAGTTACAATTAATTTAATAGATGATGCTCCTTGTTCTAAGGAACAGCTTTGTACTGCACACCATGCGATACGTACGTTTTTCTAAACAGATCGAGATACCATTCTAAATTTGCACAACGTTTATACTAATATATTTAGGTAAAAACATATATAAGAGTGAACTAGATTGTTTTTAAATTAATTTATAAAATTATCTATCTATCTATATATATAAAAGAAAAATGGTCTTCGTTTGAGGCTCCTTCACGCCTAAACCACTGATCGTATCGATATGAAACTACCACCATTGGTTTATGGCTATTTATTTATTAAATTCCAACGTTCCTTCATTTTTTTATTGCTGTTTTACTTTTATGAAAATTTATCCATACGGACTTCACCGCGGAAACATTCGGGGAGGCTTCCTAGAACCTCTAAACGTCAACATCTGTTAAAAACTCGATTTTCGAAATATTTCAATTTTCTTAGCGGGAAGTTAAAAAGAAGAATAATAAAAATATGAAAATAAAATAAAATAATGAAACATAAAATTTATTTTAATTCGTCCAGCAAAGCGGGCGCGAAACGGCTAGTATTATATATTTATATTTAGCATTCTCAACCAAAACTGTACGTGTTAATAATCCATTAATTTTAGATTAACCGTGTTTGAACTAGCATTCATTGGTAACAAAACTATTTTCGACCAAATTTATGGCTTGACACTTTTTTGACATATAAAAGTCATACTTAAAGCTAAGCCTCGACTCTGAATCTAAACTTTAATAACACGTATTTTTATTTGCCTTAACTACTATCATGGTAATGTTTAGCATAAAATACCCGGATTAAATCGTGTAAAAACTTACCGTTTGTCAGGAGCAGCGCGTGCCAAATTCCTGTCTCTCTGTCTCTCTTTATGTCTCTCCGCTCGCAACTTATCTCTCTCTGCCGATTCTCCGTCCAACTCCCCAATTGGCTCATTTTCTTCTTCCGGTCCCCTTATACCTGATATCAAGATACCATTTTAAATATTATTTTTAGTTTTAGATACATTATTAATCATAATAATTTAGACGATTTTAGGTATTAAAATTTTAATTTTAATTGACGTAACCTCGAATAATAACTCAACACAGCATATTCGGAGAACGATAAAATATTGTAATGAATTCGCATTAACGAGATTTGTATTTACTATACTAAAATTAAATTTCAAATTAAAAAAAATTAAATTTCAAATTATATTTCTATACTAAAACTAAAGAAGTCAATCGTCAAGCAAGACTTATAAATTACCCTTAACATTTGTGTAAATACATCTTAACACAAAATTAAAAAGGTGCGATTCCACCAGCAGAACTGTGTTGCACAGCGTACGGCACAAATGTTTATTTTGGTCGAATCAATCAAGGGAACAATATAGAAATTTTACCTAAAAATAAAATTTGTATTATGTTTCCTAAGACGTCCGAGGTCCATTATGAGAGTACATCGTTTCCTTTTCCGCCCAAATCGCTAGTATCCGACCTTTTCCCACCACGTGACACCGCCGCCAGCGCCCAGCGTTTGAAACTGGAACTAACTTTTTATCGCGCTAAAGCAAGCCGCCAGAGTTCTTGTTCATTGTTTGTCTCATAATAAGAGAACCAGGAAGAGCTTGTTTGGACCTCGGACGTCTTAGGAAACATAATATGTACAAATTTTATTTTTAGGTAAAATTTCTATATTATGTGTTCCGTTTGACGTCCGAGGTCCATTATGAGAGACGTGTTTGTTATCTCCTGGTGGCTTGTAAACTAAAAAACGCAACAATGTGATTTGAATTATTTATATCCGATAGAATCATGATGAAATAAACAATACAAGCTAATTAAAGCCTAAGCTTTAGCATCATTTAATAAACATAATAACAAAAATTTTATTGTTTATAATGAAGTAGAATACTTGGCTAATCATTAAGCGGCCGAAAGTACTGAGAAAGAGACTTCTGATTGAGTCTCAGCATTCTGACTATTATTATCTAGATTTCGACAATAATATATCTTTAATGTACTTTCATGACGCATGAATTTAGCGAAGCAACAGCTGATCAAGTACCCCGAGATGCTTCGATACCTGATTCCAAAAGGGGTTTCTTGACCCAGCTCCCAAAAATTGTGGGCGTAGCTGGTCTTACAGGATATCTGGTTGTAATTAACAAATTTGTCAAGGAGCCTCATCTATTATTAGAGACAGTTATGAGTGTCCTAAGCCAAAATAAGGGATTTAGATGCTTCTCCGGGCACGATAAAAACGTCCAACTTGACTGTCTATACGTTCCTGTATCTGTTTCAAAACCGAAACCCGGATGCAAAGTGATGGAATCACCGTTATCAATAAAATGCTGAGGCTCGAAAAAGCAAGAGAGTCAAATCATGAACTCTATGCCCAGAAGCCAATAAAATTATTGTGGCTGTGTGTTTCGAGCTATGAAATAAATTTTGCTCATCTAGTTTTAGGCTTTTCAAATAATTTATAACTTTCCCCGCTTCCCATACTGGCAATTACTGCGCGATTGGTCTAGCTATAGATAGGATTGAGCTAGCGCTTTAAGGATATGTTTTACTAATTTATTAGATAAAATTTTAACATCGCTTAGAGCCTCACAAATTGATGCTATTTCAGATTTGTGTACTAAAATAGATATAGATCTATTTAGATAATAGATTTAGATATATAGATATCTATGCCAGATGATCCTTTATAAATAGGTTTGCTAAGTATCTAGCTACATCAGGAGGAGCCGGGAATCGACAGTTTATATTCCTATGTTGACACCAATTTACCCATTTATACCAAATAGGGGCATATGTTTTCCTTGTTGAAGCTCTCAAACACGAAGAAATAAGTTTTGTCTCGTGTTTTCCAGCCAAAATCAGCCACGCTTCCAACTGTAATTTCTGCCCTTGAGGAGGAGGTTGACCCGTTACGGTATTTATCAGGGTTTTGTTTAGATTCCGTATTGGTAGCGAGGGTGCAAGTGCTCGGCCTTTCAAATCCGGGCGCCAAAAGGCTTCCTCCACCTGGGTGCTATTATTATGAACTTCCCTTGGGATAAGTTGAGATGGTGCAGCACTCGAGGTAGAGGCACTGGCGGTGGAAATATCCACGCTAGATCGTATCGCCAGCATTTACTGAAGGCGTGGTGAAGCAAGTGTTGGAGTCTAATAAGTCTAGCGACACATAACTTGCCACGACAAGAGCCTCTCGTGACGCGAAAAGATCTATTTCGGGGGTTCCCCATCGTCTGAATATGTCCGTGGTTGCCTCTTTCAAGAGATGCCATTCGGTGCCCCTACGATTGCGCGAGAGGTAATCGGCTTCCACGTTGTACATTCCCGGCAAGGAAGTGAGGGATAAGTACAATATTCAAACTGTCCGTCAGTGCCAGAAGATCTTTTGTCAATTTTAACAGCATTTGGGACCTTGTTCCTCCTTCGTTTTTTATGTACGATACAACAGTTTTGCTGTCGCTTTGTAGGATTACCATCGAGTTCTTTAGGACTTCGGATGTCAAAGAGATTGCTGCTACCACAGCGTGCATCTCCTTTAAATTGCAATGCCACTCAATCTGACTTTGAGTCCAAAAACCATTCAGGGGTTTGTTGTTGATTAGCGCTCCCCATTGTAGATCCGAGGCATCGGTGACAATGTAATTCACATGCCTTGTTTTGAAGTGAATCGGTGTTTTGTGACTGAGGTTGTGCAAACACCATACCATGTCCTGATTCACCTCTGCAAGAGAACTCGGGCAAAGCGGAGCTCTCCTAAATGCATTGCTGTGTCGCTGCAGCGTTCGGCAACGCAACCTTCCCCGGTGGGTGATGAAGGTCGCAAAATTGAGATACCCTAAGAGGCGTTGGGCCTGCTTGAGGGTCCAATTTGCCGGCTGACAAGCGTGTTATCAGGCACTGACGAATTTTGATAACTTTTTACGGGTAAGGACTTTGCATTTGATAGTGTGTCCCACGTGATACCCAGAAAATCGATCGACCTCGTTGGAGTGCATATCGACTTCTCTAGATTTATGGTCCAGCCCAGGTTCTTCAAAAAGGTCATGGCTACGAGAACCTGGGAGTTAAGAATTTTAATTAAGAACCGCGTTCGACTGAAGACCACTAAAACGCTACGTAACGCTTTATTGATAAACTCATTTTTAAATCGGTAAAAGCAACGTATTTCTTTTGTATATCAATATAACGTACACAGTTCAAATCAGAAATGTAAAAACCTCTGCATTGAAATTAATATTATAATTTATAACTCGGAGGTTCTTGAACCGACACGTCTAACTGAGCAATATCATTAACTACAGCCGCATGGTTCAAAAAAGGGTCGTGTAGGTTTGCATTATTAGATTCGGTCACTTTATGTAACATGCTAGAGGACGCAGCATAATTGTAAAAAAGTATTATTAAGGTGACTCACCAATTACTGCGACAATTGCTCAAACCTGAGAATAATCACGTGAATTACTGCGCACGTGGTTATTTCTTCTTTGTTGTGGCGGCGGTTCTTCATCCTCTTCACTCGTACTCGAACTTTGCGAAGAACTCGGCTTGTCCGAACTTGCAGAGACAATATCTCCCGTGATATGAGACGGCTTTGTAAAGCGCGGGTGAGGCACGTTTGACCGCGTGGCCAACACATTTACACCGATTTTAGCACTTTCATTAGCCATTTTATATTTTTAACGTGAAAACCGAGTTAACCATTTTACGAAATAATTATTTCCACTTTCATAATAAATTTTAGGTCGATATAACTTTGAATATACTGATTCGTTTTTAAGTGTGCACTAGCGACTGTGCAAGACGAAAAACGACGCAACAATGAACAAGAACTCTGGCGGCTTGCTTTAGCGCGATAAAAAGTTAGTTCCAGTTTCAAACGCTGGGCGCTGGCGGCGGTGTCACGTGGTGGGAAAAGGTCGGATACTAGCGATTTGGGCGGAAAAGGAAACGATGTACTCTCATAATGGACCTCGGACGTCAAACGGAACACATAATAACAAATTCTGAGCGAATATTTTAGCAAAGTACAAGTAGTGGACTCGTGTGACGCGCACACTCTCGTTGTTCGCGAACTCAGTTTTGTTTCCAAAGCGAAAACATTTAATTGTGTGCGCACAACATAATAACACACAAGGTGCAGCCCGTCCATATTAGCTCTCATATTGCTGTAGCTTTCTTCTGCAGTGAACAAGTGTGCAACACTGTGCGCTCGCAAGTTACACACATTGCCGTTGGAGACAGAAGCCAAACGCAATCCGCGTTTAGTACGTGTTCTGCTATTTTTTTCACAAAATGTTTGCAAACAAATATACTGCACGCTATTTTGGAATCGTACCTTAGTTACTTAATGTTAATAGTATTCACAAGTATGGCATTTGAAAAGGAATAATAAAACAATGTTGCTTATATACTCTGTAGCCTACCATACCATCAAAATGATAAATTAAATTTAAGACAATCAGTTAATTTCTTCAATTATAGTATAGATTTAATAAAACTTGACTCACCGTGTTCTTTAAAAAAATCTATGGCTGTTTAGCGGGCTAAAAAGTCAAAGTTATTTAGTTGAAATGTAAAATGAATACAAACCAGCTCTGTGATCTCTAGCCCTCTGCGCAAGCATCCTAAGATGTTCTTCTTTCTTCTCTTTCTCTCTCTGCGCCAGTCTTCTTTCTAGTTGCGCACGCGCCTCTACGGCTTCTCGGGCTTTTCTGTAAGTTTAAAATTACTATAAGATGAAAATTTGCTTATTTATACAGTAATATTTTTAATTTTTTTAGACTCATTTACTTCCTGTAAGATAAGCGTGATACAGCAAATTAAATTAACTCTTTGTTATATTGAGGAGTTAAAAAACTTACTTATTAGTTAAATTTTACTGTAGTCCTATAAAGTTTAATTTTCATAAAATTAATATTAAATAAAGATATTTATTAATTATTGAAACAAGTCACAGATAACATGACATGAAGTTATATGACACAACATATAGACATTACCTGTCAGCTATATACAGGGCTTCAGCTAACTTTGAGAAGTTTTCATTAATATGTACTTGCTGCAAACCACGCCCATCCGCCGCTAGTCGCTTGTCCAATGGTATAGTGTAACCTGATCACAAACACTGTATCAACTAAAAACTTTAATCTACAAACCCTATTGATTTATTTTAGTCTCCTCATGTTTCTAGACACTGATATCAACATACTTATGTAAAAATAATGAATATGTGTGCCCTTGTATATAAAAATAAAAGAGTAAATTTTTTTTCCAAAATCTAATTCGTTGGTACTAAAACTGTGTTCAAAAACTGAGAACCACAAGGACAAGACTAATGAATTTGTATCATACTTTTTTTTTAAAAGACAATTCACACCAATTGACCTAGCCCCATGCTAAGCCGGTGAAGCGTATCATGGGTAACGGCATACGGAACCTACAATATAGATAGATAGATAGACGTTATACATATTTAAACACCTTTCCCTAAGCACAACCCTATTTCTCTGACATCGATGTTCGTCCAGCCGATCGAACCCGAACGTATGAGCAATCAGGGGTATTACATGCCTAGTCGTCAAGTTATTGTAAAATTATTTTATGCAGAAAAATAATTATAAAAATTTAATTAAAAACCGGAAATTAGTGACCTGCAAATGTTACAGGACAAATTCTCTGTAATGCCAAGACTCTATGAAATCTAAATTGCAGCTGTTGTGAATCATTTGGTGCTTATTTAATATTGGGGAGGCCTATTTCCGGAAAGTGAGACAATCCAAAGAACTGTGTCTGGGACCGTACCTTTACCTATGAGTTTAATTTTTTCTGTTAAAGATAAATTAGATTGTAATTAAAGGCATTTTATTATTTTTATTGCTGAGCAAAAATAGCAGACCTTTCGCGTTCTTCCAATGACTGACACATGGAGGCACTTTCCAGTCCCTCTGCTGTTTGACGGAGACTCGTCGTGGTGGCGAATGCAGCACGGGAGCAGGGGGCGAAGGCGCCGCTCGCGGGATCTTGCGGTTGATTTGGAAGCGAGGGGGCTCCATTGGGTCCACTTGGGCTTCTACCATTCTGTAAGAATTAGTATTCTGATATTATATTCACCCAAGAAAGTATTTATTTTAAATATAATCTTTTGATGTGATAGACATTTGTTATATTGATATAATCTTTCTGATGGAAAGGAATGGGACAAAGCATCTATTTTATTGACAATTATCTATTTAAATAAGATCAGCGTTCTTTGCTTACCCACATATTAAATTATTGTTGTATGCAAAATGAAAATCAGGTATAATTGACCTCTTTCGGTTCTTTAACCATTAAAAACCAAGACAATACAATGCTTAATATATTTATTATGAATTCAGAATGAAAATCTGGAGCTCCATTTTCCTTTATTATTTCGTCTCGCAATTTTTGGGGCCCCACCAAACACGCCTGACGCCAATTTTTCTTACCCATTAAAACGTCAAGACCACCTGTCACTCTTTTACTAAAAGTACATTATGTGTGAAAATACTGGAGTCGAAAATGATATTAACATAACGCTTAATTCAATCCCGCCCGCATGTTCTTTTACAAAGACCCCTTAACGCTCCTTAAGTGAAACAGAGTAAAGCAAAGTACTATCCATTTACCACTACACTCATTACCTTATAACCCTCTGCTTAGCACCAGAATTAAAAGCTCCACCCTGTTGTGCTGGAGTATAGCGAATGTATTGTGCTGGTGCCTGCAAATACAACACACTATCAACACTCTATGTAGTTATGGGTCACTAATAAATTACTGTCTGGATTTTTAGTATCAAAACCTTAGATATGAACCTGTCTATTTTTCTAGGACATAAGGACAAAGTAGGTATGTTTTATCATCTTATACAGATGTATATATATTTTAAAGGCAAAATTTTTGATTTAGCTAGATACTCCACTTGCATGCAAATAATCAAATAAATATCAGTCAAAATCTGCTATATCGACATTGAAGGGACTACTTATATTTGGTCGTAAAAACGATAAAACCGATGACATTGTTATTGAGAACCTAATAGAATTCAGCCGGGACTTTTGATTTTGGTCAATATAACCTACCGGTTGTTCTAAAGTCTAAACGATGTCGTCCTAAACGGATTTGACTGTAAACAAATTTTAGTAGTATAAGAAGTCAGAATGTCCTTGTGCATGCCTTGTTAACACATAGTATACAAGATTACATAGATATATAAATTGTTCTCTACATTATAAAAAATCTAGACTAAATTATAAGTATTAAGAAAAGAATGAGTAGAATGCCTGTTATGTACAAAACTCAACTAACAGCTTTTGGTGCAGCTTTGACTGGCAAAGCAGCAGATATCTTTGCATTAGTTAACTTCTCTAATGCTAATTTAGTTTTTTCTGTAAGATCTTGAATGTCATCTTCTGTAGGTTTCTGTAGTGTTGGGTCATCTTCAGCTAAAACTTCTGAAGGCAGGAGATCTGTCAGCTTTGTGTATATTATCTGTGGACAACAATAATGGTATTGTCAATATTTTTAAGTCAGTTTCTTTAGTCAAAAATGCAATTTTAAATCGCTTGTAGGTAGAATAATATGTTCCGGGCAACTACTTATCTCAGAAATTATCTAAGATATGAAAATTGCTAATACTGGAGTTGTGTATTAAAGTATATTCACAGATTTTAATTTTTAAAATTAGTCTACAGTTTTTTAATGAAAAAAAAAACAAAAAAATAGCTTTACCTTATCAGCACTGTGACCTTGCCTAGCAATTGCAGAGTATTTCACTTTACCCGATTCATCTAACTGTACAGCAAGTGCATTGGATGTGCTTTCTTTTCCTCGAGCACCCATACCCAAAGGATACTGAGCGACATGAATTTCGGGAAACGCCCCACCATCTAAAAGTTAATAGAATATTAGCTAGTTAAAGGAAGAAGTCTATAATTATTTGTTTACTAATGTAACAACACTTAAATGTAGGCCATTATAGAAATAGTAAATAAATTCATAACACAAACCTCCAAAATCTTCTTCTGCTCTAGGTACCCATCCTTTCCTTTGACCATAAGGAGGAACGCTAGTTTGAGATACAACTAAGGCACTCCCAACACGTTTTGCTTTAAGCTCATCATCTCTATCCCATACCTGCTGGACAGGTGCGGGTAATAAACTAAAAACAGACTAAGTTTTAAAACAGATTCGACATCGACTTTGGTACCGTTTAAAATTTTACAGGAAATTCAATGAGTCAAAAATTGTCCATTGTGTGAAGTACAGAAGTATTATTATACCTAGGTAAGTAATATTGTTCTCTTATGTTTAGATGATAACATAGTCATAATGCATGGAATTATCGGAAAAGGTTATTGATGTTGTCTTAAGTAGAAAGGCAAAATCGCAATTAGATGGATTACGGTGCGTGTGCACAATTGAAATAGAAGTATTATACACATCACTATTTTTTTATATTTTAAACATTAATAATTATTTACACAACCACAAACCTGGACAACGACGCCATTTTATTGTTTGTTAATTTTGATTTTTGAGATTTGACGAATGACGGGCGACGGCTCACCTTACCCAGTTTTTAATATTAGCAAAATTTGACAATTGATGTAGGAATATGCCCACAGATGAGATAGTAAAATGGGATATAATTGTTATTATGTTTAAAAAACTAGTATAAAAGAATATATATAGAAGCTATATAAATAAAAATTCAATTTAATTTCTTTAAATCTTAATAGTATCTTAGGTCAACGATTCGTGATTAAATCGAATTCAAATAACATATTTCGAGTATGCGTCAAAAGAAAAAGGTGCAGTTGTAATTGTGATAGAGGTGGAAAATCTGTCAGATTGCTATATAAATGAAGTGGGTTGTGAACGTCTCTCTTTTATAACCTCAAAAATGCGCGAGAACTATTACTGTGGAATAGCGAAGTAGGCTTTAAATTTAGTTTATTTAGTGTTAAAGTGATTGCATTTTCATTATGCCGTCGAAAAAAAGAAAATACAATGCAAGATTTCCAGCAGTAAGTCTTATAATGGTCAAAATGTACCCCAAACATTCTCATTTGATTATTGTTTTTGTGGATATTTTTATAGGATTTGTGATATCATGACATTTTTGATTGTAGGGGCGTATTAAGAAGATAATGCAGACTGATGAAGAAGTGGGGAAGGTGGCCCAGGCAGTACCTATTATAATTTATATCCTTTTTAATTGAGACTATCATAATTGAGTATATTGCATCTAGTAAGCTACATAGTTTATTTTTATAACATGATCAATCAAAGAGGTATTTATCTGTCATTTCGTGTATAGTGCTTTATCTTTAAATCTTACTTTCTGAGTAGGCATGTTGTTGACAAAAAACTAGAAATTTAATTATATCTGGAATATAAAACACTGAGTAAGGTAGTAACTAATTTAAATTGACCTAAATTCAAATTGGGTTTATTATCCAATATGAGGTAGTTAATGGTTATTTTAATTAAGAGTTGTATTTAATGTTAAAATATGTATATTGCCTATATTGTTATTTGTCATGTTATGTTAAATACTTACTAATAGTTAAATAAAAGAGAAAACATTTCTAATGCTATCTGGTTGTGAATTACTTTAGACATTTATCTGGTAATTGAAGTGCCTCGTAGTTAAAAGTTTTTTCTTTCATCTTATGGTTACATCTTGTTTGATTATAAACATTTAAAAAGTTACTGACAGTGTATCAAAATCTCTGTACGAAATTTCCTTGACTCTATTTTTAAACTATACCTCGTACCTTGGAGCTGTTTGTGGAGTCATTGCTGAGCAAGGCAATGCAAGTAACAATGCAGAGGAATGCTAAGACTCTCAGTCCATCACATGTTAAGCAGTGCATACTAGCTGAATCTAGATTTGATTTTTTAAGGGATTTGGTAAGTTAAATTGAATAATATTGCAATTTTTAATGCTTTTTTAAACACATTCTGCTATGTGAAAAACAAAACAGTATTTAGAAAATTCATTATTCATTATGATCATGATTTTTTCCTGGTTTACAAGTTTGTTAGGTTTTTCTTAAAATGAGACTGAGTTAACCCAATTTTTCCTCAAAGTTCCTTTTTACATTTATATAAACATAAACTCAATGTTTTAAGTTCTTATATGTTAAGAAATGATGATATGAGCCACTCGTAACCAAATGCTTTAAAATAATATCAGCAATTGATTAATATTTAATGTGCATATAATACACACATTACAAATAATGGTCATCCTTGACACAGCAGGTAAACCAACAGTCAAATTGTATCCTGTAGATATAAGCTTGACTAATCTTGATTATTGTAAAGGTTTTAATATTACATTGAATTGATACAATCAATTTTGTTTTGCATGTATAGAATTTCTTGAAATAAAAAAATTATTGTTATTATTTCAATATTAAGTCTTAGAAATTTAGTATTTATTAATTATTATTTAGTCGCTTTAAAATCAACACAAGGCCAAGACACAAATAATGCGGGTGATGCCGGGGAGTATTGCTAATATATATAAACATGTATAAACAGCAAATGACTTAGCAGCAATCGTATCAACAGCCTTTGTAGTTTCTCCACTGCTGAGATTAAGACCTCCAATGAAAATGTGTTGAAACCATGTGTTGTCGGATGATCCACCTCATGTGAATGTTGTATGATGTTATTTGTGGGTGTTATGTAAAAAAAAATTAAAAAGTAATTGTAAATTTCAGGTTAAAAATGTGCCAGACGTGACAGCAGCAGAGGAGAAAGAGTTACAGAGTGGGGAGAGTTCACCTAATTCTTCAAGGTAATTAATATATTGCTGTTCAAATTTTAAACGAAACTGAAGCATGAAAACACACGGTAACAGAACACAGATAAATCTCTTGTCAAGAGCTTGCATGCTTAAATGTAATGAAATTAGGTTAAAATCTCTATCCCGTTTTGGCGCGAAACAATGTGATTGGCTACTGGCGAAGTTCCTAAAATGCTATGGTTCTTAATATCTATATGTTATTAAAATCCACTTATAAGAGTTAAATATTCCTGTTCCGTGGTACACTGTTGGCTGGACTGTGCTGATAAACTAATCATTGAACCAACAATTGAAATATCAACTATTACCACAACTTTCGCCTGCAGTAAGATATATCTGTGTTTGCAAGCATTTGGGTAAAAATACCTGCGGTTTCTAGACTGAGTAGCATTATAAGATAAGTCGATAGTTAATAATTTTATGCTTAAACTGTAATTATTATTTTTTTCAGATTCTCAGACTCACTATCTAAGAGGCTAGTCAGAGATGATTCAAACAGTTCGAGTAGCTCAGATGTTAAGGTGACACCATTGATACCACCGAGAGATTTCAACCAGTGCCTGTCTGTTGAAGCAGATAGACCTGAAATAGAAACAATACCCGAAGCCATAGATCTAACGAAGAAAGATAGTAAACCAATTGTCACAGCAGCTAATTTCTATCAAGAAACTTTACCAGATGAGGTACCGCATAAAAGTGTGATACAGCTGAACCCAACTTATGCCAGTCCACAACCCTCAACGTCTAGCTACGCGATTTTAAAATCAGTTGACGTGAAAACAGATCCCGTTTTCCCGCAACAGGACTCGTTCTTAATACGTCAAGCGACACCCCCTTTAACACCAATAACCCCAATCACACCAATTTTCAATATAGATTTCACAAAAAACCTAGCCAAACCAGAAATTAAAGTGCTAGATGCGAATGCTGTGAAAGATAAGAAAGTGATAAGGCAGAATTCAAAGTCAAAAGTGAAAAAAATTGAAATTCCAAAGCCGGTTATTCTAGATAATATTACAACTGATTTGCAAATTGATGAAGACTATGATACCTGATATGTTTTAGTTGTGTTCAATTAGTGCTATCCAAACTGATCTGGTAATTTCATTCATAATACATAAGCTGTTATAAGAATAAAAGTGATGTTAACTGTTTATCAGCATTTACAAGTATATAGAAAAGGCTATCTAGTCTACTAAAACTCAATTGCATTGACATCAATTGGGTGTAGCTAAAACTTGTATGATAAACACTGAAATGTGTATGCATCACCACATTTAATATATCTATTATTTACCTAATTATTCTTATAGCAATGCATGTAGTCACCAACTGTCCCGGGATGTTATAAATGGTGTAGAACACTAATTTAAAACTCCTTTTTTATTAAGTATTTAAACTAAAAAGTGAAATAACACTCACTTCAATCTAAATTTTTCAATTGCAACACACAAAAAAAAATATGTTTTTGTTAAGTTTCCATGTTTTATATATGAGATAAAAAAAATTACATAAATAATTAGTGAATTACATATCACATATTACATGCAAACCGCTCTATCAAAGGTTGGAAGTTGGATAAGTATTTTAATTTTTTACTATATCCTAATGCTTTTAATTCGTTATAATTGCAACTTACCCAGGGTAATAGGCATAGGATAAATAGGTTTTTATAGTTACTATTTTAAAAAAAAAGAACTGGAAACAACATATAGCTTTTGCATGTTTTGTACATATCTCCTGTTACTTACCTATATAATTTCATCCAAGTTTATAGTATGTTAATGGTATGGGCATGCAAAATCAGATCATTTTTCTATTTTAACTAAAGTTTAGACATGGCAAGCTATCAACTAAGCTTTCCATTAGCACATTATTTTTTGTCTCTATAAGTGTGAGAAAACGGAAATAGTTGTTGAATTAAACATTGACTTATAAAATATTAAATTTATCCAGAACATGCCAGTTTCAAGTTTGGATAGCACTTGTCATTTGTTGTTTACCATTTTAGGTATATTTAAGAAGTCAGACATTTTGTAAAATATGTGTGTGAATTGTGTGTAAGTGTTGTTTGTACTTGAAGACGTTTTTGTTTTTAATCTAAATTATTTTAAGTAATGATAATTTTTATCATTAAATAAATAAAATGTGACTAGTATGTTCCATGTACATTTTATATTATTAATTTTCCAAATTATTCTTATTCATTATTTAAATAAATTTGGAAGGCTTTAGACTTTTCTAACAAAACATTTGTTTCAAGAAGAAATGTATTTACTGGTTTATGTAAGCAATTACATACTCATTTAAATTACTGCAGTTGAATGGCTAGTAATGTACTAGTTATGATTTATTTATCTTAGGGAGCGATTGAGTATTACGTAACGAATTTTTGCAAAACGTTACGATACGGGGCGAGGATTGAATTACGCGTTATTGTTAATATTATTTTCGACTTTCCAGTACACATAATGGTAACTTTTAAGTTTAAAGAGTCACTAGGTGGTCACGAAACGTTTTACTATACTTGGTTACAGAAAAACGTTACAGCGCGTTACATGGGGGGTCAATAATTTCCAAAAATTGCGAGACGTAATACTTGAACGCTCCCTTAAGCATGTTTATGTAAATGCAATATTTTTGTAAATTTTATGTTTGTATAGAGTGTATAGTAGTGTTAATGTACAAAAGAATGAATGGACAAGTTCTAAGAAGTCTGACTAGAAAAATAAATAATTAAGAAATTATTTGAATTTTTACTGATATCAAAGATTGCGTCAGTGCTTGTCGTGAGTTGTGTAATTTTCTGTAATTCCCAGATTCGATTTATTAAAGTTACATTAAAAAGAATTTCTTTACGTTGAAATTTTTTTTCTTCTGATATACACATTTAAAGAAACAGCCATTGTCGGATCAAAATATGAAAATTATAATAAAAGAAAACCAAAAAATAATCATGTACAAAAATATTTTATTGCTGTTAAATTACCTTTATAACAAATACATACTTAGAAAACTAAATACATAAATGTATAGAACCAACTGTTAGTGTTACAAAATGCCAGATAAGACCCGCTCTTTACTCAGTACGTAGAACTTAACACTTGCAGCTTAATTTCCAATAAAGATAATTTGTTAAGGAAATATTATGGTACATAACATAATGTGCCATAATAAAGACATTCCCAAATTCTCTGATCTCTCAACGACTACATTAGATATTATGTCACCATAATTATTTGAAAAATATTTAACATTTGATTTTAATTTTACGACATGACTGAGATTCTAAAATGTTCAGTTACTTTTAAATCTTTCATAATATAACAATATTGAGGTTAATTAACTTATAATAAAAAATTATTCTCCTGTGTATTCATCTAACTTTTACAAAATTATATTCATATAAATTAAAATAGCATTAATACTGATTACATTTACTTAAAAAATAAATGGCGTATTTACAGTGGCATTAGATAATTTAGTTACGAAACCCGCATTTATATGCATAAAAACTAATCAATATACATTTTATAAATAATTATCTAAGAAAAATTATGGATTTTAGACTTATAATCTGACTGTTATTGAATGTACAAGGGAAGTAAACTTATATTTCAGTGATTGAATCAAATTCAAAACTAGTGTCAAGATCTGTCATCATTTCACTAATGATATTTTTGACAGTGCCCAAGACTAGATTGTTATTTAAGAGACAATTTGAGGTAACACCTAAAGTGTGTTTGTATTAAATATGAAAGTCAAAATGAGCACCATCATATTATAAGGCACATTCATATTAATAAAAAGGTTGGAAATTTTACAGAAAATAAGAGACTTACTGACTTTTAGATAATACATGTTAAAAAAAATTTAATTCACACTTTATGTGCCAAGTATATCTGTTTATCAATGGAAGACTTTAATTACTAAACTAACCATTGTTATCAATATTATACAACTATAGTTAGTATAAATTAATTTATTCTAATTATTATCTAAAGTATGCCAATTAACAATTTTGGAATGTTAATTATAATTATTTGCAGTCTTTGTGGGGATTTGAGAATAATAAAAAGAATTTTAATTTGAGCAAAAAATTCTCGACAAAATTCCTCCATTTATTTGAAATCAAGGCTTGGATGAGATTACTTTTTTTAGTAAGATATAGTTTGCTCAAATTAAAATGTATCAGTGTAAATTTTCAACTGAATTCATTTCCTTCATATAAACTCTCGCATACTTCAAGCAACCTAAGAACTGGACTGATATTATATGGGAACAGGGATTTCGACACCAACCTACTAATTTGTAAACGCAATCTTATCAAAACTCTCATGGTATCATCTAATCCTCGGTTACTACCATCGCTTAGCTGACATGTCTCAAGAAACTTGGGCCAGTTTCTTCTTACATATTTTAAAAACCGTAATAGATACAGAAGAAAACATGTTTCATTACTAACCAAATAGTCTAAAAGAACATCACTATCATGTGAAACAACTTTCAAAAATTCTATGAAAGAGGTAATTGGATTTAACATTGGTATTAAATCTGGATACATAGAATTACGGTAAACAATTCCTACAGTTATATCTAGTGTACATACCATAGATTCTATCAAATAATCATCTTGTTCACTAAATAGATGTATCAACATTTTTGTAAATGGTGTCTCTGGGTGAAATTCAAGACAATTTCTAATAAACAAATCAAGTTTCTTTAAGACATCTCTAATTGAGCGTTCAACAATTTGCATGTCTTGAATTGCATTGTAATCTGAGGAATCTATAGAGCTATCAGAAGAATCACATCTCATTTCTTTTACTGTTACTGCCACAGATTTAAGCACTAGAAGAGACATTCTTTGCAGCATTGTTTTGTCAATTTCATTTCGTTGATTACTATCATGCTCATCTTCTCCATAACTTTGATCAACCAACTGTATTGTTGTTGACAGTGGGGCTACCTCTGAACCTAATGAGTATTCTCGTAACACTGTACAATCATGGCCAAGAAATCCAAACCCACTCCTACTACTGTGCACCCTGACTTCACTAAGTAAACGAAAATCTTTAACATATCTGACAATAGAGTGGGCCACACTGCAAATTTCTTCTGGCAGGATATCTTGTAAAGCTAAAGTGGAACCATAACACAAAACTTCATTAAATAAACTTAATAGATGACTGTAAATTAAAGGTGGCAATAATGTATTTCTTAATAAATCAATGAAACTCTGTAGATCAGCATAAAACGGCTTTGTATCAATCACTGATAGATTCGCTTTTACACTTATTATGTTCTCCCATAATGAGAAAAATGTAAGAACACAATTTTCTGCATTGCTCAAATTCAGGTACCGGAGTAGCAGCAATTTCATATTTTTTACCAAAACAGGCCAATGATGTTCTAAATTTTTAACTGTCAAGCATTTTATATGAGAAGTATCAAATGATTCCGAGTCAGTTAAAATGACAGTCACACAACCATGTTCATTTACTCGTTCTATTCTTGACAGTTGTGGTTCAGGCGATTCACTTCTCTCTATCCTTTGATTTGGCTGTTCTGATGGTAATTTAAGCACTGGCTCGTTCAGTTTAAATGTTGAAGGTTTAATTTCTGTTACATTTTCATTAGAGGTGGAAGGTGAACTGTGTGTTTGTAAATTAGAGAATGCATTATCTAAATCACTTCTTGAGCCAGAAGGCATGTTACTGTTATAACTAGAACCACTTCGAAATGGGTTATCTTCCTGAACATGCACTGTATTTATATAATTACTATCTTCTAAAGGATGTTGCTCTACATCCTTCCACTCAACTATCCTCTTAATTATATCTAAGCTGAAATTTATTTTCTGAACCGTTATCCTATTGATTCTATCAAATAAATAGATATTCTCTGTTATTTGTTGTAACCAATTTTCATCAACAGTATCTTTAGATACTATAAGAAAGCTGGCAAGAACTCTACTTGCAACAAATGTTACAAATTTGCTTTTATGTTCAGAAAGTTCAACAACTTCTGTGATCCAATCATGCCTATTTCTTATAAAAATATCACATGCATTCATCAACTGTGAACAAATTGTACCAGTATTGTTTTGTTTCAAATATATATCAAATAGAAGTTGCATGGTGGAAAGATAAGTCAAGATACATCTTAATGGCCAAGTAGCAATATGAAGTCTCCTATCGAACAGGGTGATCACCACATTTTCGTCTATACCACATAAACATTGACCAACTAAAGAGTTTTGCAGTGATCGTAATTCTGTAAGCAGCTTATCATCTGTAGCTGCCCAGTGAGGTGTATTGCTTGATGAGGGGATATTATCAACACTACCATTACTCAAATGCCTTAAAATTGATGAACAATCAACTGCATCTTCACTTACAGTACCACTATCTGGTGATTCTCCATTTCTAGTTATAAAATCTCCTGAATGTTCAACAGGAGTTTCTTCAGAGTCAAATATGTCAGAGAATATCTCTTCCCCGGACTTATCACTTCCATCATCTTTGTCAGGACCGTCTATTCTTTGCTTTTTCTTTACAGGTTGGTCCGAAGCCATTCCTTCATTAGTCTTTGGAGCGATGTACGTGCGTAAAACCATTAAACCTTGGCCACATGTATTAAATATATGCGCTTCTAACTATCGTGGCACTTGGTTCGTCTTTAAATTAAGGCTCAAAGGAATCTGAAAAGAAATAAGAAGCCAAATCAATGCCTTGACCTTTCAAATTGCTACCAAGTTACGCAGACGACAAAGCGATCGACATTTACTGCTTAGCTCGACTCAATATACAAAGAGATGATGAATGGTTTTGTTTTAAGTCAATTATTCCATTAATAAATCTTTATTACATAGAAAACATTTAAAATATAACTTCAGCGAGTACAATGTACTTTCCAAAATATTTTGATGGCACACATACCATTGTACAAAAAATGAGGTTGTAAGTGCTCTGTATTTCAAATCCAATGCCCATAAATACATAAATGCAATATTTTCCAACTACACCACTTTCAACACAAAACTTTAGCACGGTATTTCATTGAGAATTTTTAATTTTACTTATCACAATTTCATCAAAGTGAATATAGACTCCATTACGTATAATGACGCTCGGTCAACTACATACCTCTTTATTAAGGAATTTTTTGTAAATTGTTGATTAGTTTGAAAAACAATTACGTAATATACATAAATAAATTATAATTAAAATATTTTTAGTATTTTAAATCCTATTATTGACAAAGTATTTTAACTAAATTATATAAGTTTTGAAGAGGTACAGTGACAATTTTACGTACTTCCGTTTTATCCCTTAAAGACGTTGCCAGTTTGACGAGTCCATAGACTAGGTAGTGAAGTGTAACAGAGTACAATAATTTTTGTTATATCTACAGTTTGATATTTTTAATTATTCAAGCTTTATGACAACACTGACTTCGACTCCCATAAAAATGTCTGCTTGAAAGGATTTAATATTTTCCGAAAATTATAGGAAAAACGAAGCTAACTATTGATGAATATTTGTAGTTAGTAAGGTGAATACAAGTTATTTGTAAAAATAATATAGTGAAGTGGTTGCTTAGACGTTCAATCATCTCTGTGTTTTTGCATAACAATCGATTGAATAAATTTAGGTTAAGATCTCGGCTATTGTATACGAGATAGAACAATAAGAATTTTTCTAAACAAAATACGAAAAAGTCAAGCTTTTGATTTGTTTAATTGTGCAAGTGTCTAATTTTGTTTATTTTTACTTGGCAAACGGTGTGGTATCAATATGTCATCGACTTTTAAGTTTTTTTGTGATTAAAAGGCACTGCCGTCTAAATAAAGTTCAAATCATAGGATTGCGAAAGCGCTCTAGTATCGTTTGACGCCCGCAACCTTGTACAAAACGGATAGAAAGCATCGCTTTTCTATGGGCTATAGAAAATAAATACTATTACAATGGTGAAACTTGCAAATATTTCCTGTAGGCTATAATCAATAATCATTGAATATGTTTCCTTCCTTATAATATAGTGGTTTTTAATCAAGGTTTATAAATAAACTGTTACCAATATTTGCATTAACATCTCCTTTTTACATTCTATATAACATTTGGTGTCCTAAATACACCCACTCATTTGGATTTGTTATTCTCAATTTACCATTCATCTGTTCTTCTATATAATTTCATTGGTCAGACTAATTTATTAGGATATTTTAAAACATTTGTTGAATAAAAATTCTAATTATTTTCAGGAATTAAATCTCTTAAAAATTACTAGTAGAATGTTGATTCCATATCCATCTCAATCTTTAGTATATAAAGTGTTGTAACTACTAAATTTAAAGATAATTAACATTTAACTATTGTTACTGAAATTAAGCATTTCTTACAGATAAAAAAATGGGAGCTCATATTGAAAAGGATATGTTAAGCTAAATAAATATTGTTAAATGAAATAAAGGACATGTTTGAAAAGTGATAAAATAGTGTGGTGTAAATTGATCAAGATGTCAGATGAAGAGGACTCCTCACCCGACTGGGCACTGATTCCGAGCAATAATCTACCAGGTAATAAAGAGTATAAAATATTGAACCCTTTTATAGAATTATAGTAAGTTTGCATATAATACCATCATTCTACAATGTATTATATTAGATCAAGTCATCTAAAAAAGAGGGTACTGTTATATTTTTAAAAACTTTACCTATTCTTTTTAATAACTTAAAGACTTATTTAAACAAATAAATCTCTATATCTAATAGTCTTATACAAGTACACATCTTATTTAAAGACTAGCTGGTGCCCGCGACTTTGTCTGTGCAGGATTAAAATAATGTTTGTTCAAATGATGTAGCATGAAAGACATATTTTATCTTCTTTTAATACCAAAAGTGATAAAAGAATCTATTTTCATTTAGTAATCAATTTATTATTACCAAATGTGCATTTATAATAAATTATCAATTTTTATTGTAGTTACGGTTCAATGTTTTGACTATAATAGCTTAGCTTACTATTTTGGCTATAATAGCTGGCAGGCTTTTTTGTAGGACTATTTAAGGTAAACATTTCCATCATACATTACACATAACTCTAGAGGTTTTGGCAGCACACACCAGAATAGCTTGCAGGTGGTAGATTTTTCCTACTTACTTGATATTTTAGACAATTCACACAATATCTTTATAAATTGCATGTGTTATTCTGATGTATAAGCTATATTTATATATTGTAAGTTCATTAGAATCCATTCAGTAGTTTTATATGAAAGAGTAATAAACATCCATGTTTACAAACTTTTGCATTTACAATATTAGTAGGATTTTAATATATGAATAGATATAATTAAACTCTTTTAACTTAACACTGTTTACAAATCTATTTGCATTTACAATATTACCGAGAGTTTTTCGCGGGCTTTTTCCCCCCCCCCCCCCCCCCTCCCGTCTTCTTTGACGATGAGTAGGGATTCAATTAAATTTAACGTATAAGTATTACATGTATCTTATGTTCCATAATAACATTTTTTTAATTTGAATATTTTTAAAAGTAAGCAATGAGAAATTATCATTTTAATTAAAATAATGAAGAAATACTCATTTAGTTATTATAGTAAGTGTGCCGTAATGTTATGAAGAGCATCAAGAGACTATCCTCTCACTACTGTGAATTATTAAACAAAGGAAACTTCATAATTAACTATAACAAAAATCTGTATACAATACAACAATAACATTTATCTATTGTTTACAATATGTTATCATTCATAACTTTACTCATTATGGTAACTTATCTGTTGTTACTGTTATATGTAAGTTTGGTTACATCTTAAATTCAAATTGTGTCCACCTTCTAGGTTTCATATTATCATAACTCCATAATTTAAGACTTTTTTAATAAAGACATGCCTAAAGTAGATTATATTGATTTTTCTAAACTGTAAATATGAGTGAGTAACTTAACTATAATAAAAAAAAAAGTGTTGGTATATTACAATAAAATAAAATATCTAATCTAAGGTGAGTCTCATAACTTCACTCGAGCCCCACATAGGGATTCATAACATTAACACTGATATCTCTTGTGTAGGTTATCACTCTTTCATATTTATCTCGAATCAATTATAGTTGTATTATGCTTATGCTTTACTTGTGTCACAGAAGTCTGTTAGTATTTTTAATTCTCTCAGAAATATTCTCTCTCTTAATTAAGTTCTTTTTGCCTGGTATGGTATGGTACAGACCAACAGTAGTAGTTTTGCATCTACTCAGAAATTAACATCTATTTGCTCCTTCTCTGACTTGGTGGCGGGGTTTTTTTAAAAATTTTATTCTATTAATTATATCTATCATTTAGTTATTAAGTCAACTATTCCAGCTGACAATAGGGTCCAACATGGAGAATTAGAAATCAAAATTAGTGGGGCCCCTTTTATTAATAGATGTCGTTTCTGCTAGAATTCGAATGCCACATCGGAAGCATTATGTACATGGCAAAAAATTTAAACAAAGTTCGTAGGATAGTAGACAAATTCGTGTAGTGCAATAGTAAGGTTTTTATCTCAAAAGATTTAACTCCTCCAAAGTATCGATGCGTCAATTTTGTAGGCGATATCAATTAACATAATATAAACACTGAATCAGTGTAGCACATTGTTCCCTTATGGCCATGGGATATCCTATTGTTCGATGGCACTGTCATTTCCTGCATGCGAATGTTTTGTTTTTGAGCCATTAACCTGCTTTATTAACTACAAGTTAGTGTATATTTTATAGTGCTATTTATAAATTGTAGTAATCTCTGTAGTATATACCATATGCATCAAGTATAAAAAACACCTGACAGGTATATTGTTAACAAGTAATTAAGATAATAATCATGTTATTTTCCATACACTTTCACTACTGAATTTTGTAAATATGTTTCACAATTTAGGGGTAAAATCGTAAGTAACAACTATACACACAAATTATATGTAGACGTAAACGATAAATGATGATGGTTCCCGGATGTAGCTGAAAGTGAATATAAAAATAAATGCCTCGAAAATTCAAATTATTCGAATTTATAAATTATTATAACGCACTTTTATAAATAGTAACTTTTCGCTACTCATAAATTTTTAACTTATGATTTCTAAATGATGTTGGAATGTTGCCATAACAACATAAAAATATCAATTCTCTTACGAAATACACAAAGGTTAATATTTTTATTGGCATGTTTTCTTCATTTGTTTTTGGCAAAAACATAATAAACATTTCGCTTTCAAAGGAACTGAATGAAACCTATTAATGATTTTTGTTAATTAAGAGATAGCTGGATCTGCAATACAAGTAATTAGATACAAAAAACTTAATATTTCCAAGTTGCTACGTCTGTATACTTAAATGGAAACAAATAACATGGATTTTGGGCTAGAAAATTTACTCAATCTATACTAATATTATAAAGAGGAAAGATTTGATTTTTTTGTTTGTTTGTTTGAAATGAATAGGCTTCGAAACTACTGGACCGATTTCAAAAATTCTTTCACCGTTGGCAAGCTTCACTATTCCCGAGTGACATAGGCTATGTTTCATTTTCAAAGGGATGCTTACTAAAACTTGAATAATCTAACCCAAGGTGTAAAAAAATAAACAAAAAACTTCCTTCAATCGTGAGCGCTGCGAAAACTATTAATGGTAGAACAAAATGATGTATTACAATTTTTCAGGACACATCACTATCTACAAAAAATGTCGCGACAGCATGTATCTATCTTTTATAGTTACGTCACAATAAGCGTCCTTTTATTAATTTTTTATTATTAAAATACCACCGCTAGAAAAGGCTCTTTATTCGTACCTAGGTATTGATCCTTATCAAAATAAATACCAACGTTTCACATAAGCTACAATTTAATGTCATAACCACCAAAAAAGCATGGTGGATTGGTGTTCTCCTGCCGTTTCTCTTGAATAGTTTACTACTATGTAATATAACAAAAACCTTAGCCACAGCAAGTCTGACTAGTAAGTAAATAAAAGCAATAAGTACATGATATTAATTTTGTTTCAGTGCTCGGCATCAAACGTCTTAAACAAATCGAGACAATGTTTGTTTCCCGCAGACTGCAGGGTCCTACGCACGGCCTAAGTGTTGAAACATTGTTAGACGTGCTTCTAGTATTGTATGACGAGTGTTGTAACAGCAGTCTTCGACGGGAAAAGGCGGTGGCCGATTTTATCAACTATGGTAAGGAATACCAACCTCATTTGAGGTTTTTCAGGGGGCAAAGCGTAGGAGACTTGTGTTAAGTATATGTCTAAGGCTTGTAAGTTGTAAGTTCCTTACGGCTTTTAGAAACATAAAATAATAATTCATTTCACTTGAGACGCCGATGCGATATTAGCGAGGCAGAATTGTTGTGTCTCGTCGCTTTTCAAATGCCATAATAATATATAAATGAGTGAATTTCCTTGTACGCAAAAACTCTAAACGTTGGAATAGGACTTCTAAAGTATGAATTATAATAATCTAATCGGTAGATTTTTCAAACCGTTTCTTGTTTATCTATCAGTTTTGACAGTTTTCGGGGTTTCTTCTTGGGAAAATGATCAAAATAGACTACTTCTTAACCATTGAAGTTGACGGAGGCAGAGTCTCCATAATATATATAAAGCCTTTCCTTGATTTCGTGATGGTTTTTTTAAGCAAAAAATAATACCTAATCCTGATTTAGTACTTAGAATTGACATCACGCTGTCGTATTGACGATGTTGCCTGTCCAATTCAGCTTTTAAGCAATTAATTACCGCAATTTCTCCAAATTTGACAATAGATCACAGTTGACGGGAACATTCACAAAGCCACTGACTAGACGTATCAAACGGTCCTCGGATTTATTTTAAAGTTGTAAATAATATTACCAAAATCTTAAATTAGTATACTACTTGATGGGCATAACAATAATTTAAATGATCCTAATCCTTGGGATTGATTTGCTCCAGTTCAAATAATTTGTATGACTCAAAACGTAGCGATTTAAAAGAGTGGCGGAAAGTTTCTTGCCAGTTCTTCGTGCCCGCTCTACGCCCTTGATTTGCGAACTGGTAGTAAATGTTAGAATTAATTTAACTTCTTTTCTGACGTTCATAAGTGTTCTTGATTCCCTATATGAATAAAGTTATTTTGAGCTTGAGTTTGAATAAATGCGATCGACAAGTTGACAAAAAGGTATTTTTTGTTTTTATATTTTTCATAATATATTTTTAGTGAAACCCGTAGCAGCGGCATTGAAGCGACTAAGACTCTCCCGTGACGACTTTGAATTGGTGAAAGTGATAGGTCGTGGTGCTTTCGGTGAAGTGTGCGTCGTTAGAGCTTCATTTATGCAGGTATTTGTATAAACACTCAAAATATATAATAACGACATCGAAGGGACTACATATTTGGTCGTACAAACCGATAGTCATAACAGCCGATGACGTATTAAGAACCTAATACAATATAATTCAGCCGGGACCTTTGATTTTGGTCGATATAACCGGTATGTTGTTCTAAACAATGTCGTCGTAAACGGTATTGACAGTAATATTATTTCATATTTTTTCATTCAAGACAGTTGTGTTTTTGTTTAAATTTGTAGATATTGTTTACTTAAGTCGACGTCTGTAAACCATCGTCGAATAGTAAAGTTAATTATGTAGTACCAATGATAAAATGATTTTTGATATATTTTCAGAATGGCGAAGGAAATGGTGCGGCCGGAGTGACAAGTAGTGAAAGGGTGTATGCCATGAAAATACTCAACAAATGGGAGATGCTTAAGGTGAGAAATTTTTACTATTTATCAATCAAATTGACGGTTTTTCCACTAATAAATTATTTTGCGTGTAGCTTCGAAGGTCGTAAGGTTTCGAAAATATGAACCTCGGGTAAGAAATGAAGCATTTTCATACAAAAATACGTGTGGCACTCGGGGACTACGGCGGTAAAGCTATTGCATTAGCATTTTTACCAAACCCCAGACTAACTATGTCAATGTCACTAACTTACCCTCACGGCCGCGCTTACGCTAGTCACCGATTTAAGATTGATGTATGCGTTCTTTCCTGGTCTAACGCGTATTGGCCGCACTTATGTTATGTCATCGTGTGTTAGATTTTTATTTCGTTACGGAATTTCTTGATTCGGTTGCCGCGCTCAAAACTCGCGATAGAATCTATGCAATAGCTTAAAAAAATACTTCTATAGGGTTTTGTTGGAGATCTTCTACAGCACGGGTGAGCGTAATTCGTCGCAAAATAAGTTTTAACAACAATTTCCCTATGTACAAACAATTTATTAAAATTTACGAGTGTGTTAATTTATAAGTATTTTAAATTTTAAATAATTTACAGCGCGCAGACACGGCGTGTTTTCAAGAAGAAAGAGATGTTCTGGTGTTCGGTGACAGAAGATGGATAACAAACTTGCATTATGCCTTTCAAGATGACCATAATTTGGTAAGTGTTGGGATGATGTAGGTACAATTAATTAGGTACAGTATATATAGAAAAATGCTATTCCTATATTCCTGGATAAAATGGTATGTAATTAAAAAAAAGCTTAGTGTTTTAAGCGAAATACAAACGGACACTAACTCGAAATTTTTTATCGTGAAAAAATTATACAAAATCTGATTTTAGATTATTATCACTAATTACCGTGTGTAAAATGAAGGAAAATCCACTGTTATATTTAAGATGCGTTATCTATTATTTTAAAATGTGTCCCCTAAAACTTTTTAAAATGACAAAATTAATTAATTAATCAATTAATTAATTCTAAATATCAGCTCCTAGTATTGGTTGTGTTTTTTTTGCCTCCTACTTTCCTGTCAACGACTGTCAACGCAACTGCTATTTTATACCTATACTAGCTGACCGGGCAAAACGACGTATATCATTTATAATAAAAAAAATAGGAATGATCGTAGAGGGGTGAAAGTTATGGTTTGTATGTATTTTTTAATGCTGTATCATAAAAAAATAAAAACAGAAAAATATGTCTAAAAATATAAAAAATTAGGGTGGACAACCCTTAACATTTAGGAGGATGAAAAATAGATGTTGTCCGATTCTCAACATACCCAATAAACACACAAAATTTCATGAGAATCGGTCGAGCCGTTTCGGAGGAGTTTAACCACAAACACCGCGACACGAGAATTTTATATATTAGATATCCTATTCCCAGACAGTCTATTTCTTTCAAAGTACGTGTTTTATTAAATTACAAAATAATTATGGTAACTACAGTAGGGCCAATTCAATAAATCACATTATGTTTAGTTTATATGACCTTACATTGTAACGACGTTCAGTTCTCTTTAGAACAGAAATTGTTTATTAGTAAAAGTTAAGGGTATAATTTAAAAACGTTCTATTATTACACGAATAAAGTAATCGGAATTGAAAAAAATTAAGCAATTGTGCTTACTTCGAATAAATAAATAAGATATAATGCCGATAAATTAGCCCTACTATAACCATGTTTTACTTTGAAGGGTTTTTTAAATTTATATTTATTCTTAATTTTTCAGTATCTCGTTATGGATTACTACTGCGGCGGTGACCTGCTGACACTACTCTCAAAATTCGAAGACCGACTCCCGGAAGACATGGCCCGTTTCTACATCACTGAAATGGTGCTGGCTATACAAAGTGTTCATGAGCTGAGATATGTGCATAGGTGTGTGGTTTTTTTTTTTTAAAGACAATTCTCACCAATTGACCTAGTCCCATGCTAAGCTTGTGTTATGGGTACTAGGCAACGGATATACATACATATTATAGATAGATAGACATATAAATACATATTTAAACACCCAAGACCAAAGCAAAACACCAAATGCTCATCACATCGATGTTCGTCTCAGCCGGGGATCGAACCCGGGACCCATGGATTCGCAGTGAGGGGTACTAACCACTTGACCAATGAGTCGTCATCATTTTTATATATTTTATTAAATTATGCGGCTCGTACAAGGAATCAATAAATATAAATAAAATGCAATAAAAATATTATCAAAAAGTATTATGACATATTTGAACTTTACTTATTTAGACCAAATACAATATTCTATTATATTTTTATTTTCATCTTGGGTATATTAAAGAGATTTTAATTTGTATGTTTTTTTTTCAGGGATATTAAGCCAGATAATGTTCTATTAGACGCCAGTGGACATATCAGGCTTGCTGATTTTGGATCCTGTCTCCGTTTGGGAGATGATGGAAAGGTAATTTAAAATTTCGATGTTGATAGTGAAATTAATAACATTTCTATTATTGTTGTGGAATAGTGGTTTTGGACATGAAGTTAATTACTTAATAATCTAATATATAAAATTCTAGTGTTACAATGTTTAGTCCCATACTCCTCCGAAACGGCTCGACCGATTCTTAAGAAAATTTTTTATGCATATTCAGTAAGTCTGAGAATCGGCTATCTATCTTTCAAACGCCTAAGTGATAAGGGGTGTCCACCCCAAATATTTATTTTTTAGGCAATTTTTTGTTTTTATGATTTTCTGATTCAGTATATAAAAATTTTATAACTGACTTTGGTTTATATACAACCCCTAATTTTCACCCCTCTTCGATCAACCCCTATTCTCTTATTATTGGAGATAGTTATTTTTATTGAACTAAAAAAATGTTTTCTAGAAATAATTTAAATGGCAAAACAAACGTTTGCCGGGTTAGCTAGTAAAAATATAATTTTAAATTCAGATCTGGTTAAAATGTTGCAGATTAGATTATGTTAAATTATTTTTTTAATACAGTTGCTCAAAAAGTGGCGTATTGCAGGGACGTATAGCGTTCGGGATGTGGGCTATTACACACTCGTGCTTTTTTTTTTACCTTTTTCGAACTAGTGCGTTTTCTTTCCCAACTGTCAAAATAATGTCTATTAAAAAGAAAAAACCAACCACGAAGTTTTTACTAAAAAAAAATTCATAGAAATTTTTATGATTCATGCAAATATTTCTAAAAAGAAGCTACTGCTTTGTTTCAATATAAGATTTAATGATTTGATTCGATGAGTTAGGTTAGATTTCATTTCATCTCATTAAATTTCATTTCATATCAATAAAAAATTGTACTGAAGACTTGGATGTATGGGCATAGTTCCCTTTGCCTACCCAGAATGGGTGAAGAAAAAAAAATATCTGCTTATATTCTTTTACGGTTGGCGCCATTTTCCAAAAATGTTCTTTGCTCGTTTAGTTGTTTGTTATATTATATATTAAATATAAATGAAAAATCATACGAAATAAATAATAGTTTGTCTCAAACAGTAAATAAATATGCAACCTAAAACTTCTCCAGTTAGTATAAAAAGGGAAAAAAAAAAAAAAAAAAAAAAAAAAAAAAAAAAAAAAAAAAAAAAAAAAAAAAAAAAAAAAAAAAAAAAAAAAAAAAAAAAAAAAAAAAAAAAAAAAAAAAAAAAAAAAAAAAAAAACTGTACCAATGTATATGTGAACAATAATTTGTATAAGAAATAAATGATTAGTGAGTTGAGTTTATTGTTTTTTTATTATTTTATTAAATTGCATAATTTTTTCGCAACTGTATTAAAAATAGTTGTTCAGTACACGTGCGGAACCGTCATTGCAACTTGTTCCGACTGTCAACCCTCACCTTCGGCTGCGCCTCGGCTCGGGTAGACATTTGTCGAAACTCTTTGCAATGACAGGCTTTCCGCACTTGTAATGAAATATACAATTTTTTTAAATTGTGGCAATTCAACGTGTTTAGATCCGGTAAAAGTATATTTTATTCATAGGTACAAAGCAATGTGGCTGTGGGAACTCCAGACTACATATCACCTGAAATATTGCGGGTGAGTGGGAATGCTTTTTTGAAATGTTTGTAATGACTAATACTATATGTTGTATATTGTTGAATAAAAGGCGACTATTTTTTTAAATAATATTTATGGATTTAATTTTTCGTAGGGCGATAACTTTTCGATTCTACGAAGATAATTATTACCTACCTTTTAAGCTGATGTAGTTTTAATAAGTGTAGTGTAAATTAAAAATAATAGCATAATAAAAAATATATAAATCTTGTTGAACCGTTTCTATTAAATAGTCTAGTCGACAAGTTGAAAATGGAACAAAATAGAGATACTGCTCTTAAAATTATGTGCGATAGCTCATTGGATCCGGAATGACGTCTAGAAAAATGTGCTAAAAGCGTGTATTAGCACATAAAAAATTGCAAAAGTTATAGACAATTAAAGATGAAAAAAAATGGCATTTAGTTTTTGCCAATATTTAATAAACTATTCATATTTAAGAAATTTCAAATAAAGATTGTGAAAGAGGGGTAAATTTCCAATAAAAAACTCCGAACTCCCGGAACTCTATCTCCATTATTTATAATTTTAATTTAACGCTGAAAATAGGTCTGCGGGTGACATTTTTAGGATTCGCGCGTGGCGTCAAAAGCGACTACGGCACATTAATTAATTTATTTTAGGTATTGAATATTTTTTTTAAATTTGAAAAAATTATGGTGTATTCTGAACACTATAATTAATTTATTCCCGTTAAAAATTTTACTTAAAGTTAATTTTTCAACAAGTTAAATAATTGTTAACTAACGAAATTTTCTCGAACGACCGTCTTAATTGTAAGTGAAAAAAAATGTTTAAATAATGGTCGTAAAAATATTTCGCTTCGTAGAGCCTTTCTTACATACATACTTAACAAGATCGTGCCATAAAAGTTAAAAAAATATTTATACTTTGTTTATAACAATTTTTTTACTTAAACAAAAACTTAAAAATCCATGTAATGTTGTTAAAAAATGTTTCTTTTTCTAAATCATCATATAATAGTTTTTTTATTAATACAAGATATTAATGGATTTGCAAAAAAAAATCCCGCCATTTGTTGATAAATTTTTTTTAAACAAATTGATTAAATCAATATTTTTAAAAAAAATTTAACACAACTTTATTACATTAAAAATTTTATGATTTAAAAAAAAAAAAATTTCCTTAATAACAATTTTTAATTGTTTATAATCGTTTTTTTTTTAATTTTTTATTGTTTAAATAATTAGTTAAGAAATTTTTTTTTTCTGAAAATCATAATTGACAGTCCTCTATAAAGTAACAGAAAAAAAAAATTTTTTTAATCAACAATTCTATTGTTTATTAACTTACCAACTTACCTCCTCTTTCAGAATCTTTATTTGAAATTTCTTAAATATTAATAGTTTATTAAATATTGGCAAAAAACTAAATGCCATTTTTTTTCGTCTTTAATTGTCTATAACTTTTGCAATTTTTTATGTGCTAATACACGCTTTTAGCACATTTTTCTAGACGTCATTCCGGATCCAATGAGCTATCGCACATAATTTTAAGAGCAGTATCTCTATTTTGTTCCATTTTCAACTTGTCGACTAGACTAAAAGTAATCAACTGTCTCTTATCATCACAGTGTTTACACGATTTGACAGAAAGAGACTAAAGAGTATTATAGTTAAAAGAATAGATTAGGCTTTTGATAATAAAACAATTTTTTACCGGATTTAAGTAATGTATTTACAATTATTTTTCATAATTTTAAATTTAACCGACGATTCGCGTGCTTTACAGCGTGCGTGGTCACGGTGACTGAAGACAAAAGGTGTTGAATGTCAAAAAGTATCACAGCTGTAGAAAAAGTTGTATTATCTGTATTTATTTCCACGGAGTTGGTATCTACTAAAAGATGGAGGGTTTTGGCAGAAATGGCTCACGGTGTCCTCAATTTTCGCGGATTGTTTATCTTGAGATTTTAATTTGGATATTATTGGATCCCAGGTGTTTGAAAATTTTAGGCCGTCTTCTAAAATTTAAAATTATGAAAAATAATTTAAAATACATTACTTCAATCCGGTAAAAAATTGTTTTATTATCAAATGTGTGAAAGTTAGTATCATTTAGTTATCACAAGGCTTATTTAGTGTCATTGAATATAGAGGAGGTAAAGCTTTAGTGATAACACTTACACAATTTTAGTGTTATACGACAATTGCAAGGACACTAGTCAGTGGATATTCTAATAGGCCGAAGGATGTATTATCTATATAGATAAAAATGAAACGCAAAATATGTTGCTAAGCGGAAAATTCGAAGGCGGCTATAACAATTTGAGTAATTAAAAAAAATCCTTGAGCGCTGAGAAAGGTTGTTATGGAGAAAAAGAATTGAAAAATTTAGTTTTCTTATGAACTTAGGTTTTTATTCTGGAAAAACCGTCTTTATGGGGAAAATGTTTCATATTATGGAAATGACGTTGTCAGAATAAACCTGTTTCCTACTTATGAATACACCGTTCGGAAATGATGACTTGACATATTATAATTTCCGATTCTTCTAGGCAATGGAAGACGGCCAGGGACGGTATGGTCCTGAGTGTGATTGGTGGTCTCTTGGTGAGTTATTTTTATATTAAGAACGAGGCGCTTGCGCAATCCCAAAGTTATGAGTAGTCGGTAATGGTTGACTCAATTTTTTTTTGGGTGAGGCCGAGTACACTGTTGTCTATCTGTTTAAATATTGTCTCTGCATGTAGATATTTATTTTTATTAAAGTTTACATATTAATTTTTAGGCGTGTGTATGTACGAGATGTTATTCGGTGAGACGCCGTTCTACGCCGAGTCGTTAGTGGAAACATACGGAAAGATAATGAACCATGCGAGGTGTTTCCACTGTCCACCCCAGGACGAACATGCGGCACAGGTAAAAAAAAAATTAATCATTAAGTTAAATCTAACAATAGTAATAAATTTAATAAAATAATAATTATCCAGCGCTACCTACGGCCGTCTATGGGCTCAGATTGCTTCCGTATCATCATATCATCATCATTTTATTTCTTAGATAGCCTTCTGTCTGACACATACAGATTTTTGGATTTGAGACATGCGATCCTCACGATTTAGCCTTCACCGCGTACAGTGCAACAGTGTTCGGGTAGTGCACTTAGACAGAAAGTCTATTGGTACACAGCCGGGGATCGAACCTACGACCTTAGGAATGAGAGTCGCACGCAAAGTCATTAGCCCAATACTACTAAATAAATATTAAAAAATATTTATTTTAAATAAATAATTTTATTATATTAAAAATTAAAATTTATTTTTTTATTATAATAAAATAATATAATATAAAATATTTATTTTAATATAAAATCTATATAATATTTATTATCAATTTCCATAATTGGAGTTTACTGTACTACTAAATAAATAATAAAACTAGACCATCAAATTATACAGGTTAAGGGAGCGTTCAAGTATTACGTCACGCAAATTATTGGAGATTATTGACCTCCCATGTAACACGCCGTAACGTTTTTCTGTACCCAATAGTAAAACGTTTCGTGACCACCTAGTGACTCTTGATACCTTAAAGTTACCATTATGTGGTGTAAAGTACTGGAAAGTCGAAAATAATATTAACAATAACGCATAATTCAATCCCCGCCCCGTATCGTAACGTTTTACAAAAGGACTCCCCCCCCCAAAATTCGTTACGTAATACTTGAGCGCTTCTTTATAAATATCTAACGATTTCATGGTATGTCAAAATTAAAAGATATAAATTATCTACGTCCAAAGTACTTTACTTAGTTTGTTGTCTATATGATGTGACATTTTCATATAACGATCCTCCCAACAAGACCATGTCCATCGTGCCATTACCACACACCCACATTCTAGTTTTAGCTGAAATTGGCATTTGTGCCAAAAATAATGTTTGACGCTTGGCGTCAACAACACACCACCCATCCAGGATTGGATGTTACCGCTGTGATCACATGGCGTGTTGTTATTGCATCTGACCATATTAAATTGTGATTGATAAGTACTGACATGCGTCGATGGCTTAGGTCGCGTTTTGGTAGTATGTTTCCCTTATTAAGATGAAAATGTCAACCATATAACACCAGAAAATGAAGAGTGTATTATACGCACACACCCATTCACATACTAATACTTCACGAATACTTAAGGTCTTAAATGACTTGTGTGATTAGATCTAACACAAAGACAACTTTTCTTTAAAAAAATGTTTTAATCAAGCTCCATATACCACAGAATAATTGTAATCTAGTTACTCATAACACAGGGGCTTCCTAGTGTGGGGGGAAGCATTAGATCAATTTTCTCACAAGCATTTTTTTTATTTATTTTTTTATTTAATTGACTATCCCATTCTAATGTGAAGCTTTTTATGGTACCAACGGATTCTACATATTTACATAATAGCCCACATATAAATACATATTTTTAACACCCACACCTAACACAACACCAAATCACATCACATCGATGTTTTGTCTCAGGACGAACCGGACCCATGGATTCGCAGTCAGGGGTACTAACCACTAGACCAATGAGCCGTCAAAGCATATTTCTGTCATGAATAAAGTTTTTATTTATTTTATTTCTTTTGAAAAGTCAATCTTAATATATGTACAATAAGGTCTTAATTTCCCTTATCTAAGAAATATTTAGACCGTTCTTTGCGATGATGAATTATTTTTATACAATACTGTTTATATTTTGTCTTGGCAATTATTGTTAATGCATATTTATGGACTAGGTCTCTGAGGAAGCGCAAGATTTAATTCGCCGGTTGATATGTGCGTCTGATACGAGATTAGGAAGAAATGGGATTCAGGATTTTAAGGTTTGTTATTTTATTAAGTTTTACTAAGTATATTTTTTTACGCCCGAACCCAATCCCTAATCCACCATCTGAGAAATGTTGAAACAATGTGCCAATAACCAATCCACGGATTGTAATAGCCATCTGTCGATACGAGCTACCTGTGGATAGACCTTTGTATGAAAATGACAGTTGACGAAAGCTCGATTTCAACAGTTAATTATTATATTTATTATATATTATATTATATATTACACCAGTTTTTTAAATAATTAAAAAAGCTGTCTGTTGTGTTTTAAACATAGACATGTATATTTTAATGTTATTTGTTTTGCATTGATTATCAAATATGTGTGTAATCTCAGTAAAATAGAACGACAAAAAGCATTTTATCCTTCGCTAAAAATGGATTGTCTTCGTAGGGTTTGGTTATTGGGATGCAGATAGGAGATCGATCGACTGTTACGGTCTCAGAATTTACAATTTGATTGTTTTAAATCTGAGATTGTGTATTGATTATTGGGTTCGAGCGTTAATTTACTGTGAATCATTAAATATAATTATTTTTTTATATTGTCATTTATTTGCAAGTAGAAAAATATTTGAGTTACTTTTATAAACTTTACTGGATTAAAACGTTACTACAAATTTACATTTAATTTGGCTTTATTCAAGAGCCAATAAGTTATTTTATTTTATTATGTAGAATCACCCATGGTTCAGTGGTGTGGAATGGGAGACGGTTCGAGAGGCAAGCGCACCGTTCGTTCCCGACGTGGCCAGTCCCACTGACACATCCAACTTTGATGTAGATGACACGGATATAAGGTAATATATACATATGTATATTTTACCAAACTGAGAGAAGCTTAATATATTTCTTAAAAAGTAAATACACACACACTTCTATCATCCAAAGAAACTCGATTTTGATTATGTATGATAACGTCTACATTTCCCAGTTCTCTTGTCTATGGTTGGTCCTTAGATGGTACTTCGAATATGAACCTTTTTCTCGGTTTTTTAATTAAAAGAAAATCTTTTAATAGTAGTAATAGAATATTTTCCGTCTCGATTAATTGCTTCTTTTGATATTGGATTTATAGAAAACAATCGTAGTAGGTTTTTGAATAAAGAGTTTTTTATAAACAATGTACCGCCAATATAGGCGTTTTTGTAGCTTATGCAACCAATACAAGTGTAAAAAGAATATTTTAATCGATTTTTTAAATGTCAATTATTATTTGAATGATATTATTTCTTAATTATTTCACCTAAGTACCCTGAGTAGTTTTGCCACGTACTGTACGTTTAATACGAACGATAACGAATATTGTCTTTTTATTGATATCTGGATCGAATATTTGTTGAAGGGTAGCTTATATATTCCCTAAGTTTAAATATTGCATATTTCATAATAATCATTATTTATAGCAAAATATTCTATAAAAGTCATATTTTATCTTAGATTATCGGAAGCTGTTCCCTCCGCCATCAGCATCATCAGCGTTTTCTGGTCTCCACCTGCCATTCATTGGATTCACCTTTACGGCTGGATCGAGATTGTCCGATCTCGGTGCGCCTACGCCGCTCAGCCCTGCCAAGAACGCTCCTAGTCAGGTAAATGAGGTATTATTTCTTATATTTAAAAAAAAAAGACTTAATTAAGTATTTTTATTATTCGATCTTTTAACTCTCTGACTAACATTGATATACGCAAAAAAAAAAATTTAAGACCGTCCAATGGGACAAATACAATTCTATGTATGTTTTAATTCCGAATATGGGCGTTGACATATCGAACAACGTTCAGTTTCGGGGTTATTTGGAGGGAAAAGCTTAATTAGCCTCCACGAAGCTTGGTGTGCTCAGAAAGGCGAGACTGTACTGCGGGCCATCGCTTTCCGAGCGGCTTGATCTCTTGGCTTTGCGTAGAGATGTGGGGTCTCTGCATCTTCTACCGCATTTACCATGGAGAGTGTTCAGAGGATTTGTTCGGTCTTATACCTGCTGAGTTTCATTATCGGACGTCAAAGCAAAATACAAAATACCATCCGTATCACTTCGACGTCCGTCGTTCCACAACTGAGCGTTTTCTAAGGCAGTTTTTGCCGCGCACCACCACTATGTGGATCCAGCTGCCCACTGAAGTTTCCGAACCAATTCGACTTAAGGTCCTTCAAGAAAAGAGCGTACCAATTCTTAAAAGGCCGGCAACGCACTTGCGAGCCTTCTGGCAATGTGAGTGTCTATGGGTGGAGGTATCTTTTAACATCAGGTGAGCCTCTTGCCCGTTTGCCTCATATTTCATTAAAAAAATGTAGTACTGTTCTCACCTCTGGGCGGAAGATCCACAGTACCAACTCATTCCACTGATAGCTGACTGCGGTCTCTCTGCATCTTCTACTCCATTTATCATGGACATAGGCAACTTTGAATTAATTAAAAAAAAGGGTGCATGTACTTATGTACGCGCGTATGAAGTTATACTTCTTTGGCATTATTAAAAATAGTTTTTGATTGCATGCATATAATTCATTACAATTAAATAATCAAAGACTGGAAAAGGAGTCATTATAGTCAATAAAGTTCAGTTTATATTTGAAAAATTAAATAAATAAATATTTATTATTATTCTCTTACATTAAGTGTAACATAAATTCTATGTTGTTTTTGAATTATGTCATCTTCCGTGGGCAACTTCATTCTGTTAATTTTGTGTCACGGTGCGCGCGCATCGTAAAATTTCACTCTCATAAATTCATTAAAGAAGTATAACTTCAAAAATTACAAACGCCAAAACAATGCTTCACAGGGAATAGTATAGTGTGCTCCATAGACTTAAATCTTATGCCATACTAAGCGCGGGTGTAGCAAAAACTCAACAACTGTGTACAACTCTCTCATTCTAGGCTCCATCAAACGCGGGAGATCGCGCCGCTTTAAAAGCGTTAGAATGCGAAAATGCTCTACTAGCTCAAACGATAGCTGAACTACGGGCCAGTAGTCAAGTAGACGGTGCTACTGGTATGTATACGCTGAAATTTTTGTGCAAATTTTTTATATTTATAAGTTCAAAATATTAATTTTATCATTAGTTCTTGCGAAGTCATGGTTATTTTAAGATTATGGTTATTATGGAATAATAATAGTAGTGTTGGCCTAGTGGCTTCAGCGTGCAACTCTCATACCTGAGGTCGTAGGTTCGATCGCCAACTGTGCACCTATGATCTTTCTATGTGCGTATTTAACGTTTGCTCGAACGGCGAAGGAAAACATCTTGAGGAAACCGACATGTCTTAGACCCAAAAAGTCGACGTTGGTGTCAGGCACCTACTTACCCATAAGATTTAAAAATTATTATAAAACAGATTCAGAAATCTGAGGCCAAGACCTAAAGAGGTTGTAGCGCCAATTTTTTTATTATGGAATATAAGATACAGGTATCACTTAGTTTGTGCCTTAATTAAAGTATGTTATATCTCGTTTACTTCCAATGGGGCCTATATATATTTAGGCCAAAAGTACCTTTGTGTTTCTTGTGTATTTTGGCGTGGTCACTGGGGATGGAATCCACTAGAAAAACTACGCTATAAATCGTGTCGCTTGATTTCGGTTTCCCGACAGTATCTATAGATCGCAATACGTTATTCTTTGAATGTAAACGCTCACTGTTTTAGTAATATTGATATGAAATGTCAAAACATACGTCATCACGTTACAAGTAGAAAGTGACCTTTTTTTTTGTTTAAACACTTTGGACGTATTAAACAATGATGTTGCTTGTTAACATTGCATAGCTTGAGATACAATAAACTGAGTTTTCCACACGGTGGAGTAATTATTAATAAAAATGGAAAGTAAAGAATTTGTAGTCAATAATTTTGAAATTACGTGATGTAGGTTTTCCCTATCCCCGACCCCCTATACCCGGCTGCGGCTTTAGGTCGATTTATATCTGTATTTATATATTAATTCACGATATACAATTCTACCCCCTTTACTATTTCAGATCAATTAACTCTTTTAAAAGAAGAGTTAGCGGCATTACAGAAAAAGAATAGCGAATTGGAAACTTTAACGACATGTGAAAATAATGTAACCGTTTCACCGGTAAGTATAGTTCTTAATTTTTCACTTATAATACCACAAGAGCTTCAAAATTATCGGGTATTTCCCGATAGGTTCGTTGCAAACAAATGAAGGAGTCAAGTTTTTCAGGTTAAAAAATGATTTTTTAACCTGAAAAACTTGACGACTTTATTTGTTTGCAGGGAACCTTGAGGGAAATGCCAGATAATTTTGAAGCTCGTGTGGTATTCGGGGGATTATTTTTCCGACCCAAATGTCGGCCAATAGAATTGCACCATGAGACGAAATGTACAGTTAACAAATAAGAATTTCATAATGAATAAAACAACTACTTAATACTTTTCTTGAAGCAACTACCAGAGAAAATTTTCAAAAAATTATCAGTATAATACCATGTAGGTTGTACCACGTGGCGTCGAATGGTGCAATTCTATTGGTCGATATTTGGGTCGTAAAAATAATCATATAAATTTCTAAAATTACAGTGATAACAAAAAATTCTTATAACACTTTAATAGATACGCAAAAAATATGTATTTCTAAAGAATATTTATTTAATCTGAGCCAAAGATTAAGACACAAATTTTGTTCGTTCTATTAAAATGAATATCCACATCCCTCTTTGAAGACACTCTCCTTAAAGCCTCAGCTAGCATCGGGGTACTGGGCGTTGACATATCGAATAACGTTCAGTTTCGCGGTCATCTGGAAGGAAAGGCTAAATTAGCCTCCAAAAAGCTTGGTGTGCTCAGCAAGGCGAGACGGTACTTCACTCCGGGCCACCGCTTGCAACTATATCAAGCGCAAATTCGGCCCCATATGGAGTACTGCTCTCACCTCTGGGCGGGAGCTCCCCAGTACCAGCTCCTTCCACTTGACCGTATTCAACGAAGAGCGGTTCGAATCGTCGACACCAGTCACTTCCCGTCCGGCCCTTGATCCCTTGGCGTTGCGTAGAGATGTGGGATCTCTCTGCATCTTCTACCGCATTTACCATGGAGAGTGTTCAGAGGAGTTGTTCGGTCTAATACCTGCAGCTGAGTTTCATCAACGGACGTCAAGCAAAATAATCCTCCTATCACCTCGATGTCCGTCGTTCCACAACAGAGCGTTTTCTAAGGCAGTTTTTGCCGCGCACCACCACTATTGGAACCAGCTGCCCACAAAGTATTTCCGAACCAATTCGACTGGGGTCCTTCAAGAAAAGAGCGTACCAATTCTTGAAAGGCCGGCAACGCACTTGCGAGCCTTCTGGCATTGTGAGTGTCCATGGGCGGCGCTGTCACTTAACATCAGGTGAGCCTCCTGCCCGTTTGCCTCCTATTACAAAAAAAAAATCAGATGTTTTTTTTTCATTATATTGTTTTTCAAAATTATAATCTAAATGAACGTCTATCTATGTATAAGATTGGTATTGTTTTAAAAAGAAGGAAACAAGTAACAAAGACACAGAGAATGATGTTCTTTTGTTTACCCTGAGCTGTATATCAACCATAAGGTTGAATCTCTATGTACGAAAATGCTTGCCGCGCTAATACTCAAGAATGGCTGGACCGATTTGGCTAATTATGATCTTAAAATATTTGTGGAAACTCTGGGAAGGTTTTAACGCTGGGAATCATAAATAATAAGTAAAAATAATAAAAACTGTTCCTATGTGGGAATTATTTAATGTCGTTTTATCTTTTTAGGAATAAATAGTGGTCACATTGTGGTCATATATTTATAAATCAGAAATTTGTGTTTCATAGTTGTAGTATGAGGTCCGATCTTTTCGGTCTGTTTTAAAATAATTGCATTGAGGCTATGTTCACAAGTAACGCGCGTTAACGCGCGATCAAATTTGAAGAGCGTTCAGATGATGAGCGCTAACGCGCGTTGCGAGAGTACTCGTCAGTCTAGTTCGGTAGAACGTAGAAAATGGACGTGGAAGAGGCTATTATTTTGTGGTTATATTATAAAGAAAAATATAGAAAAAGAAAACGTACACATTGGGTTCATCCAATTTTGAAAAAAAAATACAAATTATATTATATTTTTTATACAAATTTGCTATATTCCAACTTGCTGGCCTTTTTTCTACTTCATCGATTAGTAAGTCGATGTCAATATCTTCAATTTCACTTTAAATGCGAGAACAAAATATAATTACGAAAATTAACAAAATTACATGCGATCGCGATGAAAGCGTGCGCTCAACTGACTAGATTAATCGATTTTTTAAAATAATCGATTTTTTATGCGATTTTTATATTTAAAATATCATTAATATCGATTTTTTTTAATTGAAACTCTCATCGATTTTTTATCTGCTATTATGTCTGGTATTTTATAACCCGGACCTCGAACTTTAGGGATATTCATATACATCGATGTTTACAATCGTACATTAAATGGATTCTTTGAAGTATATGATATACTCGATACAATATTGATGTTTTTTTGTAAAACACCAAAAATATAAAAGCATTCTTTACAAAAACTCAAGTTTGAATGAACACTATAATTTAAAAGTAAAATAAATTTATTCACACACAAACTACATACAATTAAAAAGACAACAAAAAAACTGCAATGTGCTACTGAAAAGGAATACACTCAGCATTTATCAAAATCTATCAAAACGAAATTAAGTTAATTTCGATTTTGATTATTCTTAAACGTTAATTTGTGTTTATAACTTCTATTGTTTATTTTTAATTTAAAAAACCATGAAAAATAAAATATTTAGGGTCTTTATTTTGAAATTAATTCAAAAATTAGGAAAAAAAGGGTGCGTGTACTTATGTACGCGCGTAAGAAGTTATACTTCTTTGGCATTATTAAAAATAGTTTTTGATTGCATGCAAATAATTAATTACAATTAAATAATCAAAGACTGGAAAAGGAGTCATTATAGTCAATTCAGTGAACAGCATACGGACATTACATTAATATCAAAGCGCGCGTCAACGCGCGATCACCTGCGTCTAGAGACTTTTTCTCTGAGCGCCGCGTTGACGCGCGCTCATGTGAACAGTTGTATGAAAATACCACAATGTCTAGTCGCGCGATTTGTAAACGCGCGTCAAGTTTTTGCCATCTGAACATACCCTAAGTTTTGTCACAAATATATTATATAGGTGATACGAAGTTTATATTATAATTTGACTGCAAATTGATGATTTTGAAGCTGTGAAATTTAATGTTTATTTTATAGGACTTGTCATCGGCGCCTCAAGAATTAGTAGCGAAGTTGCGTGAGCTCGAAACAAAGATAGAAGGATTAAATACCGAGAAAGAAGAGCTGATGAAGGATAAAACGGACTCCATTGAGAAATTACGGTTACAGGTGAGTTTCAAAGACATAACAGTGTCTCAATACGAAAATTAAATCTTAATTTTGATATTTTATTCAGAAGCTAAATGTTCCATATTTTATTGATTATTTTTTTGATTAAACAGGGAACACCAATGAGTATTATAAACTCAAACTCAAAATAACTATTCATATAGGTAAACAAGTACACTTATGAACGTCAGAAAAGAAGTTAAATTAATTCTAAATTTACATTTACTACCAGTTCGCAAGTCAAGGGCGTAGAGCGGACAAGAAGAACTGGCAAGAAACTTTCCGCCACTCTTTTTAATCTCTAAATTTGAGGTTATATTGGATGTACGCTTTTTTTAAATTTTGACAGTGTATATGTTATTTATATCCCATTATTGATGATTATGATGCCATGTTAATTTTCATTATTCAAGTAATTTATTAATCTATTTTTTTATACAGGATAAAGAGCTTAGAGACGCCCTTACCCAACGTAAACTAGCGATGACTGAATATAATGAGGTCACAGAAAAGTTGTCGGAACTTCGGCAGCAGAAGCAAAAACTGTCGCGGCAGGTAAGCATACGTTTATGTCTAAAAGTAAACTAAGGCCGGCAACGCACTTGCGAGCCCTCTGGCAATGGGCGCGTTCAAGTATTACGTCACGCAATTTTTGGAGATTATTGAGCCCCCCATGTAACGCGCCGTAACGATTTTCTGTACCTAATAGTAAAACGTTTCGTGACCACCTAGTGACTCTTTATACCTAAAAGTAACCATTATGTAGTGTCAAGTACTGGAAAGTCAAAACTAATATTAACATTAACGCGTAATTCTATCCCCGCCCCGCATCGTAACGTTTTACAAAAAGACCCCCCTACCCAAAATTCGTTACGTAATACTTGAACGCTCCCAATGGCGAATATTACAATATATGTATATATTATATTTTTAGAAAATAACCTAAGTAAAAGTACTTTTTAGGAATTTGTTATTTTAATAAGACTCTTTTAATCAGGTTCGCGATAAAGAGGAAGAGTTGGATGTAGCGATGCAAAAGATTGACGCGTTGAGACAAGATATCCGACGAGCGGATAAAGGAAGAAGGGAACTCGAAGCGAGACTTGAGACGGCTGTCGCTGAAGCCACTAAGGTTAGGAATAAGTATTAATGATCTTGTTAGAAAGTACTGGAATGTTGGCCCCTTACGTCTAGACCCAGAGGTCTTTGATGGATTTATTGATGTACGCTCGGAGAAGGAAAACATCGTGAGGCTGATGAATTATTGTAAAAGATCGAAATCTCTTGAGGTGTATTTAAAACTTTTCTTAATAATTATCCTGGATTAGTTTAAGTATGTTTGAAGTTATACTTCTTAAGGTGCGTTATGAAAAATTGATGAGAGTGAAATTTTACGATGCGCGCGCACCGGGACACAAAGTTAACAGAATGAAACCCCAGCTCAGGAGGAAAAATACTACCAACAAACAGAAATGGTATCTCTGTTAGTGGCGCATGTTGGCACGCACGCCGCCTCTGTTCACTGTGTATTTATAATATTTATCCACATGCTTTGAGTTTCTACATTTAAAACACGTGTTTTCATTATACAAGTGCGAATTTTATATGTGCGTCTGAATTAAAAAGTAAAGTAGAAGTAAAAAATAATTTAATCACATAGGTAACATAATGTACATTTATGACTTGTCAGTAAAGAAATACACATTAATTACAATCAGAAGTGATTTAAATTCAATATTTAAATCAATACTAACGAATATTGCAAAATATTTGTGAAAAACTGTGCCCAACAACCTTCCTAAGTGCTTCAATACAATTGAGGTTAACTATCCGTATGTATTATTAATAATGCCAAAGAAGTATAACTTCTTACGCGCGTACATAAGTACACGCACCCTTTTTTTTAATTCTTAAATTATATTACTTTTTATATAACGTAGTAGTAGTAAGTACTCTTCATCTTTTTGTCCTCATATTCACGTATTAAAATCTGCGAATATTTGATTATAATTTTTTATATGTTTTTGTTACTTATTTTATTCCGATTCTTAAGTGTATTAAGATGATTGATGATTGATAAAGGAGCGCAAATTACGCGAAGAGTCCCTACGCCTACAACGCGTGGAAGCGGGTGCTTCGCCCTCGTCCACTCAGCCCTCTGCTGCCGCCGACGTCGCTAAGTTGCAGGCCGATATTGAGACTTTGGAGGTATTTTTTTTAAATTTAATGTAATTTATATACACTATCGCTTCGTTCCTTATACACCTTCCTCACTAACCTTAATCGCACCCTAATTTTACTTTCCAATATTATATACTATAATTGAAATATGTACTGATAATAGTACAGTAAACACGAAATTAAATAATTTATATTATATAACATTAGGCCCAGTACGCGGAATCCTTGGCTCAACAGCAAGCACGGTATTCCGCAGAAGTTAACGCGCTGAGGGAACAACTTCATGAGACTGATGCTCTACGATCCATGTTGAACAGAGAGGTACATTTATACTGGAAACAGTTTTTTTGGCCTTTTTTATTTTTGACGTGGAAATACATTAGCGCAACCGACCGTGTTCGTCCCACACCAGAAACTGCTATTCTCGTTTGATTAATATTCATTCATAATTAGGGCCGTTCTATTACGTAAGCAAATTTACTGCAATTTATTCCCCCCATTCCTCTTGTCAGCAAAAGTAAGCAAAGCTCTCAAAAATAATAGTACACAAACGTATTAATTTTTTGTAGGAATCCTCGAAAATGCATTTCATTTTTCAAGCATAGACAATGTGTAAAAAAGTAAATAATTACTGTAAAAAAGAAAAGATTAGAAGACATAATCGTTTTGGTTTAGTACTGTAGGATAGCGTATGTTTTTTTTGGGAAATAATAAATTTTACTTTTTTTTCAGCTCCAAACTTCTAAGACTGACAGCGAAGACAAACAGATGCTGATAAATGAGAACAGAAAACTCGCTAAAGATCTTGATGCTGTAAGTAAATAAAACCAATTTTACCAAAACAATTCTGATAGCAAAACTCATGAATGCACTAGAATTCAATATTGATAAAACAATTTTGTTCTCGATATGGAAATAAAAATGGACATTTATAGAAGTAATTTGGAAACCGTTTTAAGTACAATTACTTTCCAGTGTTCTATATCATAAATTTAATTTTTAAGCTATTGCATAGATTTTATCGTGGGCTTTGAGCGCGGCGACCGAATCAAGAAATTCCGTAACGAAATAAACCTAACACACGATGACGTAATATAGGTGCGGCCAATAGCATTAGAGCGGGACAGAACGCATACTGCGTCTCACATCTCTCTGATGAGATCGGTGACATAGCGTAAACGTGGCCGGTGCAGCCGGTACGCGTTAGAGTGAGACAGACTATATAAGCGTGTTTGAGTCTGGTACAGTAGTAGAGTGGTAGATTGAATTAATATCAAAAATATTCCATAAATAAAAAATAAATAAATAATTATAATTGCATGAGTTGAGCTTGGTCTGTACGTCATGTTCAACTCGTTTTTTTATGTCATCTCGAAAAATGAAAGGAACTTTATATTTTAAATGAAGTTCCCTGGCCTGTGTATGAACGGATTTGTAAGGTTTTCTCCAATTGACGGTGTTTTCTTTATGGTTTTAGGTAAATTGACAGAATTATAACGACTATTGTTGAAGAGACATCTTGCCAATATACAATGTATTCAATCTTTGGATATATCTTTGCTATCATTGTTTTTTGTTATGTATAATTGAAGTATGCTGTAGGAGTACGAAAAAATATATTTAAAAAAATAAAATATTAAAATTTATTACTTTTAGTCGCAGCAGCGACTAACTTACTTTTAAAATTATATTCAATTTTGGAAATTTCGAACTTAGTAAGTGCTTTGGGATACCACCCTTAAATAAGGCATACTGTATGGTAATAGAAAATTTTTAGTGAAAATTATCACATAAAACGGTTTGGTAGGATAGTCCAAAAATCCTCCTTCATTTAAGTTAGTTTAGTTTCATTTCAGACATAATTGTAGTTGTATATTACTTATTTGATTTCTTTTTATAAATAATCTTACTCATTTGTATTATTTTACATAATTAAATTCTTCTAAAACTTTGCTATTAAGACGTAAAATTATCTATATACCAAATTTTACAGATGGCGGAGAACGGGCGTCGTTGGCAAGCGGAGAGGAGACAGTTAGAGATGGAGTTGGAAGAGTTTAGGTCGAAGAGAGATACAATGCAACATTGGGAGACACAGGTATTTTGCTCGAATGAAACATAAAATTATTAAAAATATTTCTTAACTTTATGGATTTTAAAACGATAGATGTGAATAGAATTTCATATTTTTATGAAAACTATGTATATGTTAACGTAAAATTGTAAACACCGTTAGAATGTAATCTATCTCGCGAGATTATAAACTGTCGAAAGATTGTGAACCTCAGCGTACTGCTTACAATTTAACGTATTATTATTCGGTAGATTGTAATCTATCGAAGTGAAACCGTCAAATTATGAAACGGATCGCTCCTCGCGCGCTGATTGGTTGAACAGAATATGCCACGCGCCAGCATATTTGTTTGTTAATTCGTTTGTTGTCGAATGTAAATTGATTTTTTTGATGAATGTAAATTGATGTCATGTTGAAAGTAACTCACAGCTTTAGAATTAGTTATATGAAATTATTGGGAAGTAAAATTAATCTGTGATTGACCAAAGAAGTTTGAATGATAACTAAGTTAGTGTTGGAAATGAAATGAAAGAAAATTTCATTAATTTTTCAAGATAATTTTAAAATTTGATTTATATATGGTGGCGCGGGGCATATTCAGTTCAACCAATCAGCGCGCGAGGTGCGATCCGTTTCATAATTTGACGGTTTCACTTCGATAGATTATAATCTACTGAATAATAATACGTTAAATTGTAAGCCTGAGGTTCACAATCTTTCGACAGTTTATAATCTCGCGAGATAGATTACAATCTAACGGTGTTTAACAATTTTACGTTAAAATATACACATATGTAATCAATATAAATTGGTGGTCTTAAGTTTGAGTCACGACGAAACAATTGTATCAGATTCAGATCAGGCTGATGAGATTTTAATATGATTTTAATTAAATTAAAAATCACTATAAAAAAGTCATAGTGTAAATCAGAGAAGAGTGGAAGGCCTTAGAGGAGGCCTTATCATAAACTTATCTAGTTGAGAATTGACCGGTCCGATGTGAGGTATCCGATCAAAAGCTTCTGGTCTCTGTTGTCCGTTTCCTTATATAACGGTGTAGCGTAAGAGGGGTACTGGTATTGGGTATGCGGGGCAAAGGAAGTGCAATGGATATGTAACACACATTTGTATGTACTAGTAGGTGCAAGTAATTACAATAAAGGCTTATAGGTGCGCGAGAGGCGAGCACCATATAATAATAGTTTCTCTCAGTGGCCGTAGTGGGAAGACAAAGAAAACTTCCTCACATCTAAAGTATATATAATTATTACAACGTACACAGAAGGAACAAAGTTAATAAATGATATGAGTTGTAGCACAATAAGAGAAAAGAAAGCGTTAAGACAAGAATAGATTAATTATAAGTCACAAAGGGAGAATTCGTAAATCGCGCACGGGTTTCGCTTTTGACAGTTCTGAACGCACTGCTCGCTGGTCGCGCTGCCACTGGCTTCAGGCTCCATCCACCGCGCCCGTGTCGTCACACATAGCGGTAAAATCACCGACGCGGTGGAAAAGAGGAGTGATATTATTGTTCGCCACAGGCTTTTATTATTATTATTATAAAAAAGTCAGGATTGGGAAGACTCGGACTTCTATAATATGTATACTATCTCCCATAAAATGTATGTTAACTCTTTCAGTTAGTAATGCATGTATTAATCCTCAGATTGCAGACATAATAAGATGGGTGGCTGATGAGAAGGAGGCCCGTGGTTACTTGCAAGGCATTGGCAACGAAAATGACCGAGGAGTTAGACTATTTGAAGCATGGTAATTATTTAATTATTAACCCGAGAATGCACATTTTGAACGACTACATACAAACAAAATTTATTAATGAATAAGAAGTAGGAATATTTATATGGTTAAGTCTAGCTTTAATTAAATTTCCGATGGGTGGCAATCTATTCGTTTCTATCAAGATTAGTAATATGCTATGTTTAAAGGCGATTTATTGGCAACACCGACCCACAGTTTTCCATACGTTTAGTATAATTATTAATAGGTACATACTTCAAAAAAAAATTACGTGCGTACAAAGTACACACTACACATGTCAGAAGTGAAACTTCTTTGGTAAACTAATTTTTAGTCTTGTTCATATTTATACAAATCTAAAACTTATTTCCGAGACTTAGAGGGAGGGAAAGAGGAAGATATGTTAGGAATTTAATTGTCATTAAAATATTTAGTGTCGAAAATTAATACAAATTATAAATTTAATTTTGTTCATTTATTTCTTCGATAACAAAAACACGTGAGATTTTAATTTACAATTCATCATTTGAGATTTCAATAAATTTTGCATAAAATACAATATAATAATATTTCATAAATTCTCTGCACGATATTTTAATTTTAAAAATAGAATTCCTATAAGGTAATTCGCCCTTCTCACTCTCTCTCTCTCTCAATCGGTCTCAATCGCTCTCTCCCTTTTCTTCGACAAAAACGCTGCACATCCTCGTGACGCTAATATTATTATTGAGTTTCATCCGTAATTATTTTACCCTCATGCGCCTAAAGAAATTTCACTTCAAAAATTGTATCACTGTTCTATTATGTTAACACATCATAATAATCATTCTTGCAAAGAGGTTCAGAAAGTTAAGTTAGAAAATATATTTAATTATAATAATTATGTTGTGTCCCAGCATCGGCAACCCGAACATCCGGTCCCGTGTCACCTGGCGGGGTTACTTCCGGTCCCGGTGCTGGTTCCGGATGGAGAAATAGGCGGTCGCAGAAAGTTGATAAGATGGAGATACTCACATTGCAATCGTCGCTCCATTCAGAGATTCAGGCCAAACAGACGGTTTCGGAGGAATTGAGCCGCACGCGAGCTGAATTGCTTGCTAGTCAGAGGTATATCTTAATTAACATAATTAATGGAAATTATAATTGTTTACAGATAACATGTTTGCTTATTTGAAATAAACGTCTATTACTTAATTAACCGACTTCAAACGGAGGTTAGAGCTATATCTAGTTAGGCTTTCTTCCTTAGTTTTCCTTACATTAGTATATCAGATACTCAAAGTCATGTCCAGTCATCTTGTCATCCTTGATCTAAATTAGATAAATTGCAACTTAGGAAACAGTCCAATCAAATTCATTGGAGTAGTTTTTGTGATATGTGTATCCTATCTATATATCCTATATTCTATATTATATCCTATATTCAAATATATTATAGGATATACTTAATTTTTTAATTTATTTTAACATTTATTATATTGGAAACTAAGTAAATGTTAAAACTATTGCCAAAAAAACTAACTAAATCATATAGAGTCTGGCTAATGAAAGAAGATAACGAAAAAGCGCGGCAAATTCAATTTTTTTTAGTATGGTATCCCTAAAAGTTTGATATATTCTGTGGATTAAACTTACTTGATACTTGATTTTATTATTTTTTACTTTGATAGTAACGTATTAAGTCTTTTAATGTTGATACTTAAAATTACTAGCATTGCAAGGAAAACTAAAACTATATTTATTATAAAACACAACTTTGTTCGGAATAATCAAAATCAGAATGCAAAAAATCAATATGCATAGATTCATCAGTCATTGCTGTTCTCACTGTCTCTCACATTGATTATGAAACCTTGTAAATGTTTAGACTATTATACTTGTTAACTATTCGGAAAAAAATATATAATAGAAATAAAAATGAGTAATTGCATGAAGTATCAAGACAATAAATCATATTAACCTAAGAAATTCAATGACATTCTGTGTTGCCATCCGAAAGTTTTCAAATAATTCAATTATCTTCTTTCATTAGCCAGACTTTATAAAAGTCTATTTAATTTTTAAATTACTTTTATATTATTTATTATGAACATCATGGGGTGTTAAATATCATATTGTAATCATCCACTAGGGTTATTGCAATTAGAAGGCAAATAAAAAAATATATTGAGAAAAGGTTCTTGTTACAGGTTATTCACGTATGATGTAATAAATATTTGTTCTAACAGCAACAAAGACTTATAATTAATGTACGTTATCCAGGGAGTTAATGGAGACTCGTCAGCGTTTGGACTCGGTCGCGCATGACATGAAACGCAAAGAGCAGCACATCCGCGACATACAGGCCAAGCTGGATGCGCCGGCGCACCCGCATAACTCCTGTGAGTATATACACGATATACGTAATATTTACGTGTGTATACGTTACACACGCACTTATATATGCGACTCTTGGTGGATAAAAATAGTTTATTAGGTTTGTTTGAAGACAACTTTCGGATTTTGTGTAAAACCAAGGAACATAACTTCTTTATGGGTAGGGTTTTTGGGATAGGATGGGTTTATTAATTTCAGGTGGCCCTGCAGCTAGTTTACTACTTTCTTTAATAGATAAATTAAAATAGTTTTATTTATAGAGATTAAAACAGTTTTACAAACAGAAAATAAAATATATATATTCTGTCAACTATACCTTTGTTTTATATTTTGCTGCCCTTACTTTTGATTTCGGTATAAATAATGTCCGTCATAGTTTTCTTACCAAGTTAATATTAACAAAATATTGTTTTTAAAGTATGGTACATGTTTTAAATATACATCAATATAAGTATTTATTTTTCAGTTTTGTGTATAATATTTATTTAGTGCACCATTTATTTTTGTTTTCGTTACATGTTACCGCACTATCCCACCCAATACACAAACGAAACGTGATTTTTTCCGGGAACAAATCCAAATCTCAAAATGGAATGTTGGAATCCACAAAGTCAAACGTCGACCGCGACGAAAAAAACGAAAATAAATTGTCTTTGACATTTTATGGACTCTATGGTACGGTGTGTTTGTGAACATTCGAAATTGGATCTGTGATTTCGGACGCTGTGCCATTTTGTGATTCGAAATTCAAAATTGGGGCCAAATGCATTTGTGTATTTAATTACGCGTTATGACGTGTTTTATTTTATTCCTTTTATATTGTTGCATTTATCGCCATTTGTGGCAATCGACGGGTTCAATATGTATTGCGTTGCATTTATAAACTTTTATTGTATTATTTTTATCTGCATTGTGCTTCTAATGACAGTTCGAGCGTGGTTTAGGCCTTACTTGCCATTGGTTTTGGGAGTTACCTCATGCCTGTGGGGCGTAGCCATATTTGTTTATCACGAGATATATGGATAATGTTTTGGATGTATATTTTCAATTCTTTGACGATTTGGTTTTGATAAGTGTACGAATTATGCAAGATGGCTTACCCCAAAGATGTATACGTTATCTTTTAACGGGCGTATTATTAGTTGACACAAATATATCTTTGTATAGAAGATTGTATAGTATTGTGTTAATAGGCTGAAGGCCAGTTTACGTCAAAAATATTCTAGTCTTAAAACCAATTTGATCTTAATGCTATTACCAAAGAACCACACGAACTAGTCATTTTATTAACCTTTTTTATATATTCAAAACCTCTTTTCAACGTACTACTACAATATTATGTTGGCATGTTATTAAAATCATGAAATCGTTGGAGATTTTGATAGATTATACCTGCATTATTGTCTTTATATTTGCCGGTTTAGTATTCGAATCTTTCATAAATTACTGTACCAGTATATTCTCCAGTGGAAAGTTTTTAGTATTTATGGATTACATTAAAAGTCGCCAAGTTTGTTATTTGGTGAATGAAGATTATTTAAAACCGAATTTTATAATCCCATTACCACCGAAGATTAAAAAAGAAATATGTTGAAAAGGGGGAGTTTAAGACTTCACAATGCAGATCACGTTTACTTTGTTTTAGAATCTCATTTCATGTATTAATTTTCTATCATGTCATCTACTGACATTTTTTGTTGTCGACTAAAATTCAATTTTTTGCGTTATTTCTATGAAAAAGTTGCCAGTTTATAAAGTACTTTGAAGTCATGAATATATCTCAATAGGTCAGTAGATGACATACATTTATTTTTAAGTAAGGCATTTTATTCAAAAACCTACGCACTCATAATTATTTCAATAATACATTAGGTTTATTCAAAGCCAAGGCTATAAACTAAGCTTTCATTCAAAGCTACCAAAGGTACGAATTAGTTATTTATTTTTCATGCAACGCCGTAAACATATTTTGGTTTCCACCGGCCTTAACAAGTTATAGAAACTGTTGTAGAAAGAGTATTATGAGTGTGAATGTTGTATTTATCGTTTTTTATTTATAAACTAACATTTACTTTTGTTTGAAGCATTACAGCGCATTTATTTCTTTTAGTTAATAGCGTCAAATGTGTAACGTTGGCGCGCTTTTGTATGACAGTTGCGTTCGGATTTATGACACTTTAATTTTTGTTTACTTTGCTTGGTTTCATGTCTAAGTATAAAGTGTAGCTATTAGCGAACTTGTAAATATGCGGATTTTTCTTGCAATCGAGTTCTATAGTCTATTAATCGCGATTTAAGTTATACCCGTAAATGAGGACCTAATGTGCCATCTATAGGTGCTATGACTAATTTCTGCGGTCACGAATCGGAGCGCAGTCTTTTCGTACAGTGTGCCTTGTACTTGTAGAAATGTGCGAAATGTACATAAGTTATACGATATTAAAGTTGTTGTACTATCCTGTTATTTATTTTTTTATTACCTTCACAAAGATCGACTTTATCGTCCATAATATAAATTGTAATTTCGCAAGCAGCCAGGCAGGGATCGACAAAATCATATTGGAGCGGCAAAGAAGAGAATGGTGCGTTTAACTCTTAGTCCTACAGCTGTAGAATATAGTATGTGATTGTTTAATTTGTTTTGTCCCATACAGTATCTGTTGTTAATAATTGAAGTATACAGGTTTATTTTGTCTTTCTTTAATGATTTACTATGGAAATACATTGTAAATAAGTAAATTAACTAGAGAGAAAATATAATAACTTTTATAGTGTTTAGTAAGAAATATTGAAGGCTTCGACATACTGGAAAATATTACTATACGTAATTAAAATAAATATGACATTACAACAGATATTGTTTTAAGGTTTTTATGAATTTCCTTTTTGTGCTGTGTTTAAACAATAACATAGCATAGTCCTATCGTTTCATTGTAAGTACGAGCAAGTGTCAAGGAAAAAATATTTTGAGGGGTTTGTCACTGTTTTAAAAGTCGAGTTTTTCTACGAAAATAACCTTAATTACAATATTTAAATTAAGAATTTAAATTGTTTACGGTTTTGTTCATAAACGCACTGAGCTTTAATTATTGCAAATATCTTTTCAAAGGCACATGAAAACTTAAATACAAAACAAAAGCTAGTTAAAGCTCAAAGTTCAATTTATGAAATGGAGACGTTTAGAGTTAGTTATTTTTTTAAGTTAAGTATATTTTTGTTAGTTTTACGAATTATGCCTCGATTTTAAAACAGTGATGTTGATTTTTCGGCCATTTTTATGGAAACGATTATATTAAATGCTTCGCTTTTGCTTGAGCTTGCGGTTTTATGAATGTGACAGATACCCTCTTTCTAAATTTGACTACATACCCTCGTTTTCACGTCCGTTCATATTACCAGATAACGCATAAAGCGTCATGGTTTTATTCTCTTTAACACTTGTTTGTATCATAGGCATTGACTAATCTGTTTTTATTGTCAACTACCCTCGTTTTGTATACGTCCTATACAAATCAGTACTTATATTTTTATGTCATTACGTCACGCAAATAGGACATGTTTAATGACTCTATCTATTAATAAATTGAAGGTAGATTTAAGGTTATAATAAGTTTGACTTTAATGTTTATAATAAGTACTGGTTTGTTTGTAAGTTAGTAGTTTGTACAGCGTCCATTGTAAGCGTCCAAAATGCATGTCATTGCCCCAAGCCGTTCACTAAAACATGTCATGTACAGTCGAGTAATTAAGTGAATTTATCAAATTATAGAAATAATATTATGGTTTCTTTTGATTTGCCTGATGGTTGGTCACGTGATCCATATAGTAATGGGATAGTGTATATTTCTTTCACTTTAACACTCGACTATACCTAAAACATAGAAATGTGTTTTTCGATTCATGGTTGAGGTTGGGATTTGGTTTATGTTTTACCCTCTATTGTGTTAATTATATAATTTTTACCAATTCTATAATGCGTGAACAAGTATTCTAAGATGCTAAACTTAAGTCAGAGTTCAGAGTTTGAATATTTTTTTCATATAAATGATGTATTATTATGTGTAACAGGAATTTTGAAAATAACGTAATACTATAGTCGACGCATTATCAACTGATGCTTCGGGTCGTAAATCATATTTATCTGTCTGTCTCGCTCGCACTTACAGGTCTTATGGAGAGGTGTAGTGATGTGCGTAAGAATTGTAGAGGTGTATATCGATAACGGGATAGTATAGAAAATAAATTCTCAATTGTGCGTATTGCGTAACGAAGCGTAATAATGTAATGAGTGTCATTTATAAAAAAACCCTTACTCCTAACGACCAATCAGGAGTGAGTGCGTGCGCAGGTAGCTAAGTATTCTGTCACTGACAGTACAGTGACATTTATTGCCCGACGACTCAGTTTAAAATGCTTCGACTTTTGTTATGTTTACTACGGAATAAGTATGAGTCAAATTCTGTATGTTAATCTAGAAAAACGGCGGTGACGGCGTTAGAATGTTTCTGACTTGGTAGCACTAGGATACTTGTATAAATAAATGAAGGGTTTTAACTAATTATTATTTTTCAGTCTTGGACCGACCGCCATCTCAAATGAGTTACCTCGAACAGTTCTTGAAGGATGCGCCACCTGAGAGGCATTACGACAATGTTAGCACTATCAACAGTGAACAGAAGGTCTGTTTATATTACTTAAAAGCATATGTTAGTAATTATATTAGATAGTCTTTTAAAAAAATCCTAGCTACAAGAGCATCGTTTCTCAAGCGGGGGGGTCGCGACCCTTGGGGGGGAGTCGAGTTTGTTTTGTCGCGGTCTGTTGAACAATAATTAATACAAACACGCATGTATGTGGCACAAAAGATTCGACAAAAAAGCGTGCTATGCACATATTATTATAATTGTACAGTGACGGAGTCGCAAGACTGTTTTATTTAACTTTTTGGCTTTTTCGTGGGTCGCGACATAAAAATGGTTGAGAAAGGATGACAGTAATAGTAGTGCAATATATTGTTGAACATCATTGAAAATTAAGGAAATACGAAAAGCTATTACTTTGAATTGGTTATTTAAGTTTTGTAACGTCGTTTTTATTAATATATATATATATAACTTATAGTTTAATGATATTAGAGTTTGTTTCATTTATTTAGAAGTAGAATTCACAATTGTTCGTAAGCTAACATAATTATACTAATGAAATCATAACTTCACTCATGAAAATAGTTAAAATGGTAATCGCAAATGTATACGAAAACTTTGTATCATATATGTAGATTTTTTTTTTAATGATTGTTTACTTTTTTATATCATTTTGCAAAGAATTAAACGAGACAACTTTTATAGTACCTTAATAGAAATATTTAGTTTTGAGCACTAGTGGCTTTGTTGGACTAGTGGCTTCAGCGACTATTATTCTTGAGGTCGTAGGATCCCCGGCTGTGCACCAATGGACTTTTTGTCTATGTGCGCATTTAACATTTGCTCGAACGGTGAAGGAAATCATCGTGAGGAAACCGACATGTCTTAGACCCAAAAAGTCGACGGCGTGTGTCAAGCACAGGCTTTTTTTTATATAAGTTTTGTACATTGCGATTACTTAGATTGTTGTGACTAATAGTGCTTAATTTATGTTGCCTTACATTCGCTTTACGCAGATCTCGCCGGGCTATCGTTACAGAAATGTGCAGCATTGTTGTAACGCAAAGGTGAGATTGTTGTTTTGTTTTGCTTGCTACTGTCATAAATAACTGCATGTCATAATTCTGTTCTGTTCTGTTAATTTATCAAAAAACTTCAAACTTATAGATGGTTGATTTTTTAAACGTCATGTTTGTTTGTTATAATTACCATTTTAGGGTGAGAATTTAACGCTTAGTATGAGTGACGTATCTCAAATCTAATATGTTTTTGACACACGGAAGTTATACTTAGCGATTTTGAATTTTATCCTGAACAATTCGATCATTCTATTCTCTTCAGCTGTTTGTTATTAAAACGACTTAAAAGTATTAAAACGTACAAACTCCAATAGGATGTCCACTATTGTATACTATATTAGGTTTGTTATAGAAATGTTATGTGTGCCACAAAAGCGCTAATAATAATTTCGTAATAGATAATGTATGGATCGCAACAGTCTACGGCGCTGAGTGGGTCAGCCGAGTCACAGGATGAGATGGAACAACGTGCTGTCTCGCCTATATCCTGCAAGAGCTCGCCTAGTGAAATGTCCACTGTAAGTTTATATGTATTACTATATATACAGTTTTCTTTTTATGCGCGTAAAAACACTAGCTCGGTATATGAGAACATGAAATCCGTGCTTTACAATTAAAATTGTATATCGAACAAATGATCCATCCACATCCATAATAGAGATCCAGTAATCTGAGATCACGAGCCATACTGGTTGCGGCAGCACTGCTTTGTAATTGCTAGACTAAAATAGTATTATTAATTACAAAATTTTTGGGTATTTATTCCACTAAGTACCTTAAATTGGTACTAAAATTGGTGTTCTGGTACAAGATTTTCATACAGTGGTTGCCTGGAAGAGATCGCTCGAAAGCGATAAGGCCGTGTTGAATTCCTTTTCATTTAATTATGTCAACTGTATTATATTTCTGTATGTAACAAAGTTTTAATACTCGTATATAAATAACATTTAATAGCCTGTGCTAATTTAAGTTACTCCGATAAGTTCTGAGCGTGAAACTTTTAGAAATGAAACAATATTCGTTTTTGTTTTGCTAGTTGCTATCTAGCAGGTTTACAATAAAATATATAAAGCTTAATAAATAAGATATTAAATTTATACTAGGTACATAAGATACGTCTGTATGTTCATTTTAATTAGAAAATATCACTGATATTTATTTCATATGTACTTTAGTGAAATATAGTATTAATTTAATATCACACACATATATAGTATTTACAACATTCTTAAATATAATAATAATAATATTTAAAAATATACATATTTATAATAATATTATGTAACCTATATTTTATTACCGATGAATATTGTGAATGAATTAAAATTAATGAATATTATTCGTCGAATTAATTTATACTCCAATAATAAAAAAAGTTTAAAATTAAAGATGTATCTAAAGATAATTCGGCCTAATAAAGTGTAGCAGTATTCGTTACAGGATCAGTCTGTGGCGGCGCCCGTGACCGGCAAACAAAAACTACACCAGTTCCTAGTAAGGACGTTTAGTAGCCCCACGAAATGCAATCACTGCACTTCGCTTATGGTAAGTAAATGTCTAATTTTTAAATAAATGTCGATCGTGTTCGTGGAAAAGTTATACTCTGATATTTAATTTCGTAGAATTCTGACATTTCATAAGTGTTGCTACTAAAAAAGTTCTCCACCGAAAAAGGGGCAAATTTGACTTATTTGAAGGCAATAAAAAAAATGCTACGTATTTTTTATGTTTTACCTACAAAAAGGTAAATCTAAATATTTATTTACTTACTCAAGTGACCTAATGCAAAAATAATGGTAAGACGGGGTTTTTTCCTTCCCTTTCTTTTTTTTTTTTTTTTTTTCTTTTTTTTCTCCCCCCCCCCCTTTCCCCTTTTTTCCCCCCCCTTTTGTTTTTTGGGGTTTTTTTTTTGTTTTTCCCTTTTTTTTTTTTTTTTTTTTTTTTTTTTTTTTTTTTTTTTTTTTTTTTTTTTTTTTTTTTTTTTTTTTTTTTTTTTTTTTTTTTTTTTTTTTTTTTCTTTTTTCCTTTTTTTTTTTTTTTTTTTTTTTTTTTTTTTTTTTTTTTTTTTTTTTTTTTTTTTTTTTTTTTTTTTTTTTTTTTTTTTTTTTTTTTTTTTTTTTTTTTTTTTTTTTTTTTTTTTTTTTTTTTTTTTTTCTTTTTTTTTTTTTTTTTTTTTTTTTTTTTTTTTTTTTTTTTTTTTTCTTTTTTTTTTTTCCCCCTCCCCTTTCTTTCCTTTTTTTTTTTTTTTTTTTTTTTTTTTTTTTTTTTTTTTTTTTTTTTTTTTTTTTTTTTTTTTTTTTTTTTTTTTTTTTTTTTTTTTTTTTTTTTTTTTTTTTTTTTTTTTTTTTTTTTTTTTTTTTTTTTTTTTTTTTTTTTTTTTTTTTTTTTTTTTTTTTTTTTTTTTTTTTTTTTTTTTTTTTTTTTTTTCCCTTTTTTTTTTTCTTTCTCCCCCCTTCCCCTTTTTTTTTTTTTTAAGAAGTATATCAGGAACAATATATTAATAACTTTATTTTATTCTTTAGCTGGCATCACTGCCTACTAATTCCAGATTTAGTAAACCTTTTAAAAAAAAATGTGTGCGTGTACTAGGTGTACACACGTAAGAAGTTCTTTATGACCTTATTTGAAACTATTTCTGTAAACACAGCAAATTTTGATACACTGCCTACCATACAATTTACAAATTAATTGCTGCAAATTGTGATTAGCAAATTTCAAGACGAAAATGTTATCCGTTGTCAAACTTCAAAGTCAAAAACATACTATATGTCATATTTTAACGCTGATAAAGAAGTTTGACTTCAAAAAGCAACATGGCGCGTAACGGAAAAATGTGACGCGTAACGCAAAAATGTTACACTAAATTTTTTTCCAACCCCGATAAAGAAGTTTCACTTCAAAAAATGTTATATTTGCTTGTGCCTCTTTTACTGTTTGTGGTGAAAAGGAACGTAATTACCCCGCGCCGTTAAACCACTTTTAATGTAGAGCACCGCACTTAATAAAATGGATACATTGACTAACAATAAAATGTATGTATAGACTCAGATGTTCAGACTCGTATTGAAATTGAAAAATGTGCCCGGCCAAAAATGTTTGCCAACTCTGACATGTCAAAAAGTGATAGCTGTCAGAATTCTACGGAATTAAAAATCAGAGTATAGGTAATATTTGGTCATTGTAAAAAAATCTAAAAAGACATGTTTGGCTTGATTAGGACAAATGGCCTATTCATAATACTACAGGTGGACTATCTGGTTCCTAGCGTGTTGAAAGATGTCGCTTTTTTCTCATGAAAGCTTTACCAATGAATCCTATTATCTAGCCATAATGCTATGAAAGAGTGGGGCGAAATGAAAACTTGGCACAGAAGCAGGTCTTCATAATAAAGGTTAAGCACTAAGGGCTGTGACACCGGGAGAATAACAAGTGTGGTGCTGTATTTTAATGGTATTTACCAGGGTCCCCTATTGCAAGTTATGGTAATCTGGATAAAGTACCTAATTGGAGTTGTATTCTTATCATATAAGTCGCAGATTTAACGCGATTACTAATTGCAAAATTGGTGTTACTACCGTCGTCCGATATTATTACTTAATATTTAAACACAGTCAAAGCGTGCGCAGGCGCCGCATTGACAGAGCCACTCTACTCAAGTACTCAACGATCGATTCTACGCACGATCTACTGACAAATTCACTTTGACACATTAAACTTACAACCTGTAAGATGCGTATTGTATAGTTTCGTGGTGTTGCCATTCTAATAAAACAAATGACATCGTGTTCTTTTATAACATAATCTCTGACATATACAAGTATTTAAAATATTTATAATTTATATATTTTTATAGATCGGAGTCACCCGCCAAGGAGTGGTTTGTGAGCGTTGCGGTGTAGCTGTCCACACCGCTTGCTGTGCATTAGTTGCGCCTAGGTGCCCCCTCCCCGCCGAGAGATGTCGTCGTCCATTGGGCATTGACCCCGCGAGGGGGCAAGGGACAGCCTATGAGGGATATGTCAAGGTAATATTAGATTTTATTATTACAAATTTAATAGAAAATATATTTTTTGACATGACAGTTTTACGGTAAAACGCTTAGTCAACGTATTAAATGCTAGATTTTAATACAGAAAACTTGAGCATGGCTTCTTGCGTGTATTAGGAAGTAATCAGATTTTTTCGTGCTGTTAAAAATTATTGCATTGACATCTTAAGATTTTTAGACAAAAGAATTTTGGATAAAACTTTATAGGCCAGTAACGCACTTGCAACGATCCTGGTGTTGCGGTAGTCTATGGGTGGCAGTATATAGTTAACTTTAAGTGACCCGCCTGCTCGTTTACCTCCTGTCTCATTAAAAAGTATAAGTATATCGTGTCACGTGATTATACAATCATACTCAATTTAAATTTTTGTTATCTACTTTATACATTTGATATGATATATAAATTTTATATTTTTAAATATATTTTTATTTTTTATTAATTTGATTGCAGGTACCGAAGCCGGGTGGTGTAAAAAAGGGCTGGATGCGGCAGTTTGTCGTTGTTTGTGATTTCAAATTGTTCCTGTATGATATATCTCAGGATAGGTGAGTTAATATTATTGAAATTCCCGAATTAATTGCTGATATTTTCTAAAATTGCTCAAAATAATATACATATACGTAGGTACGAGTACGAGTACGAGTACGCGAGTCTCGACTTATTCCATATCATCTGGAAACGCGTCTTTTCGAAGGAGATAATCAAATCAAATGGATTTTTAAAATTACATTAAAACGCACACACACAAACACATACAACCTATAAATTATTATTAAATTGTCTTTGTTAGTACATAAGGTTCTTCGTATATTATGTTGTAATCAGTTTTGGTTATATTTTTAATTTAAAAAAAAAATATTTATATAAAAGATGTATAATAACCAAAATGTTCATTGTCCGATCGAGTATTAATAATACTACGATAATTTGATAGATTCTTAATTTATATTGACTTAACTACTCGGTTTTAAACATAAAAAATTCATTTACATTTGTTTTTAGAAACGCGTTGCCATCTGTATGTGTAAGCCAAGTACTGGACATGAGAGATCCGGAATTCAGTGTGACGTCAGTGAAGGACTCTGACGTCATTCATGCGAGTAAACGGGATATACCCTGTATATTCAGGGTAAGTACTAGTAACCAAAGCCTCGTAGCTGATTAGCGGTCTTATTATAGGTGAGGTGGGGTTTATAAGTGAAGTTTTTTTAATTCAAATCTGTTCTCCTCAGAAGGGCTGCGCAGAACAATTATAAAGTCCTATACTTGACGCTGGCTAATGATGCCACAAAAAAAAAAAAACCTACGTAACTGATTAGTTATTAAGTGTTTATAAGTGAATTTTTATTTCTGTTCTCCCAGAAGGATGATCCAAGATCTTAAAGTTACGCGTTACTAGGTGATTTTGTGGAAACAAGATAAAAATAAAGTTTTAAAGCTGGCAATCATATCATACCTGTTAAGAACACGACCGAAATTAAAAAAATACAGTATGTTGTTATGTAACGCATACTGTACGTGACGTGTATAAAAACGTATACAAGTTTTATGAAACTAATATAAAAGAAAATCTGCAATTATAATATCGAAGATTACTAATATTAATCTTTTATTATTGTTAAATTGTATCTTAATATAGTAGAATACTTTAGAGATAAGTGTCCCACGCTTTTTCTCTTAATTTGTACATGAAGTGATAGTATTGTCTTTTATTGACATAACTTTTTCCGGATGAAGTTTTTTACAATTATTTCACATTTTTAAGAAAATCACTTATTACGGTCACGGTGACTGAATTTGAAGTTATGTATAAATTTACAATTATGTAAAATAATTCTGCTATTTTTCAACACAAAACTGTATACTTCCTAAGAGCGTCATATAAAAAACAAATTTGTAAAATATCTATACAATGTAGATATCGACGTCTCAATTGGAAGGCGGCAAGCGTTACCATACATTGATGTTGGCGGAATCTGAATCGGAAAAGACCAAATGGGTGGTCGCACTCAGCGAGTTGCACAGAATACTCAAACGTAACAACTTGCCTGATAAATGCGTAAGTTTTTCTGTCCGTCTTATACCTTTATATATTTAAAAAATACATCATTTTGTTTGATTTCTGTGTGCATTTCCGTCGTTCATAACTTATCCCCTTAACTGAAGTTCTCAGGATGGTAATGAATGTAATCATAATTTGATAGAAAACGACGCCTGAGTACTTTATATAAAGAGTGTAATTAAAAAGATTTAGTTTTTGTAAAAGCGGGTATATCTCTGTTAGTTATAAGATTAAATTTGTTCGGAAAGTAACCGAACACCTTGTAAAATAGCATAAGTACATATAGTTCCGGCTCGAAGGACCTAAAATGTTCGGGCTGCTGCCAAACACTTTTATGATAGTTAAATAAAAGATTGCTTTGCACTTAAAAACTGATTTAATGAGTGATTGCGGTGATGGTTGATGACACACTGATGTATATAGAAAAGCGTCGCGCGCAGGCGCGGGCGGCGATCTAACTATATGTACTTATGCTATTTTACAAGGTGTTCGGTTACTTTCCGAACAAAATTTGTAATTAACATACAAATAATTTAAACATTCAATGTAGTGTTACAAAATTTGCAGTGTTATATATATTTGTAAATTGCACATTTGTATTTTTTTAATCTAGTTTGTTTTTTACTTTCAATGTTTAAGTTATTTTCTCTTCATCATTGTAATGTTTCCCTTTAAATGTTGTGCACACTTGTTATTGATGCACATGCATGTATCTTGTTTTCTATGTCATGTGTTCTCTGTAAGTGTTTGTATGTGTTTCGTTAGTGTGCCTTAAAAAAAAGCTTATATTTGAGGTCGTAAAGTATATAAATACAACGAAATCTTATAACATAGAACGATGTGACATAAATTCTATTATAACTACTACAAGTATTAACTACTATAATATCTTTAAGTTCAGCACTGAACCTTGTGAATTAACATATAATTCTATATAACTAGGTATACAGCGCAGGAATAATAGTAGATTCGTCATCTTGGGCGGGCGTTCGTAGCGTGCAATGTGCTTGCATTGTCGAACGGAGTCGATTATGTTTGGGCGGAGATTTTGGTCTCGCTTTATTGGATCTCGAGCGGGGTGAAATTGTGCCGCGAAGATCGCACGCTCCTGTCGCGAAGTTGCATTATGTGCCAGCCGAACATTTATTAGGTAAGCAATTTTGGCATATAACTATAATAAAACAAAAGTCAATCACGTAATTACTGATTGCAATTTCCATTTATATATTAGGAATTTTTATAATGTGGTAATTAGTGGTAATTAAATCTTCTCTTGTGTAATAAAATATTTATAAAATACAATGTAAACTCTATATAACGTCACTCAAGGGACTGTGCTTATTTTGACGTTACAAAGAGGAGTTGTTAAATGGAAAGAAGAAAAATCTGTATTAGAAAAAGTTTATTTCAGATTAGTGTTAGTAATTACATAAAAACAATTCTTATTTGAACGCTATGCTAACGCTTTTGCTGTACCAGCAAATATGTTGTATTTTTTATACTTATTTTATTCATAATTTGCGATATTGAGGCATCTTCGTCCAATTTGTAATCAAAAGAACGGATTTCTCAGAAAGTTTAGTACGTATGATGTACACAGCTCCGCAGTTTTAACTAATTTCGGAAAATTAAGTACTTTTTATTATTTTATTGTCGTTATTGAGGGTCGGTCGAATGCTATGTAGAGTATATTTAAGGGAGTTGTCGTTAAGTAAAGGGACGTTACATGGAGTTTACACTCTATTATCAATTTTTTACATTTTTATCTAAAACGCTATAAAGCTCGTAATACTGTGGGTCAGTTTTTTTTTATTTTAAGCTTTAATTATGCTTTATTTAAAAATATGATATTACAGTGGTGATAGCCGGTCGTGGCAGACACGTGCGGTTGGTTCCGATCCGTGCGTTGGAATGTCCCGAAGCGGAGAGCGTGAAACTCGCAGAGGCTAAGGGCGCGGTGGATGTCGCTGTCGGCGAATTGAATGCCACTGCGCATGGTTTTGCTGTAGTTTGTAAACGACAGGTCAGTAATAACTTAGATTAATACCAAAGTATAAGTTTATAAGTACAGACTGATTTGTATGTGGTTTTCCGAGTTAACTCACTCGCAAGCCCTCTGGGTCTGAGAGTGTCCATGGGCGGAGTTATCACTTAACATCAGGTGAGCCTCCTGCCCGTTTGATCCCTGTTCTATAAAAAAAAGTTTATAAGTAGGGTCTAATTATTATTACTAACAAAGTTATGTCCAAAATATTCAATAATTTAAAATAAATAAATAATCGGTACTTGTTGAGCGATAATCTTGCTAAAAGCTACTTTAAGGTTCTTATAAAGATTTTTTAAGTAAGTTTAACATATATGTTTTAGAACTCGTGGGTGGTGCTTGTATATGAAATAACTCGCACGGCCGCAAGAAGGTACCGCGTTGCTGAACTGCGAGCGGCCGCGCCCGTACTGAGCGTACAACTTTGTAGGGGACGACTCATTTTGGGATATAGAGGAGGTCTTGTCGCCCATACATTGAGGACTGACTTGGATCGACCAGCTGTTTGTGAGTATATAGTTATAGCTCATAGGACCTTGTGTCTGTATTGAACTGTTCGATTCTTCCCAAGATTGGTACACGATGCCATTGAAATCAAAAAACACCCCAATTTCAATAGAGAAGACGTCCTAAAATTGTCATCCAATAATATCCAAATTATAATCTCGAGAAAAACAATCCGCGAAAATAGAGGACACCTATAGCCATTTCTGCCAAAACCCTCCATCTTTTAGTCGATACCAACTCCGGGGAAATAAATACAGATAATACAACTTTTTCTACAGCTGTGATACTTTTTGACTTTCAACACCTTTTGTCTTCAGTCACCGTGACCATGCACGCTGTAAAGCACGCGAATCGTCGGTTAAATTAAAAATAATTGTAAATACGTAACTTCAATCCGGTAAAAAATTGTTTTATTATCAAATTATTGATTTTGACTAATCTGATGTGAGCTTTATCGTATAAATGAATAAAATAGTCTGTATTCGAATATGACATTTAATATAAGTATACGACCTCCGACGGAGTGAAGGACTTCCAATTCTTCCATTTGTCTCGCATCTTCGCTACCATTTCCCAATCTTTCTCCGCTATCTCTTTTTATTTCACCTTCTCAGGTTTCTGGTGGGCGTCCTCTCTTTCTTCTTCCCTTTATCATAAACATTACTTAAAGGTTTTTTTACGAAGATAATTCTTATATGAAGTTAGTGTAAATTTTGACACATGGGAGTAAAATTTTATTTTGTCTGGAATAGATAAAATTGATATACCTAATAAAAATTTTATATTTACAGCGCTAGTTCACCCAGAAAACCAAGTGAGCGTATTCCTGACTCACTCTGGCGCAAGACCACTTTGCGCTAGACCAGCTGGAACAGACTGGTTGTTGGTCTTCAGTGCTTTGGCCTTGTACGTGGATCGAGTGGGGATGAGGGCCAGAGACGCTGAGATAATGTATACAGCACATCCACAGTATCATGGTATATTTTTAATTATAGAATACTAGCTGCCCCCGCGAACTTTGTTTCTCCTTAATGTGATTTTACTTCGCCTACCTTTTTAGTATATACCAACATGGAACATTTTGCTATGCTACCCCAGCTGTTCGGTTTTCTGGAATGAAAAGTTTTTCTGTGAATTTTTCTCTATATAAACCTCAGAGTTCAAGTCATAAGACTTTAATTAACAAATAAAAAATAGCGGTCTAAAATTAGGAGTTGTATATATTTTTGTATGCTGTATCATAAAAAAATAAAACCAAAAAAAATTACTAAAAAATAAAAATATTTTTTTTGGGGTGGACACCCCTTATAACTTAGGGGGTTTTAAATATAGCTAGTAGCCGATTCTCAGACTTACTGAATATGCATAAAAATTTCATAAGAATCGGTCGAGCCGTTTCGGAGGAGTATGGGAACGAACATTGTGATACGAGAATTTTATATATATAGAGAGATATTTGATTTGATTTTGTTTTGGCGTTATAGAGTTGTTATATGGAAAGAAATGTCACAGTGTATTGTCAAGAATGTAACACTATATCGAGGAATTTTAAGTCAATCTTGTCTTGCGCTGTCAAACTGCATATAGAATGGTTTGACAGCTGTCTCATAGATTCTAGTGACGTTCTTGAATACGGGTCTTAGACTTTGACGTTAACTCGAGTGACGTGCTATAATAATTTTGATATAATAAATTTGTTTAAATTTTTTTTTTTATTAATCATCAATTAAATCAAATATAAATACTAATAAGAGTATGTTTAATAGTCTGTGAAATAAGAATTTATATCTTTTTCATACCAAAATGAGATCAGGTTACTGAACAAATCTGTTATTTTATTTTTGAATGTTGGCCTTCAGATTGTAAAATTGTGTGATGCCTTTAGTAGAAGTCGTAGTATAGTGAAAAACTTTGGCAGTATTTATTAAATATTTATGTATTTCAGCGGTGAACGACACACATCTACTGATATTCACGACCTCGCATATTGACGTGTACGACGTCGAAACTGGAGATTGGGTGCAAACGATCAATATACGTAAGTTATTTGCTATTTTTAATTTAATATTTTTGTAAATGGGATTCAGTTCTAACATGAGTGCGTGAGGGGAGCAAGGTCAAAAGGATAGTGATAGTTTTGACGACTCATTGGTCTAGTGGTTAGTACCCCTGACTGCGAATCCATTGGTCCTGGGTTCGATCCCCGGTTGAGACGAACATCGATGTGATGAGCATTTGGTGTTGTGCTTAGGTCTTGGGTGTTTAAATATGTATTTATATGTCTATCTATCTACAATATCTATGTATATCCGTTGCCTAGTACCCATAACATAAGCTTCACCAGCTTAGCATGGGACTAGGTCAATTGGTGTGAATTGTCTTAAAAAAAAAAGTTTATTTTATTTGATCAATTTACTTAAACACAGAAGAGACTTTATTATAGAAATGTATGTACTTTAATTTGCTGGGACTATATATTCCATGGGATGCCGAACCTACAAAAGAGTTTCATTTTTATTTCTTACTTGAAATTGCTGTACTATCCGTTCGCATAGATTCTCCAGGTACATTCTGTGTTCGGGGTGTGTCATTGGGGCAATGTAGCTTTTGTAAAGTATTGATAGTTGAGTGCCGATAAAGGATTTCGCTATAAAATATTAACAATCTTGTTCCATTATATTAACTTATAAGCGACTGCTAAAAATTAAAATAAATGTTGTTGTGTAGGGACTGTTGTCCCTGAACTTAACTGTTCATTTGCCTTACCTAGAACCAATGAGAGTAGAACAAACCAGGAGATAAAATCCGATTAACTTAATATCAATTAATTATCATTAATATCAATGTTGCTTTGAGTGATTTCATAATAACAAAAAAAACTATAATTAAACTATTTGTTTTTATAAATTCTTATCAATTCGGTTAGCGGTTTTTGGCAGAGAAATCTATCGTTACTTAATGTTTATTAAAAAAAACAAAATGATTGCTGTATAATAGGGTATACTTACAAAAAAAAATCTGTTTCAGCTAACGCGAGGCCCTTAGATGAAGGCGGATGGGTTTGTGCTGCGGGAGGAAGCGGAGGCAACGGGTTCCCATTCTCTACGGATACTACGCCGTATCTCGTCTATCTACGACCGCTCGTTACTCGTAAGTAAAATAATTAATAACTGTTATTTTACAAGTCTATGGTGGGTTGTTTCAAACCATTCTATCGTAACTACGTTCGTTAAAATTTGACAGACACGTATGAACTTTAACGTCTGTTAACTTGTTAGCGTTGCTTCATTGTTAAAAAAATGAGTTCGTCATTGTTAATGGGGTTGCCTGTTTGCGTAACGCTATTTTGACCTAATGTTTTATGGGAATATTTTTAGTAATAACAACATTGATAAAAACAATGTCATTTGATACATTCTGTCAAGTTTGACATCAATGTTTATTGTTGTGTACGAAAGGATAATTTAAAAAGTGTTTAATTTTAATATAAATAATGGGAACCTTTTCGCCAAAGTAAGTATAAAGCTATTATTTTATTATTATATTGCATGAATTGTATATGCGCAAAGTTTATATTGAAGGATTAGTTAGAAGTGTATTTACTTACGTTACTCATTGACTTTCAGAGAACGTTCGGTAAATTTTGGAAAAGAAGAGAAGGACAGATTAGAAATTTAATAGAAAAAATAAAAATCTTATTTAATAAAAAGACAGACATTTCAACAATTGCAAAAAAGAGGGCATGGAGTGCGATTCATGCAGAATTTAATGCCCTTTCAGATAATAAATATGAAAAAGAAAATTTTTGAGTTGCGTGTTCAACATCTAAATGAGAAGAGGAAGAACGATGAAATCATTTTTAAACTACAAAAAAAAAAATTACTTACTATTAATTATACAAAAGGATTAAGATTGTATGAAAGCGCCATTTCTAATTAAAATGTATGAAATGGCACTTTTACCTACAATAAAAAAATAAACTTACTATAACTTGATTAGAATTACTTGAAACTTAGTATAAAATGCTCTTCAAAATAATTAAGCAGTTGTGTGTATCAATGTTTAAAATTAGTGTAAAAAATAATAAAAACTGTAAAAAAATAGATTTTTAAGATGAATTAATTCTTATGTGCATAGGCAGGCATAACTATGTAATTTATTCGGTAATAAAAAGGCATTTATTTTTGTCAAACATTTTATTTCTCCACCAAAAGCATGCAATAGCAATATATTATGTTAATCCTTCACCATATTTCACATCCATACCATAAAATAGTTATAATCTGAAAATAAGACAGCTTTAAAATTATAATTTGAGATTTGTTTTCTTTGAAGTTAAAAATAATCTAAATATTAACATACCTTGCAAAATAATAATAATTAAACTATGTATATCACATATTAGTATTAAATTAAATTAAGAGAAAACTAGTTTTCTGTTTGTTGTCAATGAAGTTAACTTTTGGTCTAAATTAATAAAATCTGTAGGCTGTAATTCAGTTAGTAAAGGCATATTATTTTGAAAATTTATATTTCTTTACCAAAGGCATGCAATAACAATATAAACAGTATATAATATCTTAGTCCTTCACCATACCACCCATACACCCATGCCATAAAAAGATATAATCTGAAATATAGGACATCTTTAATATTAAATTTGCAATTTATTTTTGAAGTCAAAAATAATCGTAGTATTAACATACCTTGCAAAATAATTTTAATCAAACCATCTCTAATATTAAATTCAGAGGAAACAGAGTTTAGGAAGTACGAACTACGAAGTTACAAACAAAATTTGACGATTACCAATGGTTCAAGCACTGGTTAACGTAAGCGTAACTTTTAACGAACGTAAGCTGTCATGGATGGTGAATAAACTTTTTTTGTCTAACGTTCGTTAGCCCATATTTAACGGTTACGTGTCCGTCAAAATTTGTTGATGCAACCCACCCTATAGGTCTTTAAGATAGGGTACACTAAATTTTACACAAACGTGTGGGCGGGGGACACCCACTCGTACTCGGGGACTGCCGCGGTAAAGTTATTAGCATAGCATTTTTAATCAACTTATGCAATTATAATTATTTATTTATGCAGTATTTTTTATTCTTAGATATTAATTCAAGTTTTTTCTTTGATATTAATTCAATCTACCAGACTCAGACTAACACGCCTATATAGTCTGTCTCACTCTAACGCGTAACGGCTGCACCGGCCGCGCTTACGCTACGTCACCGATGTCGTCAGAGAGATGTGAATACGCAGTATGCGTTCTGTCCCGCTCTAACGCGTATTCACCGCACCTATATTACGTCATCGTGTGTTAGGTTTTTATTTTCGTTACGGAAACATTCTATAGAAAGAATTGCTAACTAACGACGAACTATGACAATTTGACATTAATTTTTCATATTAAGTACTTAATTAAGTAAAAATATAAAATAAATTGTAAAAGTATTATTTAAATTATATTTTCATATAATTTTTCAGAGGGTCCCCTTAATCTCGAAACGGCTACGTATGGCAGTAACAAGCGACGGTATTCCGTGAGGGAACAATCTCACCAAGCGATCGAAGCTCATAATAGATTGTAAGTTATTTTATTTATATCATTTTATGATGCATTGGATATAGACCCGTATTCGCGTTTGTTTACTTAATTTTATTTAATTTAAAATTTAAATTAAAAAGATTTTATGGCATCTTGATTGAGACAATTTTCCGAAAATCGAACTTAGGCTCACCAGGTATCTAAACTGCAAGGTTAATTTATCCCTACAGTACTTCTGTAGCTCAGTGGTTAACGCTAACAATTCGGTTAGTATAACCTTATTGAATTTTTTTACAGAGAATCGAATTCCAGACTTATAAGGACGCTATTTGCGTTAATCACCTACGTGTTTGGAATTTTAATTAACATTTTTTCCGTTTAGATCGGAGCGTCGTTCCCGTCTAATATCTGCGCCCACGAACTTCGCCCATGTGTCCCATATGGGCCCTGGAGATGGTATTCGCTCACAGAGGCTGCTAGATTTACCCACTACCTTGGAGACGGCCGATGATCATGATCATCATCAGGTAAATGATAGTAGAATTTCGTTAATTGGCGAACTATCTTAAAAGTTTTTTTCTAAAATTAAATGACATACATACATATATACAGATTAAATAGAATTCGTTATAGCGAACAAAACTGACAGTGACAAGAATTTCACTGTCCTCTCCCCCCTTGGATGTCTGGCTGACTAGACGTGTTTTACGGCTACACCTTATAAAATTATTTTAAAAATATTTTTAAATTTAATATATTCAAAAATAAGTGATTCGAGTACTAGGCGCACATAACTCCCGAGGATACTCAAGACAAGCTTCGTGTACTGCGAGGTGACTACGGCTCTCCCACCAAGCTCGGAGGCCACTCAAGTAACGCAGCATAAGAGTGAGTGAGATAATTATATTTGGCGCATCTTGTCGTTACGCATCCCGCAATTCGAGTGGCTAATTAGCAGTAACGCCCACCTGCGTACGAGCAAGTTAAAGGAGGCGTGGCTAGTACAGGGCCCAATAGTGATTTACTAATTATACCATAAGATTATTAGTAAATCGCACATCACTTTAAGTGTTGTCGCCTTTATATATATTTTTGCATTGACACGGATAGCTTCTTCTGTTTGCGATCACAAAATGATTAGAAGTCCATGTAAACAAGATGTACAGTATGGCTCCGCTCCAAACTTAAATTTAAGTGATACTAGCACTATTGATGACAACATTACTCAACGTTCGAAGCGTAGGCGGTGCGAATGTGGTGGAGCTTCGGAAGAGTCAAAAATCGATAAATTCTTAAACACGATTAATATGTGGCGACAGGAAACTGATGAGAAATTGTCAGAAATAAAAACGTACGTGCAGGATGTTGTGCGACAAAACACAGAAATTCTGGCTTCGCAGAGTGAAACAGAAAAATCTATAGAATTTTTGTCGCAAAAGTATGATGACTTGCTGTTACAATTGAGTTCACATCAAAAACAAACACAATCTTTCCTCGAGCGTGTATCTAAGGTTGAAGACACAACAGAGGATATGGACCGTCGTTCTAGGCTGAGCTCCTGGAAATTCGTAACATCCGGCTGGCAAACAGAACTCTGTCTCAGGATGAGCAGATATCTGTTGTCACTCGGCTTTTCAAGGAGATATCGGTGGAAGTCTCGTTGTCTGAGATATTTGATATCCGCCGCGTCCCGTCAAAGTCTGATAGTATCACTCTGGTATGCACCCTGAATTCAGTTATTACGAGGGGAAGAATTCTGAAGGCTTTCAAAGAACATAACAGAGGCAGTAACAAACTCAACTCCACCATCGTCGGTGGTCCGCAACATCCGATTTACTTCGCCGAGCATCTGACGGCACAGGCACGCCGCCTATACTATCTAGCTCGAGAATACGCCAAGACGGAAAAATATAAGTATTGCTGGACTTCCGGAGGCCGAGTGCTGCTGAGGCAGGCAGACCACACCAAACTCATTGTTGTTACTAATGAAAGTCAGCTGGTTGGCCCCCAGCCAAAAAACTAGATCCTTGCGACGTATTTCCGTCTTTGTTTATGATTAGATTTAGTTTTTTAATTACTATGATATTAGTACTAGGTAAGATCATTGTTTGTAACTGTGCTATAGTGCCGACGCTCCTTTACATATGTATTATATTATATTTTATATTTCCTCATATAATATACCTATATAATTTAGCATTTCTGATAGTATTTGGTTCCTTAGGCTCAATTTTCAAATATTATTCTAGAGTTGTTACTCACGTAATTAATTTCATACCTCTTTATTCACACACAAATATTGTAGACACTTTTCTCTTATACATAATCTATGACTATCTCACTGATATATACTATTTAAATTGTACTCTAATTCCAATGCGTGCATATATCCTTAAGTTTAGTAAGCCTATGCTTGCACTCATTGACCTTACACTGCTATTCCCATTTAATAACTGTATTGTGCTAGCAAATTGGTTACTTTTAGTTACTCAAGGCTTCAAAATTCGATCGTAATAATAGACAATTATTAAACAACATCGATAATCTATCGGTTGCTTCAAGCCATTGCTGTGATCCACATGAAGTCCGAAACTATTTACCTAAACATAATAAAGTCCTAAATATTATAACGCAAAATATTCGGAGCTTATCGGCAAATTTCGCGAACTTTGAAATTTTACTTACAAATTTTCATACTATCCCGGATATTATCATTCTCACTGAATGTTTTCTAGAAAGCAACCCGGTAATACCAACCATAAAAGGTTTCTCCAGCATCTCTTCCTGTAACCCAGTTAATAAAAATGACGGAGTCCTGGTTTACTATAAAAATTGTATTACAGGCATCTCAATTGAAGAACCCTCTGTAGCAGAAGCCAGCGTTCTCTTAATTAAACTTAATATTGATACTGCAATTTTAGGTATTTATCGACCAAGTGCTTTCAAAAATAAAACGAACTTTATTAACTCTCTAAATACCTTGCTAGAATCTCTTAAAAGTTTCAAAAATATAATAATCTTAGGTGACATAAATATTGATATTACTCCAGAGAATCTTAACCAAGAAGCTGAAGATTATCTCAACATGTTGGTTTTCCATGGGCTTCTCCCAACTCATACCTTCCCTACTCGTTTTCCTTCTTCTACGTGTCTTGATCACGGTATTCTTAAATCACCTCTTACTGCTCTTACTCTTGTCATCAATTCTTCAATCACTGATCATAGTCCAGTAGTAATGTCCTTAGATATAAAGAATCGCTACTCTGCTCCTACTCGATCTATCAAAAAAGTGGATCATGATAGCCTCTCACAGTCTCTCCTGAATACAGATTTTTCATCTGTTCTCAATAACACTGACTGTGAAGAAGCAACCAACAATTTGATAGAAATTCTTCAATCAGTTATCTCTATGCACACCTCCGTCATGACTCGCTCTCACCGCACTAAAATCATCAAGCCATGGATGACCCCAGGCTTACTTAAATGTATACGTAATAGAGATAGAATGCATTACAAACTAAAAAAAGCAACCTGAAAATGATATTCTGCGCAAAACATACTACAGATACCGGAACTTCTGTAATAGTCTTCTGAAGAAATTAAAAAGAATTATGAAAAAGGTCTACTACTAAATGCAGGAACTAACACCAAAAAACTTTGGACAGCTATAAAAGACGTTAGTAATCTTAATAAAAAACATGATAGACCAAGTGACCTCCTAAAATGTAGAGCGATTCCAAAAGACTCAACAAACCATGTTAACTCTCACTTTGTGGGTATCGGAAAATCGCTTGCCTTAAATATACAATCCAATCATCAACACGACTCTCCACCTCCATTACGACCAAATCCTCCTTTTCCTCTCCAATCATTAGTCATGCTCGACACTTCTATTGAAGAAGTCGAAATCACTATAAATTCCTTGAAAGAAAGCTGTGCTGCAGGTTGGGACAACATCACGTCTGCCATACTTAAACGCAACCTTAAAATATTAGCTACACCAATCGCCCATGTATGTAACTTAAGTATGCGTACGGGAATCTTCCCATCCGCTTTTAAAAGGCAATAGTGCATCCCATTTTCAAATCCGGCAACCGTGGCAGTGTCGACAACTATCGCCCCATCTCTATTCTGTCAGCACTGTCCAAGATCCTTGAACGCCTAATAAACAAACGTCTCGTTAGTTATCTGGAAGATAAACAATTACTTTCTCCGAATCAATTCGGTTTCAGAGCTAAAAGATCTTCATCGGATGCCATCCATGAATTAACCGATCACATAGTTAGGAACTTGGACAGCCATAGGAAGTGTCTGGGCATATTCTTAGACCTCGCGAAGGCATTCGACACTGTCTCGGCCCAAATCCTTCTACAGAAACTGGAAGCGCTTGGAGTGAGAGGAGTTCAACTTTCCTTATTTAAAAGTTACCTCAGCGGTCGGAGTCAATGTGTAGTGGTAGATGGCCATGTCAGCTCTTACCTTCCAGTGGAATTCGGAGTCCCCCAGGGCAGCATTCTTGGTCCTACGCTGTTCCTAGTGTACATGAATGATCTGTGTTCCCTGAAAATACCTAATAGCAAATTGGTCTCTTACGCCGACGATACTGCTCTTGTTTTCTCTGCAAAAAGCTGGAGGGAAGCTTTCTCTTATGCACAGACCGGATTTGATATCGTTTCGTGTTGGCTGCGCCAAAATTTATTAACTCTTAATATAGAGAAAACTTGCTATCTTACCTTCTCCATATATACTCCTCCCATAGCCTTAATCCCGTATTCCTTAACTGCCCATACACATTCTTCTGTTCCTTCTGTTCCATGCTCTTGCGCTACATTGAAGAGAGGTTGTACGGTTAAGTATCTTGGCATCACACTAGATAGTCGACTCACGTTTCAGGCCCATCTTATGAATATGTGTGGTAGAGTCCGCAAACTCATGTTTATCTTTAAGAAAATTCGTCATGTTGCCGAGCCTCATATAGTCAGAATGATGTATTTAGCATTATGTCAATCTGTTTTATTATATGCTATCACCACTTGGGGTGGTGCAGCCAAAACCCATCTGCTGTCCCTGGAACGTGCCCAGAGGGCTCTTCTAAAAGTTTGCTTATTCAAACCCATTCTTTTCCCTACTTTCACCCTCTATCAGGAAGCTCAGATGCTTACAGTACGTCAACTGTTCATCCTAAACACAGCCCTCAAACAGCATCACGAACATAAACCTAGTCCTTCTTCCTCTCGATCTGCTCGCCGCCCACCCCCTGTTCACCTTCCTTCTCTCTACACTGCCTTTTCCCACCGCTTCTACTGTTACCTCGGCCCTTTTATTTACAACAAACTAATTCGCAAGCTGAATATTCACTTACTCTTATCCTTCAGTTGTAAAAAGAAGGTTACTGCCTACATACAGGGTCTCAACTATGATGAGACTGAAAACTTAATCCAACCAATGGTCTAACTTACAATTTATAGCTTATTTTTGATTTACTATTTATTTTTTTATACTTATTTATGTACTGTTATCTATTTATCTAAGTACTAATATATATATATTTATCTAAGTACTAATATATATATATATATAATAATATATATAATAATTAGCACGGATGTTATATCGGCGCGATTGCACACCTACATATTTTAATTAGGTACCTCTTTTCTCCATGTTACATCTGTAAAATGTCCTTATTAATAATTTACTCTTGTTACTGGCTACTTTTTACACCATGTGGGGAGAGGCTGGTGGTCTGAGATACAAGCCCTGCTTAGTTCAGTCACCAGTCTCTCACAATCTTATAATGTTTCCTTGCGACAATATATCTGTTTCTTAATATTTAGTTAATATCAATGTAAGATTGTGGAGAAAAAAATAAAGATTTTTCTTTTCTTTTCTTCTTTCTTTTCTTTCAAAATATTTCTATTAAATAAGTATGAATGTTCATTCAAAAAAAGTGCATACAATAGAGAATGTAACGATAAAGTTTCGTAAGTTTCATTAGATGTAACGTCGACAAAATACGCGTTGCTGTTGATAAAGTGAGTTACAAGTGAGTTAAAAGTTAAAAGTGAGTTACAGAATCGCAAGGCAGGGCTCCACCCAAACACATACAAAAAACATCATTGAAATCGGTCAAGCCGTTTAAGAGGAGTTCAGTGACAGACACACGTACAGTAGAATTATATATATATACTAGTGGACCCCACAGACGTTGTCCTGCATGATATTTAAAGCGATTAGGATATTAAGCAAAGTATGAAAGTACCGACTGCAGTGCCATCTGCCGGGCTGATTTGTGAATCTAAACATCCCAATCCCTGAAACACCCAAAAAAATTCATCAAAACGGCAGCGGGAGGAGTTCAGTCACATACACACGCACACAAGAAATATATATATTAAGATATATAAGCTATCCTATCTAAGTTAGATCAAACTGCACACGGTGTGCAAATTTGATTGAAATCGGTTAAGTAGTTTAGGAGTCCATAGCGGACAAACAACGTGACACGTAATTTATATATATTAAGATAATTATTTATTATTGTTTTTTTTATAGATGTACAGCAGTAGAGACAGCAGCAAACGGACTTCACCGCTAACAGTCTCACATCCCACTGGGTCATATAATGGTATGGCTTCTAAATTAACTTAATTACTGACAATTTGTTTTTCACAATACTTGTGTAACTTCATTGAATGTATTTTTATAGGTTCATGGCGGTCGGGAAGATCCAGAGATCCGCCCACAGAAGCCCCCCCCTTCCCCGCCGCTCTCTCATCGCCCTATGGATAGGTGAGGATATATCTTAATATAATTTTAAGATTTTCTTAAAAATCTTGACTTAAGCTTAGGTTTCCTAGAATGTTTGGCCGTTTTTTGCATTATGTTAAAAAGTAAAAACGGCCGTCATTAACAACTGTAAAATGACGGCCGTTAGTTAACGGCACAGCTTTTATAAGAAACCTAAGCTTACCCATTATTAATTATTGTTATTTTAAAGAATTTATATGACTATTACTTTTAAAAAACAAACTGAAAAATTTAGGTTATCATTCTAAAACGGCAATGTTTTTACAAAAATTCATTAAATATATATTCACAATATTTTTATCATCCATATGTGTACTTACATCTTATAGGTATATATTTTAAAATGACAGTCTATCAAATAGTCATTGATTTAGTTAGATTGTTTCTGTTTTTTTTTTTAAATAGTTTTATTTCATGAGCTCACTTTTAACCAATTAAATGTAATAAGTGTGATAAAATCTATTTAGGCTTCCAACCAAGTGTGCTAATTTATTAAGGACTCAAAGAATAGTCGAAATTTTATCAAAATCGGTTCAGTAGTTTTTGAGACATTTTTTCTCTAAATGATTTTTCTTAAAAGAAATTGACGATTCTTGAAATTTGTAGATCCGTGGGCGGTGGATCTGCGGGCAGCGGATCTTTGCTGGAGAGATCCATCACGCCCCTCAGTTTGGGCAGCATGAGCTCGCTTCACGATGTACTTAAGGTACACTGGTCGAAATTCGATCGTAACCCTAATATTAACATTGATGTGAGTTGATTTATCGCGCGAAATTATCGATTTTTTATCAATTAAAATCCCAAATATACGTTTGACTTTTGCTTATAATGCATGGACTTAACTCGGAAGAAGCATGTATGTAAGAAATTAGACATTAAAAAAATCCTCTAATGTTCAAGAAAGTTTAGCTCATAGTAATTTTGACTAAGGTCAGGTACCTCAGAAGGGTTCGATTCCCGACAGTACAATACAAGGTTTAGGTTGTATGTTTTCTTGTTTTGTTTATATTATGTTTTTAGTTAAATTTTTATATTAGTAAGTTTTCTATTGTATTAGTATTATTAGTTACTGTAAAAATAGGAAATAAGGAAATAATTGTTACGGGCTTGTAGGCGCGGAATAAATGATAATTGGAACCGACTGAGAAATATATTAATTCTGGATACATTGAGGGCTATGGGAGTTCAAATAAGTTTTACTTAAGAATTACTTTTCTTTCTATAATCCAAAGTTATTTAGTAAGAATTATAATTTTTTTGGTGTAGATAATTGTTCGAATATTTTATATTAATCTAAATCGTGTTACAGGTGGGAACTGAGAGTATGGAGGGAGGTCAGTCTGACAGCAGCTGTGCCGCTTCGCCCACTCACGCGCATCACGGACATGATACATGATCGTATGTATTAGACCTCACTTTGACGCTATCTTTAAATATTTTTATAGGGTAGATACAATATTATTTACTAACTGACGAATTTAATACAAAAAAATCTGAATTTTTGGGCATTGAATTCAGATAATGATAAAAAACATATTTCGTACTTAACGTCTTTGTAAGATAAGATGTTTTTATATTATATTGCGGCTTCATCCGTGGGGTCCTTTTCTTCCTTCCAGGACAAATTTTTTTTCAGTTCGAACCCTTGCTTCTTCAAATCAATCCTAAGATCGCGTTCACGAAAGTTTTTGATTGAGGATCCGCTCCTATCACGTTGATAAAGCCTATTTTACTCCCTGATGTAGCTGAATATTTAGTTTAATTATTCATTAACTAACAAAAATCTAATCTTGTTTTACAATATTAGTGCAGATTTTTTAAACTATTTGGTCCACTCCTTAAATTAAAAGTATAACGTATTTGTAGGAGCCAACTAGACGCGTATTGGGGCGTCGATCTCTCGAAGCTGTACGCTTGCTTCTGCTGACGTTACGACGGTGACGTCACTCGCTTATAAGCCTTTAGGAGATTATAATCGAACCTAAAACGTTGCCATGACAACTCATATAAATCTCTATAGCGAATGAACTCGCATATTGACAATACTCTTAGAAGAGAGATGTGACTCTTTTGTCTCTCTCGCACGTATTAACTTCAAATTATAAATATCAGTCTTATGCTATGTTTAAAATTAATGTCTATTGCTAAATGATATAAATTGAGTATTGTACTGCTAATTATCTCACACATACGGCAGATTCTGCTATTTTTACTGTGAAACTTGTTTACTATAAAATATTCGGGAATATTCTATAAGATTTGATCGGCCTTATTACGTGTACTAAATAGTAGCACCATGATAACGATGTTTATTGACAGCCATAACCATAAACAATACTATGTTTAGTCCATGTTTTATAATAAGGTCGTATACGTAATCTTTTAGTATTTCAAAATTAACAAAACACCATCACACAATTGAAAATAATTACGTATTTAAGTGTAAGTTTTGAATTTGACAATTTTTAATAGACATTTTACAATGAATTAATTGGATATGATTTTTGTGTATATGTACAATAGTTTAATTTACTTTTGTATATTCTTTACTATTTAAAAATTATTTATTTACATCGTGTGTTATTTTTAGTTTAGTCCAAGATTATTCGTAATTTATTCGTCTGTATTAAGAACCGAGGTGCTATGCTGTTGTACTAAAATTACTTTTTTAGTTTGACTTAATATTAGCTTTGGACCCATAGACATTTCGCTAGATTTCCATATAAAAAGCTTGTCTATGCTAGGCGATTCCCATTCTTTTGTTTCACGTATTCAGAGGTTCTTAGATTTGATATTATAGCACCTAAACTATTAAAGTAATCAGTTGATTGCACCTTTAGTAATATACGAGTTTTGTAAGTAAGGCTTTATTGAGTAAACAGTGGCGCTACAATCTTTTAGGTCTGGGCCTCAGATGGGTGTCTGTTTGATTATTTATTTTTCTTAATAGTTAAGTAGGTGATCCAATGTCTGACACACGCTTTTGTCTAAGGCATGCCGATTTCCTCTGGATAGTCACCTTCACCGTACGTACGTCTTAAATGGGCACATGGATTGAGACCCATTCGTGCCCAGGGATCGAACCTTAGACCTCAGGGAGTCGCACGTTGAGACTAGGCCAACACTTCTCAATTAGTCACAAATAAATCAACAATAGCTTAATATGTATTGTTAGCTGTAAGTTTAAAAATATACTTCGATAATATTTATAATTATGTTATAACAGTTAAGTTTGGTACAACAGAATTGCTACTAATAAACAGTTACCTACTAATTACTAACCCCACCTAAATCAATGATGTATCTTGGACGTATTGCATAATATTTTCTATATTGGTTCCTAAGTGTACAAGAGTTCATAGTACTATAAATATAATCCATACTTTTGTGGTCTTCATGACGTTAAAGAGGCGACGAATCATAGACAAAGTTCTTGCTAGAGAAATAAAAACTTTTATAAAAATATTCCCTAAGAAAATCTAGCGTAACATAAAAGCTAAAACAGGCCCATTTTAAGGGTTGGTCTTGCTTTAATAGCCCTACACTAAGACGGGGTCGCACCATTCTACCAAAAATCATAGCATCGTAGAAAAACTATATCGCAATTATAAAAAAAACTTTGTACGTGAAAATTATAATCACGCATCGCAATCTCAACGTGCCCACTATACTACTGGGAGACCATAAGAAAATATGGTTTTTATTTATATTATTATAATTATAATGAAATTATATTTAAAAGCGTGTGGCGATTCGAAAGTATTAAAAAAATTCAATACAATTTTAATCTTTCAATTGGTATTTTTCTATTAGACTAAATTGGTTTTATGAAAAATATTTTCGAATTGTCCGCACGAGTGTAACCTTCCAATGACTCGATAATAATGTTTAGTATAGACTATCGAATGTGGCTTCTAGGTCAATTAGTCTCTTATATTCTCTAATATAACCGAAATGTGTAAAAATTATTCATTACACTGTTGCGTTGTAATCGTTTCCCCCGGAAGGTTTAGGCTGAACATATTTACTTCACCGTCTCATTATTTATCCATCGTGGATGTAAAAAACACCATAGATAAAACTTACAATAGAAATATGTATACTGTATAGTTGTTTCGTAAGCAATTAAATGGAATTGATTAGATTTTCTCATTTACAACGCAACAGTCGTAGTGTAAATTAATATTCAATTATAAATCGCTAGTAAAGTAATTAAAGTTATACATGCTTGAATTTTAAGAAAGTTTATTCCGTATCAAAATATGTATTCATTATCCAGTTTTTATTGACAACTTTATAAAGGTATACCCCAATTTTCAACTAATTAAAGTAGTGATTTATTTAAAATATTTAACATAAACTAAGACAGTGAGACTGTCTACGCTTCCATGGTAACCAAATAAGGTGAACGGTAACCAAAATAGAGAAAAAAAACAATGAGCAATTTGGTCAAATTAAAACATACCAGTACTTTTTACATGAATTGGTACTTGTATTGTAATCTTTTGTATATTCAAAATAATGAACTATTAATGATCTAAGCTCGTGGACAATTTATCCCTCAATATTTATATTTAGGCTATTAGCGGTTTAGTTCCGAAACAATATACAATAAAGCACTGCCACTTTCTTTTGTATATTGAGTACAAAAATCTTCACCTTCTATTTCGTAATTTCATGATCTAATGTCATCTTATATAGCACGACTGTCAGTTGTCAATTATGTCCAATTTATTTGATATATTTACTTATAATTAATTGAAAATTTGTATGTGTTAGCTTAATTTTATTCACAAAAGAATTATCTCAGTAATGTATGTGATTATGTAATATGTTAGCCGGTAAATGTATTATAATTATTTTTAATGATCTAGTCCTTTTTGTTTACTTTTTGTGACGTAAGCGTGTCCATATAAGGTTTTATCGTTTGTCAATGTCATTTCTATTGTTAAATATTTTGTTTAAAACTGTCGAAACCGATCGAATGTCTAATAATAGAATTGAAGTTGGCAAATGTAGAAAAATGAGATTTTAGATAGGCTAACGCCATCTTGTTTAATGCATTATAAACAAAATGGCTACCTGCTTGTGGGTTTTGTACGATTTTTTCATACATCTTACTCGTTTTCAAATCGACGTGTATCCAAAGATATGTGTAATCATTATGATTAAATTGTATCGATTATTATTTTAGTGAAATTAGTTTGTTTATAAAATTGTATCGAAAAGAACTGAACTATATATAATGTATTCGTGTAACTTGCATGGGATCTTTATTGTATTATATAAACATTCCTGATTATACTCAGTATTTTATTCTATTCGGAAAACGTTAGTTACTACGCAAACTTGACGACAAAAAAAAATCATTCACATAAATTTCACTTGTAAGGAATTTTATTATAAATTATACTCGGTGAAAAATTATATACTTTTTGTATTCCTATGTACTTTTGCACTTATGTTTCTTAGGTACATTACGCATTTACCTTAAAGGATTTTACATTACTTTTAATTATTATATAAGTCCAGTTATGACTAAAATTATTAATAAATTTCAACTCATGAGGCTAAAAAAAATCGGAAATGAGTTTGATCTCAAAAGAGGTATTGAAAAGTAAGTAAAATCCTTTAATAATCTGATTTATCGAACGAAATGCAAACTATATTTAAAGGAAGAAGTCCAAAATATGATTCTGCTTTCGATAACAAAATTGCTTTCAAACAACTAATTATACAGATGACGCAAAATGCGGGTCGCACATCAAAAATGAGTAATGCATTTCGTGTAATCTGTGCTAACTTAGCGTGCTTTTACTAATTTTAATCCATTTCTTGTGTTTCTGAATGTGTTCTAAGTAGAAAAAAAGCATATGTCAAGAAAATAGGCTATCTTCACTACTGATTTGTTTCCTAGACAGATTTGAGATAGAACAGTTTTTAGTACTTTGTTGATCGCCCGATACCTATTTTTAACTATTGGTTGTATTATGATAAACTAAATTAATTTGTTAAATATAGGTATCATTGTGCTAACTTATTGTAATAGATTGTTCAACTATCTTCCATGTATCCTGCTATAACTAAATTTTTATTTAGATTGCAATTATGTGAAATCTCAATACTTAATGTACATACATGAATAAAGAAATTTGAAGGATTGGGCTGTTTTATTTATTACTGCCTTATTCTAGTTATTTGAGTGATGTAGTTATAAAAAGTCAGCGATGCTTGGACCGATATGAGTTAGAAATGGTTATATTAAATTATATAAACTAAGTTTTTTAGGGGGGGGGGGTTAAAGAGGGGTTATTGTAAGGCGGTCGAAGGTCATACTAAGCCGAGTTGCGGTCAAGTTTAAGCAAGTGTAAACAGAAACATTGTTTCGGTCAAACTTAGTCTGGTTTCTATTGTTTTTGTTACGATTACAGGGAACACTACTAATCTGTGAAGCCTGACGAAAATGCAATAGTGGATTCATCGCATAAGTTATTAGCAATAAGTTTATTCTCATTAAAAACATACATTACATGATAAATAAATAATAAAAACTACTACGTTATTACTGCACCAAAGTCTATTTACCAATAACCCTTGCAGGTGTATTCGGAACGGCGCCACTGCTACTATTTTAATTATACAAGTGTTACTTCGAATGGAAGAGTTCTTCTGAATTTGATATGTGACGAGAATGTTTGGTGTTTGTTAGCGTAGTGTATTTTAAAGTGTTATTTGTGGAAAGTATTAAAATATACATTTAATTGCTATCTGTATTTTATATACGCGATTGAGTTGGTGGTGCCAGATTCGCAGCTTAGTCTCGCTCAAGACGTCGATTTACAGAACACCATAGTAGGCTTAGCTCAAGTTTGAATTCGATGGTCTCTAAACATGAACGTGGTAGATTTTAACAGGAGTATGTCAAAATCCATACCAATCCTGCCTAGCAGGTAATTGGGTAAAAAAGGCTCTTAATATAACAAAAACAAAACACAAATTTAAATATATTTATTGAAGTAACAATACTTTAACGTAATTAATGAAAAATTCGACAAACGCAATGGCTCTTGTGCAAAACATTTAAGACACTTTGTGATGTTATGGGGTTTCGTAAATGCGTATAAATACTAAATCTTTTGAAGCATAAATGCCAAATTGTGTGGTAACAAAAAATATATTATTTTTTAAGAAATTTCGCCCGCCCGGGGCATTTGGTCGGCATTTTTTTACTTAAGCTTAAGAATGGTGTTTCTTAGTTTGTCGGCGTTGGCGCCGGAGAACTCGTCAAGCTTCTTGGAACTCTTCACGAAAACAAAGGTGGGCATAGAGTTGATGTTGTACTCTGTGGCGATATCCTCACATTCGTCAACGTCCACCTTAAAAAAAACAAAAAAAAATTGAAGAAATACCTTGTGATGTTATGTACGGTTAAGCTAACACGCCCTAGAGAGAAAATATAATAAATCATGCATTTGAAACAAAGGCAAAAATTATCGGTGAATCAGACGCAGATACATGAGAGCTTATTAAAATAGCGTGTAGAATACAACGCGTATAAAACAATTCTACTGCGCTAAATTTAAATTGCTCAATTGTTACATACTGTACGGCCACTATACTAGAATTGACATATGAAGTTGATTGCATAAATGCAATGCTTATATTAAACATGACTCAATCGTCCGGATGACGAAATAATAACTATTTTTAATTTCGTTTATCGCTAATGCCCTGGCGACTGATATTTGCAAGCACATGCGAGTAACACGCCGAAATATATTTTTGTATAAGACAGCATTTTCTTTATCGTATTCAATTTTATTAGCTAAGCAATTTTGTAACATGGTATCATTATGTAATTAACGCCTACGTTATATAGGAACTGCTATTCAACTCATATAAATATAGGCTAGTATTTTAAATGTAAGGAGGTAATCGAAAAGATATGACGTTTAATTCCTCCTTAAAGAATGTTGTTGCCACCCAAATATGATATCGCAAAATGTGTTTTTTTATTGAGTTACTACAACTAGCCAATACGCTTGACCTATAAACGCACATTATCAAGTGTAACTAATTTATCTAAATTCTATCTTATAGATAAGAATTCTATGATAACATACGACAGCATACATATATTTCGAATTATAATGTGTGTAGTTATAATTATAATTTGCGCGGTTAATTACCAAAGACAAATTTTTAAGTCTTCGTAAAATTTACCTCGACTAATTCGTTTATAAAACCAAAAGGCCAAACTCTATCAAGTAATGTTAACTACGTTCATATTAACCGTCATAGTTAAGGCCATGAAGACTATAAATGAAAAAGACTTTAGCTAAATAAATATTTATGTAACTTAGAAGCCGACAAAAATCTATTGATTAGGCATAACTGGGTCACCGCGAGTCGGTGATTACTAAACCATCCCCATTTCCCACTCGCAACTTATCAAAATGGTTATGACCACAAAAAAGATAAAGTGAAGTATATTTTTTACAAAAAAATAATTTTACGTCCATCTGTATGAACAAAGTGTCACCTCTGTTGTATGGGATAGGTGACACCTAGAAACTGCATATTTTGGCAAAAAATTATTTATTAATATAATTATGCGGAAGTGAGTTTTCCGACAAAACTATGCTAAATTATGTATTATATAATAAAATTGTATCTCTAATTTCGTCTGTTTAACGCGAGTACTGTTTATTTAACTCAAAAAATAAATTTACTGCATTCGATGTTACGAATGCTTCACAGTAATTTTAACATTATTTTTCAATCAACGGTATATAAAATATAACACTCCTATTTATATATTAAATGCAATTATACCTTCAGAACAACAAGTGAATCGGCCATCTCGTTAGCAATCTCCTCTAGTTTAGGGCCAATGACCTTGCAAGGTCCGCACCAGGTGGCCATGAAGTCGATCACCACCAGCTTTTCTCCAGCCTCAGTGAGCCTGGTCTTCAGGTCGTCGGAATCTTTGATGTGGATGGCCATTTTGTGACTGAAATATTTTATTAAAAGTATTAGATTCACCGTGAAGATTTGGTTGATGCGTGCGCCGGGTTCGTGCCGGCGGGCCGGCGGCTGCGGTGTGTAGACAGCTTTTCTTACAAAACGAAGTCTGAAAATTTAAATAATACTACCTCAAGACAACCTTTGGGGTAAAAAGAGCATGTCATGTCGGGTGTTTATATGTAGGCAGACATTTTATAAACATTTTTATGAATGTCCTATTAGATTAAATAACATATTTCAACTGCCGCCCATATATTGAGAGATTTTGTTACTATAAAAATACTACACATGCAAAATATATTGCGTCATACATAAAGCATCATGTATAAATCAATCAGAAGTCGTTTTTATCACAAAATGACAAAGGAATACTAATAATTGTAACAAGTACACATTTATCGTCGGAGGCCCTCGATAATATTGACCTTCACAAAACCGGAATAAATCGAGACAAGGTGAATTCATGAATCAACTTAGCGTAAAATATAAGTGCATCGTAAACGTAGGATCCTCTTCGCCGTTCTATTCAACTTAATAAAGAAAAAGCTAACAAAACTTGAGAAAATATAAGGAGAAAGGTGTCCTAAATACTAAATAGTCTACTTCTCACTACAAGTTATACCTATAGCTGAATAAATTCATTCAATATACAGTTAATTTGACATATTGCGGTGTGGAAATCCCCAGTTTAAATTACGAGGAAGTAGGTAATAACAAATCTATTTTATACGCCAAATAAAAGGTTTTCATACTTGGTTTATGGTCCTACATAACTATATATTTTCTTCAATTATATACATCAGTATGAGTTCTTAACATATGGTTTTCATACAAGAAAAAACAGAAAAACCTACCTGAGTACTGAGCAATGGGATTCAACTTCGCAAAACAAATACCAGCTGTGACGTCTTTAATAAAATAATTCTTACCTAGATTTATTGTCTTAACAATAGTAATAATTTACACAAACACTGGTGTTCGCCACGACTGACAATTGACAACTGACTTCAGCCTAACTGTGTTGACTAAGGAAATTCAAGCTGACGAAACAAAAAGCCTCGTCATTGGCCATGGAGGATGAAGTAATGATGACGTCAGCATTTCAGCAACTATCGTACAGCGTTTACGAATGACTAACAATATTTAACAGAGACTTGTACAAATTTAAAAACAATCAAGTCATTTTGGCGACTATTTAAATTATTATAATATTTGCAATGTATGCTTTTTTAAACTATTAATCCGTTGTTAATCTTGATCGTAACTCCTTCAAATAGCGAGTTTACATCACATTTTATTTATTCATAATTGGAGCTATATACACTTATGAACATCAATTTTAAAAATGGAGGAAAAAATTACTCCCATATACAGGACATACAGTGGGCTTGATTTTGAAGATTTTGGTTTATGATAAATTGTAATGAACTGCGACCAACAAAATGTTCGCATTATTATTTTAAGAAAGTTTAGACACTTGTTACCAGGCACACAGTATTCAAGGATAATATGTCTTTAATGCTAAGGCACTGATCTCAGAAACGGGTTGGAATTAAAAAAGAATGTTTGTCTTGAAAGGGCATTTATCAAAATGGTTATATAACATTACACAACATCCAAGTAAAGTATGCTCAAATATTATTGCTAAAACGGGAACAGTCATGAGTTTCTCTTTGAAACTTCTAAAAAAAGCCAGTGAATCTTTGACAAAATGTGTCCCTTTATGATATCAATGTTTAGGTGATACTATATAAAAAATACTCTAAAACAAAATAATGATGAAGAAGGACAATTGCATTCTGAAGTGCAATGCAATTCAAATTAAAGCAGGCAATACCATGGGTTACAAGTAGTATCCGTTATCTACATATCCTAATAGCAAAAATCATACATATTTTTTACTGCTTTACTATTTATCTTGATTTATAACAAATTTGTACTGTCATCGTTATCAAAGCAAAGACTCATGGCATGCTTATTGTGTCCTTATATCATAGTTGTTTACTTTAATAGTTTATTTACAAGAGAATTTGTAGCAGATTCTATTCAACAGAGAAACAGCTAACGGAGCACACCTATGTTTCTTGTCTTGTCTAAGGACAGTGTATCAAACACACTCTGTTCACAATTAATTTTTCAGTCTACATGCACAAATTATAATTGCTCTTATGGTAAAGATGTGATGATTGTGAGTATACCAGCAAGTCAGCAAGCATAACAAAAACGATGTGTGTCAGGCACAGAAGGCTGATCACCATCTAGCCTATGACGAAAATAAATAAAACCGAGGCAAAGACCAATTGCAGCGTTCATGGTTTGTGTATTTAATCAATGACAATATGCAATTGCATTTAAAATAGTGCAATTACAGGGATTTATTTCTTATGAATAGTTGGTGTGAAAAATTTCTCAAATGAATATACTGTCAATCGAGAAGCCTTGACTATTATTGTAATTTTTGTATATAGAAAATAATATTAATTGTGGTATTTTCAAAAAAATTCCTAGGTGTGATAATGCAGTAAAAATATACATTTTTTTAATATTAATATTTACATACATTTTTTTTATTATTATATTTTCCTTGATTACTTGTACTGTTATACTGTAGTCTTAGCTCATCTTTGTAGTGGTTGCATAATTGCAATAATTATTTTCCTTGGCTAAATATTTCTCAAAGAAATCACAAAATTAATTATGTTTTAACTGAACTTAACTTTATATATGTACCATTGTTGGTTGTAATCTATTAGCTACATAAGAATATACTAGGTGTGTCTAACAGTAGATAATAGGTATGTACGATGTAGTACATAAGATGTAGGTATGCGGTTTATGACTCACTCTAGGTTTACCTACCTAATACCGACTTAAATATACAAATACCCAACATCAAGTATTAGAAGTATTGTTATTCTGTTAGGAATTAATAGTGATTTTCTTTATAAAAGTAAAAATCGCACATTAACAAACATTTTCAAATCAAATAAAAAATATCCAATATGACTAAGATCGAAGTTTCAACGCATACAACAAGGTCATTTTTTATCACAAAAGAGTTTGGACGTGTCAAATGCAGCATTATAGTAATGGTATTAACATTTCTTATGAGTAAAATATACACTAAAACATTATTTTAAGTAAAAATACTCACCAATAAAAATTCAATCAATTTCTCGAAAACAGGAGAAGCACGCGGCGAAATAGGACAACCAATGCAAATTGCAAATTGTAATTTGAAAATTGAAGTGCAGACTACTGAGTACTGACAGATGTATTGTTAACTGTCAAACAAGTTCTTATTTCTATTAAATACTACAAAATGTTAAATGTTTACTCAACTAGATACAACTTGTGTCACTGTAAAGTAAAAATTAACAAAAAAGACATGTATATTTGGTTTCAATATATTAATAAAAGAAATAAATAAATAAATAAATTTTATATAAATTAAAAAAAATATTTTCAAATCAATTGTTAAACAAGAACTCCGAGAGCATAACTTGGCACCTGGCAAATGTCAAATTGTCATTTCTCTCCGACTAATAGACTTGTATCCATGGCAGGGCTGCCAGATAGATGTACGATTTAAATCGTACTAGTACGATTTTTTGTCATTTTTACTCATGTACGATCGCTAGACCAAGATCGTACAGTAACTGTACGATTTTTCTGTACCTGGCTACATTTCGTAATGAAATGAATATATACTCCACCGGCAAGTATTATGTTCGGGGAATTCCCCTACAACCTAACGTATGCCTAGACCTTTTACGCCTAAATACCCTTTTTTTATATGAAGTCTGTTTTTGTGTGCATTGTTACAAAACTCCCGAACGGGAAAAATTTGTCGTACGATTTCTTTGTAGATGGCGTACGATCATGCGTTTTTTTCATCTGGCAGCCCTGATCCATGGTCATGTTTTTTGTTATTTTCAAACTTGTTGGCGGTCTGAAAACAGCTTCAGTTACGCTTTTCAAAAATAAATCATTTAACTAATTGGAAGTCGTCTATCCACAGTTAAAATGGATTTTGACCTAACTAATATAGGTTCTATGAAAGTTGTTAGTTTGCCCGGCGGAGAGGTAAGTTGAAAGTACAAAAATTAAAATGGATTTTTAATACGTCTAAAAATTATACAGCATTTTCAAAAACTATTTAAAAACCACCCATATACATTCATTTTAAGAATTACCTAAAGTTCTAAGTCTTATATAACCGGCTTCTTTGTAAATTATACATGACCTATAACTATCGATGCTTGAATCATTTGTTCTAGAACGAAGTATGTACTTAGCGCTTCATCCGTTTCCTAGTAATTACCTGTAATTAGTTTTTTATTATTTTACACTAGTGTGACAAATAATGACTATAAATGCATTCTGCCATAAGTGTGATCCTGATACATGAAATATTAAATAATTAAAAAAAATATTTCAAACCATCAATTGTATCTACCGACTAAGTTGTTATACAATATTCAAAAATTATTATATAAAACATACCTAAATTGTGAAATTTTAAAACATTATGATTGCATGTGTCATAGAAAAATAAGTTATTGATAAATGAAATGTTAACAATAGGCATTTTAGTATCACTATTCAAATCTCTGTAATCTTTTTTATCTTTCTTTGGCTTTAGTATTATTTATCTTAGATTAGTATTTTAAAATTAAAGGTGTATCTTGTTGGTATTTGCTGGTATGAATAAAAATATGCATTGTTTGTAAAATAAAGCCAACTATGTAAACTCTGAGACTGAACAAAGATAAAAACAAATATAAATTTAGTAGAAATAGGAAAGTGGTCAGATAGATGTAATAACTATTACTAAATTAGTTTTAAACATTGAATAATAACATGCATTTGCACTGTTACTGTTCTTAAAAATTGATTGATTAAAACTAGTTCAACATTTTAGAAGTAATTGTACTTAATAATGAATATGTAAAGTACAAAGAAAATCGTTTTAAAAATCTATAATTTATATGTATCTGTTGTAATTTTTTTAATGATTCTTTATTATTAACTTTTATATGTACTTATTTTTTGTCAAACATATTTATTTTGAATTTCAGACATCGGAATTGAAAAATTTCTGGCAAGATCAAAATGTAGCCATAGTTTTCTTTCGGCGTTGGGGATGTATGTTCTGTCGGCTTTGGGCTAAAGAGGTAAACGTCATATTACGGATAGTTTTGGTAAACATATTATAGTAAATTATTGACTTGATTACAATAAGAACTGAACATAAGGTATGGATCAGTGTCTCACAGGAAGGCAATTTGATTTAATGATTTAAAAATTTCCTGTGTTTAATTTACAGTTCTCGAGTTATTTCTTCCTTAAACCTATTGTTTATTTATTTTATTATTTAAAATTATGTATGTTTTGGGTGCATAAGAATTTTAGAAAGGATTGTTTAAAATTTCAAGACACTAGTGAGTTGACTTTAAATTACGTAAGAGACATAATATATAATATTAGACTATAACTGATTGTTAGCTAAAAAATGCTAGTTAACAGTACATTTAAAGATTAAAAAAAAAAAAGTGTGGCACTCGGGGACTGCCGCGGTAAAGCTATTGCATAGCATTTTTTATCAACTTATACAATTATAATTTTTTATTTATGCAGTATGTTTTTTCTTTGATATTTATTCAATCAACCACTATACCAGACTCAGACTAACACGCCTATATACTTTATCTCACTCTAACGCGTACCGGCTGCACCGGCCGCGCTTACGCTACGAGAGATGTGAATACGCAGTATGCGTTCTGTCCCGCTCTAACGCGTATTGGCCGCACCTATATTACGTCATCGTGTGTTAGGTTTTTTCGTTACGGAATTTCTTGATTCGGTCGCCGCGCTCAAAGCCTGCGATAAAATCTATGCAATAGCTTAAAAACTTTATTAAAACATATTTAAGTATCCCATTTCACAACTTTTTTATTTGTAAGAACTAGCTTCCTCATATAGTTTCTTATTTTATATTCAACTAAATCATGGTAATTCAAGAGCGTGTAGATCTTCTATGAAGTTAGATATTTTTGTCATCGATATCTGAGGCTTACACCAGTAATTTTGTATGTAATTGACGGATACATAAGTGTCGTTTTGCACTTAAAACAAATCATAATTAAATGATAAAGGGCAATTACAGCTTGATGATATTGCACCGGTTCTCAAGAATAACAACATTCGTTTGATTGGTGTGGGTGTGGAAGAAGCGGGTTCTAAAGAATTTATCGACGGAAAGTATTTCGATGGCGGTAAGCACGACTTTCATCATATGTTTAAAGTAAATGACGTAAAAGAATTTAGTTTAAATATTAATGGAAATGAAGTAATGAAATGTTCAAATTTTAGTGCTAAAATTTATGGAATTAAAGTAATGATAAATGTGATAAAATGTTAAATTTTTAGTACATAATATGCTTATAAAGTCAAGAACAACAGTGTTGGCCTAGTGGCTTCAGCGTGCGACTCTCATACCTGAGGTCGTATACATACGTCGATCCCCGGCTGTCCATTGGTGCACAGCCGGGGATCGAACCTACGACATTGCGCATGTTTGCATTTTCTATGTGCGCATTTAACATTTGCTCGAACGGTGAAGGAAAACATCGTGTGGAAACCGACATGTCTTAGGCCCAAAAAGTCGACAGCGTGTGTCAGGCACTGGAAGGCTGATCACCTACTTGCCAATGAGATTTAAAAATGATCATGAAACAGATTCAAAAATCTGAGGCCAAGACCTAAAGAGGTTGTAGCGCCACTGATTTATTTTTATTTATGCTTATAAAATAGAACCTACAAGCAAAGATTTAATGGATGGATTTGGTATAAAATTATATATATTTCTATTACGAATGAATTTTTTGAAGTAAGAAAGCTCTGAACCGGGTTTGTAATTATTATCATCTATAGAAGCCTAAATTTTTCCTGTGTAAAAAAAAATAAACGTCAGGATTGACAATTTTAAACTAAAATGGCGCCTTTCGTTTTATTGTGGTTGACGGTCAAGAGGAGACAGATCGTATCTGTCATTCGACAAGATAACAATAATAAAACGAATCATCGAAAAAAACCATCGTTTTGTTGTTTTTTTTTAAATTTTACAATGACTTTTTAGAACTCTTCTACGCTGAAGATCGCTCAATTTACCAGAAATTAGGGTTCAAGAGATTCAATGTGGTGACAATTCTCACTTCGTTGCTATGGAAACAGTCGAGGGACGCCATCGCCAAAGGAAATAGGATGGGTAAGTACACTTCTATTGTGTATATTTTCAAAAATATAAAATCCAATTTTGTCAAGTAATGTTAGAAACATGCGTATAGAAAATTATCTAGAGTTTTACATTTTCTATAAAGCATTGTCTATATCATCTTGCTGAAAGCTAATTGAAAAAAAGAGAGTGAAACAAATGTGTCATTTTTTTATGCATATTTATTTTTGTGCCATTATTGTACTAGGAATTTATCAACACCTTTATCCAAGTCAATGAATTTTAAACCTACACCAAAGGTTATCTGGATATTTATATTCATTTTCTGCAATTATAAAAACCTATCTATTATGAGTAACCAAGAGGTCAAAGATATTATTAAACATAACAAATAAACAACAACAGGTCTAGAAAATGATCTCGTTGGAGACGGTTTACAAAATGGCGGAATTCTATTGATGAAAAAGGGCGGGAAGCTCATCTGTCATTTCGCGCAATTCGCACCAAGCGAGCGCTTGACAAATTTGGAAATTTGCAAGGTTTTATATTTTTTTTAATTAGGTCTAGGTGGGGATATGAAAGGTGATTGGGTGCAAACAGGTGGGATGTTGTTGGTCGAAAAGGGCGGGAAGTTGATAAACCATTTCAAACAGACTGGTCCCAGCGATCATTTGTCAAATGAAGAAATTTTAAAGGTCAGTTTTATTACGTCTTATTCGTCTCAACTCTAGTATAATATTGCTAACTAAAACGTCGCTTATATTTGGTATAAGTCACATTGTGCAGTATATAAGTGAGCAGTGTTGTCCAAGTGGTTTCAGCGTGCGTATTCAGCCTTGCTATTCTGTAACTCACTCTCACGCGCTCAAATCAGTCGTAAAGCAGTCATTTTACGATTTGGCATTCTGATAAACAATAAACTACAAGCTCCCTCCTTATCAGAATGCCAAATCGTAAAATGATTGCTTTACGACTGATTTGAGCGCGACCGCCGCTGTGAGAGTTCGAAAAGTGAGTTACAGAATCGCAAGGTAGCTCTGAGGTCGTGCGTGGGATCATATGCAAAGTCGTGCATCAATAAACTTATACATGTACCTACGCATTTAGCAATCAGTCGGTGAAGGAAAACATGAGGAAACCGGCATGCTTTAGACCTAAAAAGCGACGGCGTGACACACAAGGCTGGTCACTCACTTGTGTATCAAGAAAAAAAATTATCACTCACAATGAAATTATCACACACAGATACAGAAATCAGGATATAGAGGTTGTGACGCCACTACTTATAAGTATATATTTTGTTTTCAGTGTTTTGGCTTAGAGCATGAATACAATGCCGAGACTATGGCCAATAAGAAACGCGAAGACATGGAATGCAGCGTATGTATTATTTTATTATACATTTTGTTAACTCTCCTATTACTTCTTATAAATTGTTATTTATAAATTTATAGTGTTATAGTAATAATAATAATAATAATACTCTCGATATTGTCGAATCTCTGACATTCCGTCATACTTTTGTCAAATAATCTTAAAATATCAACTTTATACAATGAAAAAAAGGGTGCGTGTACTCATGTACGCGCGAAAGAAGTTATACTTCTTTGGCATTATTAAAAATAGTTTTTGATTGCATGCAAATAATTAATTACAATTAAATAATCAAAGACTGGAAATGGAGTAATTATAGTCAATAAAGTTCAGTTTACATTTGAAAAATTAAATAAATAAATATTTATTATTATTCTCTTACATTAAGTGTAACATAGCATCTTCCGTGGGCAACTTCATTCTGTTAATTTTGTGTCACATGGAGTGAAAGTTTACGCATCGTAAACTTTCACTCTCATCAATTTTTCATAACGCGCCTAAAGAAGTATAACTTCAAAAAGGGTTGCAGATTCATGTAAATAAATAAAAATTAAAAATACTGAGTAATAGTTTGCAAATATATTTTGTCTATGACTTTTTTTTTACTTAGATGAATACAAGTTTAGGTTATACACGGATTATTTACACTAACAATTTATTGGTAGTTTTCATGAGTTGGTATTTCATTGATATAAGTTTTTAAATTGGTGTTACCATTTAATCATATTTTTTTCTTCAGAGGGCTTCCAAGTAATCGGTAGATCAGCAGTTAGCATCACCACAATAGACATCATAAATAAAATCAAAACATTTCGTCCATTCATCTTATAAACGTATTATAAATCTAATTAAGTTAAAGTATGTTTTTTCATGTTTATTTGTTTTGAAAGGGACAGTCGAATGGTAAAACCATTGTCTATTTGAGATTTGTAATACGTTTGTGAATAAATGTCGTTGTATATGGAACGTGTAGGTACGGCAAATATATCGATAATTTCACAGAATACTTTAATAAAAGTTTCCATGGAAAATGAAGCTACAGGTATTTTTTTAACAATTGACTGTTTTTCTATTCAACTCACGATATTAGTCCTAGTACGAAATTCCACCAACCAACGGACCTTGCTTATTTGTATATTTTTGGCCTGTTTATCTCCGTTCATATTGTAAAAAACCCCCGTGTTAAATTAAATGCAAAACTGTTCACATGTGTATCTAATTGTATAAGGCAATCTATACATGCAAGATACGCAATGCACATACATTTTGTATCAATTATACGATCTGGCAGCACTGGTGCTATGTTGCTGTCTCACCGCGTTCCATAGACAACGACGTCAGTTAGCGTTAGAATATTGATATAACAGTAGTTATTTGACTTGCCGCAAGACGGCGCTGTAATATAGTTTTATCTGTAATTTTGTATCTATGCTGTAAGTCTATAACTCTAATATAAGAATTAAAATGGCACAATATATGTATGTATTGAAGTCCAGTTATATATAATGTATGAAGTGAAGTTACTCTTAATTTGCAGGTTTTTATGATATAGCCCTTTTTACATTCTTAAATTATTCAATATAATAAATTGAATTTGTTATATTAGAAAGTGAGAAGTAATTATTAATATTATCAATAAAAAAATCAACCCTGACTCGAGTTCATTAATTCGAATTCGATTAATGAATGACCTACTGAGGTGCGTAAAATATGTAAAACTATTCTAGAAAGGAAAACTTATTAGATATTTTAAACTTTAAATTCTTCAGACAGAAGCGAAATCCTAAGCCCTGGCTTCAGTGCCTTGCTGAATGTCCTTTAGCTCCCATACATATGATATGGGCAGAAAGAAGATGTAAGAGTAGTCAAGTATAGACAATATTGCCATGTGAGAAAACATTGAATGTGGACAAGACTTACATTTTTAACGATGGACTGATTTTTGTTGTTATTCTTAGGGTCTTATATATTCGAAATGTTTATACTTTTAAAATTTTAATTGTATTTCGATATAAAAATAGAAAAATATGTATTTTATTATAAAAATTGTAAAATGTAATATATATTGCAAATTATTGTTTATAAATAAACGTTTTAATAAATGGTTGCAAGTTTTTTATTAAGTATAGAATACAATATATAGGTCCGTTTTTTACTTCCATGATAAAAAAAACATTATTGGGATTTTAGTCGGGAGGCATAGATATTACCATGTTTAAATTTTTTCCAACCCTTTTAGCTGTGACTGTACATCTATTAGCTGTTTGAGATAAATAATACAATTTTTTATCTGAACCATCATAATAAATTATATCGTTATCACCGTCAAAAACAACAATAAAAGCGTACCCCCTGCTGAATGCTCCTAGTTCCTTCAAAATCCTTTTGTCATATTTATAATTCATTTTGTAAACTGCTCTCGTGAAAGGTTGTATGAAGTAAGCATCGCCATTTCTGTCGGTTGTCAAATAATATATTTCATCTTCAAATAGTTCTGCGCTTTTCGCGCCATTTTTGAGTACATAAATTGAAAAATTATGCATAAAATATATATCGCCCATTTTATCCACAATAAAATCATCTACTTCGTATTCTGTACCTGGAATTAATTTTGACTTTTTGTTTTCGTAAGTGAAGATCCCCTTTTTACGGAATTCTGAATAAAAAAGTTTTTTTTCGTATTGGAGCTGCCATATTGTTTTATCGTTGAGACCAAAGAGTTCCGAGATATTTTTTTCTGGGTTGTATCTGTATAGGCCTTGCTCATTTGTCATATACAAATCTTTTGTCGTTTGATCTACTGCAAAACCAAAACTAAAACCGCGTTTTATTGTTTTTAGTCTGACGTTGTATAGATCGAATGCAGCTGTATAGTCCTCGGAGCGGTTATGATAGTGAAAGTATAAAATATTTGAGGATCGATCGATGGCTAGTTGTCCGGAAAATTTAATTCCTTGAACTATTCTGTCGCGTCTGTAGCACACCGTGTTCAGGCACGCATGACATGACACACGTTTCGCAATCGAATATCCTAGCAATGTAAGAAATATGAAGAGAGTTTTCATGATGTTTCTGAAAGGAAAAATACATTGTGGATCAATGTCTCAAAAATTGCTTCGATGTCAGTAGTATAAATTGTCATATACTGACATTAGAATAACGCGTCAAATAGATAAGTCAGCTGGATTGCCGCGCTGTAATCTAATCTTAATAAATAGTAGTTTTAATTATAATTTTCACCGATCAATCTCCATCGTGCCTTCGCCATCTACACGACACTGGCGAAGTACCTTGTGCCCAGTTGGCACAAATAAAAGCCATAAACAAGAATTACATTGAATTAAATAGTAGTTTAATGACTAGTTATAATAACGTGAATAACTATATCTTACCGTAAGTAATCGGTATTTAATCAGGTAGGTACAGATTTTAATGTACACACAATGTCATCACTTGTTTTCACTATAACAACTACTAATACTATGGCACAGGAAAGATCAACAAATGCAGTGTTTTGTTTTTAATAATGTTAATTTATCTAATCATGACCCCACTGACCGTGACGATGTATCGTAAATAACATTTATTTTTGTCGATGCCATTAGGTTTTTCTACAAAAATTGATTTTCCAAGCCTTTTAACCGACTTACAAAGAAGAGCTTCTCAATCCCGTCAATGTATGTTATTGATATGTTATAAAATTATTTTTAATTTTTATTTGTGGAGGTTTCTGGTTTAGTATTTAGACTCAATATTTAAACCCTATAAAAGTTAATATTTCGTCGTCCGCGTATGAAATTTCTTTGATAATTTTACTTATCCGACTTTATTATTAGTCGCCGCTATTATTAGACATTGTCTGTAGTGTTATAGAATAAAGATTACACAAGATTCTGCGTTTATCTTGGGTATCTCTATGTACCTGAAATTTATAATGTAGGGTAGGTACAATTTTATTTACATTGTACACACATAAGGATTATTTTAATATTAAAATATAAATTGTGATCTGCGAAATATATTCATTCATCATATTCTATTTTGTGTAATCTATATGCATTTGTTATCTAGTATATAAATTTTGTTTTTTAATCACACGCTTATAAGCTCAATTTCCTATATTGCATTGAAAAATTTCATGTGTTAAAATTGTAAATTAGCAATCAAAACGAAGGCCCTAATAATTTCCCCACAGACTGACATCACGCGCCGAGGTCGAGATTCGATTACCATTCCTATCTCGTCTAGGTCAATACCGAAATTGTTACCTGCAACGATACATTAAAATGGATTTTTAGTTAAAATTAAGGGCCAGTTTTATTTATTCCAGTATATTATACCAGTGAAAAAAAAATTGTCCCTGGTGTCAGTTGCAATATTACAATTTCAAAGAAAATTTAATTTAATTCTACAGAGCTTTTAGTCTATTGTCTATTGAGGATTTGATAAATTTTTCAATTTACAATAATTTTGACATTTATTGTCTATAGTATAGCATGTTTAGTTTAGTTAAAAAATATGGATTTAGTTATATTTCCAAACTGGTTGAGGGAAAAGTTTGGTATATATCTTCAGCCCACGTAGGCATACGCGCACTATAATCCAGGACCAGTGGGTTATACGCCCCCCTTTTCAGACCGTACCTATTCTATATGTTTAAATCATCACGTATACGTTAAAAGTGAAAAACACGGCTGTTCCTAAGCTTTGTGTACTTCACAGCCAATTTTTTAATGTTTTTAATAAGTACTAAATTTTAAGAAACGCGTTGAACCGATAACACTAGTTTTATTTCCAGTACCAGCGACTAAATATGAATTTTTATAACTGAATATAAAATCAGTTCCCTGTGAGTTCGACAAATAATCCTTTCCATTTATCCCGTATTGGGTACTAAATCGTAGAATACCCGATAAATTCATGTTATTAAATAAGGTCGATATACTGTGTACGCTTTGGCTGACTTGGTCATCATCCAAAGATGCCAACCGCTTGATTTGGCACTTGGCAAAGGAGATGAAGGCAGAACTTTACACGGATACAAATATCTAGAAGGCGCCTTTATGAATAGGCATGTATCCGATAAAATACTATTATATACGTAACATGTTTAGTAAACGCTTCCGACAGTTATTTTCAGTTACTTAAGGTACCTTTTATGAAAGATTTATATCATAGTAGCAAGTTATATAGTAAGGCAAACAAATAATGCAATATAATACACCAATTTTTCGTTTGTCACATATTTATTGACGTGTACAATTGTGTTGAATACAAGTGTCGATTTATAATAAATAAATATAATTTACAAATATAACATATGTCGCTGGTGTCATCTCCCATTCTTATTATATGTCACAGAGCTTGTAAACAAATAATATCAAAGTCTTATCAGTTTATAATTTTTGTAATGAGAAATAAGTTCTTTAATTTCGTGAATACTTGTGGTTTATTCGATTTGCCAATATGTATTACTAGATTACAATACTATTTGATTGTCTATTGATTACTACAATAATAGTAATTTTAGAGTCATTTGTATTTATGTCGGAGCAAAGGCGTTAGTGTCATTTAATAACATCTAGGTCAAGTAAGTTCAAAAGCTACTATATAATATAATATAGTGGTTTATTTGATTTGTCAAAGTTGCTGGATCTATAAATTAACTAACGAGAGAAAAACAGCAAATCTTAGAGTGCGTAAGTAAGGTTTACCTACCCTACCTACTTACCTATTAGAAAATCAAATGATCACGAAACAGATACAGAAATCTGAGACCCAGTCCTAGAACATGTAGATTGAAGTACCTTTTCTCAGAAATATTTTAAACCTACATTGGAATGTATGTATTTTTATCAAGAGTATTAATGCCTTAATGCTGTTAATATATCGTAAGTGTAATTTGACAATCATTATAATGTATTATCTAGTAATCTAAGTTCATATTAATATTACATTTCTGTCTCGGCATTTTTTATCAAAATGAACAAACTAAGCGTAGATCTTGACGTGTTATAAATGAAGTGAAATTTTTCTTAGGATTTGAGTGGGAATTATATTTTTTGGTGATGAATTGCTGAATTATGTACGACGGTCGACACTAAGCTGTTTCGTACAGTTTTTGAACTGTAATCTAATTTTTTGGAGTTGTAAAGTGTAATTTAGTAATGATTAGAATAACATTTACTACCAAGTCAGCCAACAATGGTGGCTGACAGATAGCAAGTTCTTGATGCAATTAATTATGTTTTGCTCGAAACTTGAAAATATTAGATTAACATATTATTACAACTATCGATCCTTTGTACATGTCGCAGCCAACTAGCTTAATTAGCCGTTCAATTAACAGCCTAGTTTCTTTACTAAAGAGCGCCGTTTATGTAGCTGCCTGAAGATATTTAGCCATTTGATCAAACAGCTAGGCAAATGACTTGAATTGATGACGTTACATTACTTACCTATCCTGTTCATTTCAATTTAGGTCCACTTCCTGCCACCTATCACAACGGTCAATAAAGTCCCGGCAAACAACAAATATGATGATGTTTACCAAAGTTTAATGAAAAATACTACATAATATAAAAATACTAATCCATACTATTATGGAAGAGTGTAAAAGTAAGCGTAAGAACACTAAGTTACATTTTAAATATATTAAATAAAGAATTTCTTATGTCAGTTATTTCAGCTTCATTATTTCTGTTACATGACTTTACGCATGGCCTAAGTATTACCCAGCCAGTTTATTAAATGTTGTAACAAATGTTACGGCTGAATATAATTCAGGACGCTAGTTAAACGGCGCTGTTTAGTAAAGAGGCTAGGCTGTTGATTGAACGGCTAATTAAGCTAGTGGCTACGACATACATACGATATAGCCATTTGTGTCCAAATGGGCTACCATCCTTTAAGGATACTGGCCTCAACATCTATTTCCTTCATGCCATCACCATCCATTTTTTATAGACAAATAGGTAATTAGTAATTCACTGTTTGACATTTATATATGTGTGTGTATTGCACGTAAAAATCTATTAGTGCATAGGCATTTAACACGAAATATTCGATAAAATGTATTCAATATTCGTCATTAAAAAATACTTGCAATTAACTTACATAAGATCTTAATAATTCTGGGAAAGATCGTAAAAAACCTCTTATTCCAAACGAACAATATTCGCGTATGATTTTGAAATGTCCCTATGTTCAGGCTGTTGAGGTAATGTATCTTTTCCTCTCCGTACTTCCCTTGTCGGAATTCCGTTCAGTTTGCTCGAATACTTCAGAACAGGGAATTTTTACTTTAAGATTTTCTGACAAAAATTTCGAGTTAAAATGGTATTTATTCTTACATATTTTTAGTCATACTACTATTCTGTGACTCCAAGTAAAGGTTGCTTCTAACAGTCTTTTTAGTTAAACCACTGCAGTTCATAAATAATTCAGCGCTTAGGAATAATCTACAAATCTGAAGCCCAAAAGCAAAGAAAAAAGTTGATTACCGACAGCTGTATGTGTTTTTGCTAATTTGATTTGAACCTGTTAGGTTTTAAAGGCCGGCAACGCACGCACTTTAATAGGTTTACATGGGATGCGAATACTGCCCCTTTCTGGGCGTCCCCTAAGCTCGTTTGCCCTATAAAAAGGAGAGACATTTACTTTTTTTTAATAAATGATGTTGCATTTTCGACTTACTTTTGGTAGCTGATAACTCAAACATTCATTTATGCCTAATGCATATGGTTAAAACATCGCAAATGGAATATGTCGAATTACCAATAACCCTGTATATAATTAAATATATAATTCTCATCCTCACAGCGCAGGTGAAACCATTAACCTAAGGAAAACCTTTAACCATCATAACTAATAAATATTTTATTCCAAAATCAGTGCCGGATAAAGCCAGCGCGGGGCCTGTAGCAAATTCTGCCTAGGGGCCCTAGGTTAGGCTTTAGGATTTAAATAGTTCGCCTATTTCCTAGAAATACTTATAATCGATATTATATTAAAATCGATTAGAAAAGTACAATCTCGGCTACGTAAACTCGCAAAATAAATGTATACCTATATAAAAAACAAAAATAAAAATCTGAAGGGTACAAATAACATGCTAGTCTAAATATGTATATCGATTATAATTAAAATTTGAAAATTAACGTTAAAAAGATAAATACGTACTTATTTTTACGATTATACTTGACGAAGTCGAGTTTATTTTTATGTGGAAGTAAAGCATAGACTAAGCGCTTCGCGTTAAAGGTATGCGAGATATTTTACGCTACTATCTAAATTAATACTTTTTTTTTACGGTCAGACAGGCGTTGGAGCGCGGGGCCCCTAAGTTCGCGGGGCCCGTAGCATTTGCTACTCTTGCTATGTGGCTAATCCGGCACTGTCCAAAATCCAATTCAAACTTTTCTGTAGACATGTGTCAGAAATAGTTAATGTCGTAGTATCAATAAGTACGGATACGAACTAGTAAGCTCACATACATAATTTGTAGACTTTGAATTGGAAATATTATGTCCGCAGTCTAATTGTTTCGCGCTTGTATCTCGTAATACAGATACATCAAACCTGGACTCAGTATAGTCGATTCAATTATTTAAAGTCAATTAAGAAATCCTTTAAAGATCTCGTTGATGTTAGGCTAAAGTCTTTAAAGTCATACATATTTGCGCACATTTTCAAAACAGGTCAAGAGAGCATGGCATTGTTTGTGCCAAACTTATGTTTTGAAGCAATAACAAGTATTCCTTTAAATCACACATGTGTGACATATTGGGACGTATATATGCCATTAAAAATAATTATTGGGCCGGGTGCTGGTATAGGATGCAACCTGTTCAGACACGCTGGCCCCTTCCCAACTACATGGAACCAACTACAGATCTGGTGCGGCTTGTGAAGCGGCTGAAAAATCTAAAGCATCCAAGTACAGGGGTCTAGGCTCAGAATATGATATTGTCCCATTTGGTGTCGAGACCCTTGGTCCGTGGGGTCCTAGCGCTTTAAGGCTTTTTAAAGAGATATCAAAAAGGTTAGTCGACATCACAGGAGACCGAAGATCTGGCAGCTACCTCGGACAAAGAATTAGTCTAGCGATTCAAAGGGGGAACGCTGCCAGTATCTTCGGAACCTTGCCTAAAGGGACTCCTTTTAATAATATATTTTAGTTTATGTTAAGGTTAGTTATTTATTTCAATGTATAATGTATAGAATTTATTAAATATATATATTGTGGTATATGTCATTTAATTCCAATATCTTTTAGGGCTCACATCGGTTCAATAACGAAATAAACAAATGAAATGCGTAAAAGGGATAGTCAATGCACAGTATGGGCTGGATCTCAATTGGTTCACTTATTCGATATTCTAGGTTGGACAATTGGGCCTTTGATTGTTTCTCTTCGTTTTTGGGAGTTTCACTCGAATATTAATAGAGTATTGGAATATTCAGTGAGCTTCGTTTCGGGTTGTAGGTTCGGTTATAATGGTATAGTTTCCGTTTGAAACACACAATGCTGATCAACTGGATAAAGTATCAGTAATATGTGTTCAGTATCGGAATTAAAGAAAATATCGATGGGAAACCAGTACTGTAAAAAGCCTGTTTTTAAATTTGATTTAAATAATTAAAAATAATATATAATTTGCCAGCTTTGTTTACGTATTATATAACAAAACAAATTTATATAAAGACTACAACAATTTTAGAGTTATTACAAAAAATGTGATATCAAATAACTATAAAAATATATTGTACAATCGCGAGAAAAAGTCTTTCGGCATCACCTATTTCTTCAATATTTTACCTGCGTACAAAACTCCATGGCACTCCTAACACGTCATAATAGGGACGATTTTTGAATGCAAATGATTTTGAACTCACGTTTTGTACAAATGTTGATAAAGGTCGATTATGCGCGCGATTCGAATGATAATTTTTAGACCTATTGTCTATAAAACCGGCGCGCGGCGCAGCACAAGAGGCGAAAGTCAACGAAAATGAAGGTGATTACACGTTTTTATTGTGCTTGTGTGTTGTGCTAAGTGTGTGTAAATATTGAGTAGATAACAAAAAAAAATATAACTAACATTTTTATATAAGCTCGAATAGTTGTCGTAAATAACAATAGGAAAATCTCTTTCTCTTTGACAATTATCCATCCTCGCTAATGAAAAAGTCCAAACAAGACAAAAAATATACTACGCAGAATATAAAACGGCTACTGTATTCATAACATATATTCTTGACTTAAACGTACAACTTTACATTACATTCGTAACTTTAAACACATTGTGTTTACCTGAAAGTTTTACCGGGCAAGTCACGATCTGAAGCCGCCAAAGGCGAATATCCTACGATTTGATATGTCCATTAACGTACGTGTCATACATCTATAGAGTGGTAACTCGTCTCTCTAGTCAGGGATTTCTTCGTTCAATATATAATAGGGGTTAACTGTTGTTAACATCAAGTACAAAAGTAATTACTCAAATTTAATTAGCGAGACTGTCAAAAGCACTTTATTGCACGATGGTACTGGATAATTTAAACAATTTTGGGTAAAATGTTTCTTCGTCACCTTTTATTAATTTAATTTAGGATCTTTGTGATTAATTATAACAAAGCTTACAATTTTATATTAAGGAACAAAATGTAATGCGTAATGTTCTTTCAAAGAGGGTAAAGAAAACGTTTTCCTTCGGATTATTACCGCTTAGGAAGCATAATAAAAAGAGTTAGGATCAAGCAATGAGTTTATATTTTAGGCTTACTTTATAATTTAATCAAAAATAGGTCATTAACGTATAGGGTTTAAATTCTTAAATACCAAGCGTAAAATTAAAGATTATTTTTCCTATGAATATGAAGATATTGAAATCTCTTTGAATGAGCTTATTAATAAAAAAAAATTCGAAGAATAAACTCGGGCACAATTTTGCGTAGTACTCAACATGAAACCTGTCGCTTTCAATAGATATATTTAAAGTCGAGTTTAAGTTTGTTTTACTTAACTATGTATACATATATAATTTCCTAAAGTTAATTAACAGAAATAATCATGTTGACAGATCTCATGGATTGAAATTGTATACAAGCAATGCACGGAGAATTTCCGCCGACATTATTTTTCTTTCTGCCAATTTCGTACTTATTATGCTAATTCGACTTTTGTTACAAAGCTCTCTGTTTAGTACATTTTTGTGAGCTCCCGTAATTTCCTTTGTAAGGAAATGTCCCTTTTACCGTAACAAAAATACGCATTAAGTTTGTATACCTAGGTTTTTATTTAAGTGCTCTTGTCCTGTTTGCCTTTAAGACATTTTCATGGACGAATTTTTTTTTTTGGCTTATTTTAATAACGAACGACAATTAAGTAACAGTTAAAAAATCATTTCAGATCAGTCACTACCTTCATGTACGGCACCGATGATGTTACCACGTAAAACAAAGATCTTTTATAAAAAAAATCATTGAATAGTTTGGCAAACGCACTGCCTGTAGCACATGTATTGAAAATATCAAAGTATTCGGCATCGACTTCAATAAATTTTCTAAATACACTTGTATATGCAACGCATTTTATTAAAGTAGGATTTTATCTATCGTTGTACAATGTTTATAATTCATAGTTTAATAACTTTATTGGTATTTTCTTAAATCTTAGATATCAAAATCCCGTTTCGATATACTTAGCTCGGAAGTGTCGTTTCTGAATTACCCTAAAAAGATACCAAAAACCTCAAAAATATAACCAAGATTTTTGTCATTATTTTAACACGCTTAATTGTTTGAGGAGCTTTAATAAAAAATGTTCAGTTGTAATGCAGCTGCTCTGAAACTTGAGTCCTAGCAACTCAAATATTCGACGTAATTACCACATAAATTATAATTTAATTCTGTCCATTTAGATACTTTATTGCGGCAGGGAAATGTCTCTGAAAGATAAAATTTCCCGAAATACAGCTGTTAGTAATGCGTTTGACATTTTATTGTTAAACTTTGTTTTATCACTACGAAATGTAAACTTATTTAGCGAAGAAGTCCATTTCGGTTTGCGTATTTTAATCTGAAATTTAAAATATACTAGCAATACAGCTTATACAAAATGGATTGACAATCGACTTTTGTAATAATCGTATAAAATGAAAAAATATGTTTCACCTACATTAGTACCTTAATAATAATTAACATCAATTATTTTTAGTTGCTGGTAGTACTTTCCTTCGCGATTAGTAGTGTGCTGTGTGAGGCACCCTATCCTCCTAGCGGCTGGAGACCAGATGGACCATCCTTTGACCTTCCACAGGTACGTAAATATTGAGCTTTTGATAATTTGACGTATAATTCGTATTAACAACATAAATAGTATTTAAGAGAACCTAATTAGTATTTTTTTTTAAATAAATAATACCTATTCTACTCCCCTGCCATTGTGTCCAGGGACTTTTTCTATCTCTAAACTTCACGTCACACGTCTCGCGAAATACCTAATTAGTATTATGCACGTCGACATCGGACAGTTTTTTTAAATCTTCAGTCTTCTAGGCTTAGAATGTGTATCTGGGCATTAACCGTCTTAAATATAAATTATTGGGACTACTAATATTGAGAATTTTTAACGGATTTTTTATGTAGTTGATTGAATCGATTTTTTACACGATTATTTATATCTTATATTTATAAATGGGTGGCTTCATTGGTTACACTGCTCCTGTTTAACTGATCTTCAATTACTAAGGACATAGATTGGTCCTGAACGAAAGTTTTATATGATTTCAATTAAATCACTGTAAAATGTTTCAGAAACCCCAAAAGCAAGAATATCTGCCAGTTGACCCTCGGAGACCAACAAATCCCAGCTTAGATAATGGTGTAGACGTTTCAGTCCAAGGATTGCCAACGGTGGAACAGCAACCAATTTTCCAAGTGTCACCAATTAATGGACAACTGTTTTCGGCGCCAAGTATTAATGCGGATACACGCAATTTGGACCCAAGCTTCAGACAGATACAAGTAAGCCTCGTTTAAATAAATGTATAAAGGTTTTTCCTTAGAGACACGTAGGTGATTGGATACCAGCCTTGGGATTATGTAACTCACTTTTCGAACTCACACAGCGGTTTTCACAGCGGCAGTCGCGATCAAATCAGTCGTGAAGTAGTCATTTTATGATTTGGCATTCTGATAAGGTGGGACCTGTGTGAAGTGAGTTACAGAATCGCAAGGCAGGGCCATAAGACGTGCAGGTTTCCTTATGATGTTTTTACTTACCATATTACATAGATAGTTTAAAGTCGCATACTCAATAACTAACACTATCTCTTATTATTAAAAGGAATGATAAACTCTATTCTATGCGCAATTGTTCCGGATCGTTACATGCAGAGAGATATATCTACTCAGTACGTTAAACAAAATGAATGTGAGGTGGTTTTCACTATATTTAGTTTGTGTATTTAAGCACCACCAGAATACACATCAAATATAGTCTACCACCAAATACAGCACAATAAACTTGTACTCTTCTTTATAGTACCAGCAGCAACTGCAAAAAGCTCAAGAATTCGCAAGACAAAGGGAATTCGACGCCAAAGTGAGAAATTCTAATGGCCTACCATCTCAACAGGTGCCCAGACAATTCGTCCAAACTACAACTGTTAAACCAGAATTTAAAACTGCAGAGCCAACAACCGAAACATTCGACCTTAATGAAGAAGAAGTAGATCCTAAAGAGCAAAGAGAGAACGTTTCAGTAGAAGTGACAAAGCAGAATGTCCAAGAATACCCACCGGAATTATTTTTAAGTCCGCTGACGCAGTTGAAATCGCCTCAGTTTGTTTCACTTGAACAATTAGGACAATTACGAGCTCCCCTTTACTACCAGCCAATCCAGTCTTCGAACTTCCCAGGATTCGACGGTCCGGCGCATTTGTCCGCTCTACCATCAGTTTTAGCTCAAAAACAACTTTTAGAACAACAAACCCAGCCACTCACCCAAAATCCAATCATCGTGCAGGAACAATTACGAGAACCTATAAACCAATATCAACAAATTAATCAGTACCAACCTCAACTCCAAGCTTTCCCATTCCAACCGCAACCTGTTGTGTACCAACCTCAAGCAATCAGTCCAGCTCAGACAAACCAATTTGCTCAGCCTCAATACCAACCAGGTCAAGTTCCGCAACCGAATCCAGATGTAGAAAACATTGAACCAACTGAACAACAAAGTCAAACGCAAGTTCCACAGTATCAGACACCAGTTTTTATACAGCCTCAAGCGCAGCCAGTCCAACCGAACCAATTCATCCAGCCCAGCTTTGCGCAGCCTAATCCCTATGCTCAGCCCAATCAATTTGTCCAGCCTAGCCAAGTTCAACCAAATATTTTTCCACAAGCAGGACAGTATCAACCAATTATCCAACCCAATCAATACGCTCAACCCCAATTCGTTCAGGCCTTTGAACAGCAACAATCAGGAGTAGACCAACAAGCGCAGCAACCTCAAATTATCTATCAAAATGTTCAACCTCAGTATTATCAACCAAGCCAATACCAAGATCAGGCTCAAGCCAACCAGTACGATATCCAGAACCAATATCCGCAAGCACAAGGACAAGTCGCTTTACAAAGTGGGATAAACGATCTGCCAAACAATGGATTGGATACAGAGGAACTCGATGAAAACGAGGGAAATAGAGCAACCGCGGTCGCTACTGCTTTTGGTACCAGGTAAGTTCCTATCATTTTTAAATTCTTCAATTCGAACGATTAGACGCGCACCAAGCACTTACTCAGATGACTTACTTACAAATGTAGTTTCAAGTTTCATCTTGATACAGCTCTTATAATCTATCGTTAATTAACTAACTTCGTTCGCACGTAAATTTAAAATGTAGAGGAAAATTGTTCATATCTAATTGTTGTCCTAGCAACATACAGTTGAAATTTCCAATAATTCCTCATTAGTCAATGTTTTTTATACAATGCATAAGCTAGCCTACTGAGACTTTGCGTTGATGTATAAGTTAGGTTTAATGAGCAAATTTCATGCAAGAATGGTGGGTCATTATTGTGGAAGTAATAATATCGGGGTCGTAACCATCTAATATTAATAAACTAATTAAAACTCATCATTCAATTGTTTATATAAGGTTAGACAATACAATTTAACAAAATCAATACACAATTTCAAGCGTGAAGTCGTAACTTTCGGTATAATATATGTATTTTTGTATATGTATTTTCATAAATAAAACCTATCACGTATTGGCAATGATAGCATTACACAACACACTTAAATATTCAGAACGAAACCTAATAGGGTAACATTTTAATACGACCTTGTCCTTAATGCATCTGGAATGATGCGTCATGTCTGTTTGTCTGTCTAGATCTTTCGTTTAATATTTACATTATTATTTTAAGAACGCTTAACTATGTAGAATTAAAGTTATTAATTTTTGGAATATTAACAGAAAGCTTAGGGGAAATAATTCAGTGGCGCTACCACCTTTTAAGGTCTGGGCCTCAGATTTCTGTATTAGTTTCATGATCATCAATCTAATAGTCGAGTACGTGATCAGCCTCCTGTGCCTGACACACGCCGTCGATTTTTGTTAAATCAAGCCGATTTCGTTAGATATCCTAGACAGTTCGACCATTGTTAAATGCACAACTTCGATAAGACGTCATCGATACACAGAGGGTTCGACCTAAGACCTCAGGGGAAGTCACTAGGCCAACACTGCTGCTTATAAAACATTTAGATAAATTAAATTTACTAAGTCCTATAACATCCCAAATTCATCCTGTTTCAGAACTCAGCCCCGTGTTGTTCCAACTTACGGCGCTCCAGCTCCCGTGCCCGCTTATCAAACAACCACGGAGTCCAATGAGGTACTAGTTGTAGTTAAACAAACAAAAATATATGCAACACTTGCGTAATAAACTTAAAAAGCTATTTAAACATGCCATTCGTATCTGTAGAGATATAACTGTAAGACAATATGCTACTATTCTTTAATAATAATATCTATATTAATATTTGGCTAAATTAATAGTTTAGGAACTCCTGAAGCATAATAAAAATAACTGTATCAATTATAATCAAAAATCCGAGTTGGTCTGTATGAGCCGTGACTAAATTAGGATGGTTGCAGGTTCCATTTTAGTAATCTATATAAGTAAATAAAACATTGCGAGAGACTAGTCTAAAAAAATAACCACCCTATCATTAGGTGAAAGACAGAGTTAAAGATAGTAGTCGATCGGAGACGTGCTCAATATCATAAAAAGACCCATCAATGATGGGCCGTTCTGCAAGGTATGTGTTAAATCAATTCATCGCCCGAGGATACCCTGTTAGTGTCTGCATACCAATGACCTGTTGTAAAATGCGATGACCTGCCATTGTTTGGATGGTGCAGTTCTATGTAGGCTCTTTGTTTGATTTAAAACAATAAAATCATGAGGACATTTCCAGAGAAATTGGCGCCCGGCCCCGAAGCGAAACGTGAAGCCCACCACAGTTTAAGCCAAATAAAGTCCCTCTTTAGGAAAGGGGAGATTTGACACTCCCTGTTGCCTAGCTTCTCGGCCACAGATCTGGCTGATCACGTGCCTGATAGGCTATTATGTAGGGGCCATTTAAATTAAAAAAAAATATTGTGGTGTTTCAGAGTGTAACCGAAGATGGACCAGCTGTTGCGCAGGCCACCGCAGTAGCCACTGGCAGGAGAAAGAGTGCTAAGTTGAGGTAACATTTACTCAAATAATTAACTAGACTCCTCCAGGCGTCTCGAGTCAAGTATATTAAAGTTATATTTATTGGTTTTATGCTGTATTTAAACACAGTCAGGTCTTCATTTCTAAAGTTGACCGGCTATTTAATAAAAGCCGAATGCTCATAGCCAATGGTATTTTGGAAATTGCGTCGACATTCCAATTTTTCCTAAGATCTGTAGATGCGAAAATTGCATTAATAATGGCTGTGACACGTGGCAGGCCAAAACGCGAATTCAAAACTAACGTTGTTTGGCATTTTCTTTGTCATCACCAAAAGTAAATGAAATATTTCAAAAACATCTTTGCGTAACGCTTCAGCAAGCATTCTTTAATAGCAATAAGCTTTAATCAGCCTAAACTCAAAATGCCAACTGAATATATTTCAAGAACTGAGAGAATATCAATTATTATTATTAGTTTTTAGTTCACAAGTGCAGTGTGTAATTGTATATGTAACATTAAGTAAACAATGAGCGCGTGTATTGCTTTTGCTCTCATGAAATGAAAAATTACCCTTAAATAGTTATAGTTTGGAACCGGGAACAGGTCAATGCCCTAAAGATCCCAGAACTCAAGCGCTTTCGAGAAAAAACTATAAAGTTAGAAACTCAGCGGGATCACAAACTTTAGATAACTCACTGAACGCGGCCAAGCCAAGAGTTTAACTTACGGTCGGGATATTTGTTACTTAGTGCTTGAGCTTTAAAAGAATTTTCCAAACCAAGCAATTACTTTAAATGCATTGGATTTGACATACCGGAGTCATACTTAGCGCTAATTCAGCTGAGTTTCATCATCATACTAAATTCCACCAGTATCATCTCGGCGTCCGTCGTTCCATAAAAGAGCGTTTTTAAATCGACACCTTGTTTCACACATTCTTTAAGAAAAGACAATTCGTAAAAGGCCGGCTGCGCACTTGCGAGCCTTCTGGGAGTGTGAGCGTGGGCGACGATGTCACTTAATATTTTCTCCTGCCTGTTAAAACTGTATAAAAAGAAATCTCGAATCTAAATATTCCTTAATTAGGTCTTGTAATTATCTTCAATCAATGTTTCTGATTTCACAAGGATTTATTTATTAATACTTCGTTGCATTACAATATAAAAATTGAACATTGAAAATATGAAAAGGAGGGCTGGCGGCCTTATCGAATTCGAGCGATCTCTTCCAGGCAAACAGTATGAGAATAAAAAAATGTATTAAATTAGATAAGGTAGGCAATAAGTGCAAAAATACATATTACATAAGAAAAACAAAAAACAAACGAAGCTAATAAACGAAGCCCCTATTGTCTGATTAAGTAAATAAATTACTAGTCATCTAGACATTTAAACTTATAATACAGTTCTTAATATGCTTATTATGCTAGAGCTTCCCGTTTTTGTTTTAGTGGATTATTCGTAAATTCTCATGGCGTTCAAGAGATATGGAGAAATAACAATTGTTTAGCCGTCGTAACTGGGGTTCGGATTGTATTAGCCGATATAAGTCAATGTTCTATTATTGAATTTAAAGTAAAACACGTTGTTGCATGGTAACGATTTATCATTTAATAGAGAAAAAGAATAAAAGGACAGTTGACATTCCCACTTTAGGTTACCGACAGATGTCTCTATGAACTATTTTGATGTTCTATCCAACAGAAGCTTTGTTAATTTAACTTATTTTCTTTTACAACTTTTTATATAACGGTGCAAACAGACGTTCTTGGTGTTAACTAATATCGCTCATGGGCACTCACAATGTCAGAAGGCTCGCAAGTTGGTACGTTTTTTTTCTGAACCTTTAATATTACAGGCTACATCAGAACATTGAAAAAAAAATCAGTGGCGCTACAACCTCTTTAGGTCTTGGTCTCCGATTTCTGAATCTGTTTCATTATCTCTTTTAAACCTAAGGCAAGTAGGTGATCAGCCTCCAATGCCTGACACACGGCGTCGACTTTTTGGGTCTAAGACACGTCGGTTTCCTTACGATGTTTTCCTTCACCGTTCGAGCAAATGTTAAATCATTGGTGCACAGCCGGGGATCGAACCTACGACCACAGGTATGAGAGTCGCACGCTGAAGCCACTACGCCAACACTGCAACATCAAAACATTAACAAACTGAAATACAAAAAAATAATTAATCGTTGAAAAGATGTGCTCAACCGAGCAACGTTTAAAAGTAGACAAAATAGGATACAGCTTTTAAGATGAAAGAGTGAAATAAAATTCTCAAAGGAGGCAACCCGCAGGGCGCTTAAGTAGATTTAGCCGTGCCAAGTAAACGGGCCGGTTGCCAAATACAGCATTTTACATGGTTAGGGGAAAATATATTTTCCGACGGGTAACTGAACAATTTTGGTTATTAAAGATTTTTCTTTATTACAACTGTTTATGTACTCAGACATAAGCTATGTTTTCCAATCCGAGGCTTCGGGGACTTCAGGTTTACGCACTATGCGTTAATAATCAGTGGATTTATTTCAGACAAAAACAAATCCTAATAATATGAAAAATTTGTGTTATTGCAATGAATACTCACAAAAAACTGGATCAATTTATAGTTTATAATCATGAGTATAAAATCTATATATACCTACGTAATATTATTAAAAACAGTTATGCGAAAGCGAAACAGGCCGCTAGGATTAACTAAGCACAAGTTCGATTAGATATCACATAAATATTAAATTCCCATTAAAATGAAGCTTAGCTTTGCCGAAACTGAATATGGTTAATCAAGTAATTGTTGAGGGTCCGGAAGTTACATAATCGGGTTTAATATCATATATCTCTTCATAATAATATTGCATTTACATAATACAAATAATTAAAACCATGTATGTTCACTAAAAATACCCAAATCCCTTCAAGTGTGCCTACATGCATGAAGAGGTTCCTCGATTTCAAGGAGAAATTCAATACTAGGAATACCTTTTCTGTTACCAAAAATGTTCAAAGCGAAGCCCCTAGAAGTGAAATAAGCAAACGTAAACCAGCGTGGGTTCGGAATATGAATTCATATTTTTTAAAGTTATTATTTCGATTATTGCCTCCTGTATATTTTACAAAAAATTAAAAAAGTTTATTTATTGAAAATAGTTTGTAAATTTCAATAAAATCATAAATGCGGTATAAGCTTGTACCGGTATAAGGTTCTGTTCTATCTTACCTTTCGTATAATTACATGTTGTGGTCAGCATGGTGGAGCATCTTGAACAGCGCTTTTATATTATTTATTTGTAGATAAGTGTATTGCCAAAAGCCTAACCATCCCATGTTTAAGAAGTAATATACACTTAAGAATACCGCAATCAAAAAAAATGGTGCGTGTACTTATGTACGCGCGTAAGAAGTTATACTTCTTTGGCATTATTAAAAATAGTTTTTGATGCATGCAAATAATTAATTACAATTAAATAAACAAAAACTGGAAAAGGAGTCATTATAGTCAATAAAGTTCAGTTTACATTTGAAAAATTAAATAAATAAATATTTATTATTATTCTCTTACATTATGTGTTTTTATATTATGTCCAATGCCGTAGCATCTTCCGTGGGCAACTTCATTCTGTTAATTTTGTGTAACGGTGCGCGCGCATCGTAAAATTTCACTCTCATCAATTTTTCATAACGCGCCTAAAGAAGTATAACTTCAAAAATGTGATTAATTTTCTTTCGTAAGCCATCAGTACCGAAGAATAAATCGTTATAAAACAAATGTTATCATAATAATGTTTTTCAGAAGTCGCCGTATTCGCCCAGTCTTCACTGTGGACCGATCCGGACATCTAGTATTGGCTCAAGAACAATAATCAGACATATAATACGGCATATATAGGATAGAAATGGTCTTCATTCGAACATAACTAGAATCAGTGTCGTTTTGACATTCATTTTACATGCAAAATCTATAATTCTTTATTTATGCAGCATGCTTTGCCTAGTCTACCAACTTTTATTTATCCATCTTGTTTAGTTACATATATATTTAAAAAAAATAATTATTATATTATCTATGTATTTATGTTAATTATAGTAAGTTTATGTATTTTATTATTTATAAATACTTTGTATCATACTAAAAATACGTAATTTATGATATAAATGCATTTAATTTTTAATTGAAAATATTTCAATATGTATAAAATTATTGTTAACATGTATTATACATATTGTATATATGTTTACGTATTTATTTTAGTATATATATTTATGTTTAGACCATATAATTATAAAAATAACTACGTTTTTATTAACATGTCTGATATATTTATTTCTTATGGTTGTGATTCGAAGATTAAAGATATTGATTCTATTTTTGTGTTTTTTTTGTCAAATTTAGTAATTATAAATAAATGGTAGTACTTCATTTCTACTTCGATAATAATTTACCAAAATTGTTTACTTGTGTTGTTTGAAAGTGTGTTTATTAAGGTTAACAAAATAAGGAACGAATTAAAGAAACAATAACTGAACTATTTTAAAATATAAACTGTTTTCATTCTCAAAGATAATTGTCGATTAATTTTGTAATAACGCGCACTTGTTAACTGACTTTAACAAAAAGGAAGGTTATGGGATTACAAAGTAATCGAGGAAACTACACTCATGTGGAAGCAGTTGCAATGGAGAACATAAATCAAAATACCAAAGACCAAATTGCCTCAAAAGGGATATTATATTATATTGTTGAGATACGCCTTTAGTTTTAAATTGTAATTAGTACTTCATTTATATTGTGAAACAAATTCTATTGCGCTTATTTCGAACTACAAACTAGGATACAACTAATACACAATTATACAAAACAGCTTATTAAAATCATGTTGTGAAAATACGCTTCAAAAGCTCAAAGTTTTAACCATAATTTAAATTTAACATTCGTGAAGCGGCAACAGTTTTTCTCATTCATATATCTAATTACTCCTGTACACGAAATAAATTTCGACGAAAGCAGTTTCATTTGAATATGTTTGCATATTC